AGGTCTTTTTTTTTCCTTTTTTCTTATTGACCTGACCTATTTTCTCTGTACTTCCACTGCATCATCTTACTTACTGTTTTAGCCCATTGATATGGTAGAACTTTTGGAATCCTAAGTTTTTGCCATTCTGGCAGAGAGCCTATGTAATCTTTGATTACTAATACCCTTTATGAATGGAATTGGTAAAATTAGTATCCTTATGATCACTGCACCTCAAGAAGGACACAGGCCAAGGAAAGGCAGCTAAAATAGCCAAAGGGTTACATAATACTATATCCATAGAATTTCTACCAGTCACATTTCTACCAGTCAATTTGGAATAGAAATGTGAGACCAGGGCCTAAGGGATACAATTCATCAAATTGTGTTTCCTGCTCCCATTTACTGGGAGCTACTATGTTTTTTTCTCAACAACTCCAGTATATTAGCCTACAATGCCAAGTTATGGAGAGATACCTAAGCCCTTTTTATTGTACTAGAGGCCCAGTGCACAACATTCATGCACTAGGTGGTGGTGGCGAGTGGGATCCCCTCAGCCCTGCCTGGGCCCTTTAGCAGTCCGGGAGCCCTCGGGGAATGTCTGACTGATGCAGTCAGACATCCTTAGGGCTGCAGAGGAGGCAGGAGAGGCTCATGCCACCGCTGCTGCACTTGCCAGCCATCAGCCCAGCTTGTGACTGAGCAGTGCTCCCCCTGTGGGAGCTCACTGACCACCAGGGGGCAGCTCCTGCGTTGAGCATCTGCCCCCTGGTGGTTAGTGCACATCATAGCAACCGGTCGTTCTGCCATTTGGTCGATTTGCATATTATCATATCTACACTAATAAAAGAGAAACATGGTAATTGGCGTACGACCGCTACCCTTTTCATTGGCTAATCAGCGAGATATGCAAATTAACTGTCAGCCAAGATGGTGGCCGGCAGCCAGGCAGCTTGAAACTAACATGAGGCTTGCTTGCCTCAGTGACGGAGGATCGTTGGAGGAAACCAACGTTCCCCACCTGCGGCTGCAGGCCTCTGAGCGGGCAGTTTAAGAAACATTGTAACAAATACCTCCGGACTTCAGCCAGCAGATTCGCAACATTGTAAGCAAAGGCCAGAAACCTACTTTCAGCCATGGAGGCCTAAGAGCTGGAGCCAAGCCTCAAGGTAAAGCTGGCCCAGAATAAAAAAAGAAAAAAGAAAAAAAGGAGTGGTTGGGAACTTCAATCACTCCCAGCCTGAAAACAGCCCTCAGCCCTTCACCCAAACTGGCCAGGCACCCCAGTAGGGACCCCCACCCTGATCCATGACACCCTTCAGGGCAAACCAGCCGGCCCCCACCCATGCTCCGGGCCTCTACCCTATATAGTAAAAGGGTAATATGCCTCCCGGCACCGGGATCAGCGTGACAGGGGGCAGCGCCCAAACCCCCTGATCGCCCTGCGGCTCTGTGTGTGACAGGGGGCAGGGCCCCAACCCCCTGAGCAGCCCTGCTCTGTGCCTGATAGAGGGGAGCTCCCCAACCCACCCCCCCCCCCCCATGGGCCCTGCTCTGTGTGTGACGGGGTAGAGCCATAACCTCCCCATTGGCCCTGCCCTGAGTGTGAGAGTGGCGGCGCCCTAACCCCCTGATCGGCCCTGCTCTGTGGGTAATAGAGGGCGGTGCCCCAACCCCCTGATGGGCCCTGCTCTGTGTGTGACGGGGGCAGCGCCCCAACCCCCTGATTGGCCCTGCTCTGTGCATGACAGGGGGTGGCGCCGCAACCTCCCCATCGACCCTGCCTTGAGTGTGACAGGGGACGGTGCCCCAACCCCCCAATTGGCCCTACCCTGAGCGTGACTGAGGGTGGCATCACAACCTCCCAATCTGCCCTGCTCTGTGCATGACGGGACGGCGCCCCAACTCCCCAATCGGCCCTGCTCTGAGCCCGACCAGGGGCTGCACCTAGGGATTAGGCCTGCCCTCTGCCATCCGGGAGCAGGCCTAAGCCAGCAAGTCGTTATCTCCTGAGGGGTCCCAGACTGCGAGAGGGCACAGGCCGGGCTGAGGGACCCCCCTCCCCCCCGAGTGCACAAATTTTTGTGCACCGGGCCTCTAGTTATTATATAAGATTATATAAAGTTTTTCCCTTTATTCCTACACTTCCTTTACCTCCTCCCTCCCCAAAAGGACAACATAAGTGTGGAATGAAGAAAGCTATCAAGAGAATTGTAAAGTACACCGATAGGGGCACTTAAAACAAAGCCAGAGCCATTTCTCAGAAATCTACTGGTCCCACACAGGTCATCAAAAGGCAGGATTAGTCCATTTAAAGTGGTTGCTTGATCATGTGAACATAGTCCATAAGCATGAATCCTTGTTTATGGTAGTTAACTATCTTTGACCTTGAATTTCCCATACCTGAGCCAAAAGTTTATGTCACCAATCATAAATAATGACTGCGCAAAGCAGAAGCCCAGCTAGGTAGATTTCTTTGTATAATGTTTCTACAAATCTAAAAAGGAATATGACCCTAATCGTTTTAAGAATAAAAACTTTCTTCTTTATCGTCCTTATCGTGGACATCAGGAAAGACTGTAGGCAGTCTCCAAAGGAACTGTCTGAAGCTCCAGATTACATCTGTCTGAGCTGGAGAAGAGGGACCATGTGGCAGATGTATGACCACATCTGTGTAATCTTTCTGTGCAGTCTAATCTCCATAGTCCCTATGGATTATTGTTTCTTATCCATCATTGTAAAATAACAGGAAAATAAAAGAGAATTTGAAGTTTAAACTAAACCTATAAGAAGTAAGGTCAGTGATAAGATTCAGAATAAGCATTAGAATTTAGCCTTCTGGCTCATTTCCTAACTTCTGTCCATAAATTCATGTTTATTTTGCTAGAGTAGCTAGGTTTTACAAAGAATCTAGCCCTCTAGTTAAGCTTTACAACCTGTCTGTGTTGGGGGAGGAGTAGGCAGGAATAAAGGAAACTTCTTTTTTGATGATCCTCAGAAGTAGACTGAGAAAGAATTAGACCCTTGAATACAAGGAAGTTTTGAAAACTATTTATATAAATACTACCATACTTATTAAATGGGGGAAAGGGGAAAGCAGAAAGAAATGCAAAGCTGTGTGATATTCAGGGTCAAATGTGCCATTCCATTTCCCATATCCAATAGTATTAAGGGCCATAGAAACAAGCTGGCATGTAGCCAACTTCAAGTACCCAACTGAAAATAAAATAAATGTCCCCCTTGGATTCCGTTAGAGAAAACTAGGTTGCCTGAATGAGCAAAAATGGAAAGAGAAATGCAGTATTCCTAATCTTTCCACCTAGTTATAAAAACTTGGTAAATAAAATATTGTAGGTGGATTTTATCATGGATTGAAAGTAAGGAATCCTAAGATTTTGTTTTTGTTTTTCAGTTCTATCCTTGAGTTATATATTCAGGATTTTTTTGTTAGTATTTTATAAAATTATTATTTTTTTAATTTGATGAAGTAGTAGAGTAAGGATAAGAAGAAAAATGAATGGTAGAGGTTTTAAATAAGAACAGGAGTGTTGCCCTAGCCAGGTGGCTCAGTTGGTTGTAGTGTTGTCCTGCACACCAACAGGTTCCAGCTTGATTCCTAGTCAGGGCACATTCCTAGGTTGCAGGTTTGATCCCTGGTCAGGGTATGTAAGAGAGGCAGAGAGGCAACCAATCAATGTTTCTCTCTCTCTTTCTCCCCCTTCCTCTCTCTCCCTCCCCTTCCTCTCTCTCCCCCCCTTCCTCTTTCTCTCCCCCCTTCCTCTCTCTCTCTAAAATCAATAAAACATATCCTCAAATGAAGATTAAACAAACAAAAAGAACAAAAGTGTAAGCCAGGAATTAAGATATGCACATAGATTGACCTAAAACCAGAAATCCAGTGAATCAGTAAATAAACTTTGCTAAGGTTCCACTCATCATTACTCTTCCACAAGTTCCATTCATTGTAATTGCTTTTCAAATCAAAACATTTGATTGCATGACAGCACAGTAGAGCTACTTTGTGGACCTTGAGCCCAGTTCTTAGAAACAGTGGGGTGGAGCTAAATTAGAGAATATACAGTTCTTGAGAAACAAATAGTTAAAGATGGCTGTGGAGTTTAGAGAAACTAGACAAAGCAGCACAGCTCATGATTAAACCATTTTCTTCAGATTAAATTTTTTTCAGGTTACAAATTGAGACAACGAATGGTATTGCAGTATTGCTGTTCTTTGATTTATTCTTTAGTACCCATTCTTATTCTGAAAAAAAGCTGAGCTTGGATCTTCTTAGATTAGAGCTATGGAAGGAAAACAACTAACACTAACCAACTGCCAATTTACCTCCTATAAGTAGAATTTTTCTTCTAAAGAGAATGGGTTAGGTATGTTTGATTGCTTTAGGAGATGAGTTTTCCAAATACCCTGGACTCCATGAGGAATCTGTGGGCTGAGGGAGGTGGAGACCTGCCATGCCATGCAGACAGAACAGCTCAATGGGATTCTGCTGCAGCTGGGATCAGAGCTGTCCCCCACCCTGGCAGAGAGCAGCACCAGGCCCAGGAGTCTGAGATCCTGCTGAACATCAAGGTCCAGCTGGAGGCTGAGATTGCTACCACTGCCTGCTGGAAGAAGGGGAGGACTTTGATCTTGGTGATGCCCTGAGTAACAGGAATTCCATGCAATCCGTCCAAAAGACCAACATCCCCACGATTGTGCATGGCAAAGTGGTCTCTGAGGTCAACAACACCAAAGTCCTGAGGTGTTAAGGCAGAAGTGGGGCACCCCTTGGAGGGCAGGAGGCCAATAAAAACGTCAGAGATTTTTTTTAAAGTATCCCTTTTCTCTACCTCTTAGTAATGCTGTCATAGTATCCTGTTTGTTTCCTTCATAGCATTAATCATACCGTGAAATTGTTCTGTTTACTTGTTTATCAGGTACCTTGTCTGTCTTATTCACTGATAAATTACTAGCACTTAGCTCAAAATTTGGCACATAGTAGGAGTTTTATAAATATTGATTGATTGAATAAATAATGAGAGGCATATTCAGGCTCATGAGCCTGACTGCCTATTTGGAATTTCTAATGCACTCACTCTTTCCTCCACCAGCTGGAGTTGCGAACACAAAAAGAGAAGCCATCAATACCCTCTTCAAGTTCCAGCTTCCCACTCCCCACCCCCACTTCGGTTGCGGAAGTTTTTGCTTCTTGGTTTTTGTCCCAGATGGACTTTTGCAGTAAAGCAGTGATGTGATAGTAAGATACCAGGCTGAATATGCCTTCGTCTAGACTTAATTTAATATAGAAAGCCAAGTTATATCTTGTTTTCAGTGTTCTTAATTCTAATGCCTGGCTGGGATTGCAGTTGTATCTAAATTCTGAGCACACTGCTTGCCTGGGGCAGCAGTAGACCTTTTCTTCAAATTTAAATTAGCTGAAGGCTGGTTGTCCTACATGTGAAAATGTGTTCTTAATATCCTGACTGAACACAGGCCATCCAGTTAAGTGAATTATCTGAAGTGCTTGCTTTTTATCTACAACATGATTAGAAAGCCCAAGAGCAGTGTAATTTCATTAATGGCATCAATTTGTCCATTATTACAAACATTGTCTGTTTTCTGCAACCCAAAGAGACTACATTTCTTCTTATCTCATATTTAAATTTGAACACACATTGAACATATCTATTCAAGGAATGATTCTGCAAAATAAGGGTTAGGTTTCTGAATCTCAAGGTGTTGCAATTTCCAAAGATGATCTTTATGAGCACAGTTACTTCTCTCCATCTCTAGAATGTAAAAAAATAATTCTGAGTAAAGACGCTAGAAGAGCATTAATTCAATGGATGAAATGCCATGTATTTATCAAGAATCAAGATTTTTATATCCTTAACGTATTATATATTATCCATTTTCTTAGAATCTTCGGCTGATTCTCAACTTTTCCTGGAAAAATGAGCCATTCCCACCATATGGTGACGAACTCTGTGGACCACACCAGTACCATGCCACCTTCTCACCATCACCCAGCCACTTCAGCCTCCCACCTCCACGGAGGGGGAGACGGCAACATGATGATGATGATGGTGAGTGCCATGGGGGAGGCAGCCTGGGCCCTTTCCCACACACTTGGGTAGAAGAAATAGTTTAATTTTAGGACTGGAAGATTGTTATTTAAAGGCCAGTTTACCAGTCAGAAAAAACTAAGGCTGATCCAGATGAGGCAGGTGATTTGCCCAAGATCATGTGGCAGGTTAATCACAGAGCCACACCAGACAAAGTATTTCCAGGGTCCTTTCTTCTATATTCCTCCTTCTTTCAAAATTAACTCTTTTCTAAATTGAGTTCTGGTCTTTATGTTTAGTGTAGAAAAGAGAAAAAGACAAAAGTCAGTGATGGGGACAAAGGAGCACTTGTGGAGCGGGCTTGTGTAGTAACGCTAAAATGAGGGGGAGAACTTCCCACTGCGGTGAATATTCTCCAGATCTGCAGCTTTTAAGTATTCTAAGGTTCTTTACTTGAAATTCTCATTTAGAATCTCCAATCATCTCTAATTTGACTTGTTTTGGTTTTCTGACAGCCCATGACCTTCTACTTTGGCTTTAAGAATGTGGAACTATTGTTTTCTGGCCTGGTGATCAATACAGCTGGAGGTGAGTAAGCCATCAGGTGGTGTTTGAAGGAGACAGGCGCTTGAGAAACAGTGATAAGGAATCTGGAAACCCAGCATCTCTTTCTGTTGTATTGCTGAATCATTAACAGTTATGATCCTTAACCGTCTTGCTTCCTAGATAAGGATACACACTCCTTATTTTAGAGTTTCTGAAAATATAATTTAGATACCAGATAGGCGTCTTTTGCACTCCATTCCCTTTCATCCTTTTCCAGTGTTTCCTGTTTGATAAGTTATTGGTCATGGTCATAAGACTATAGTCAAGTTAAAATGATGTAAGAAGCATTATATATATCTATATATATAGATATATATAGATATATATAAAATAACTCTAGGTTAAAAGCTATTGACCTACTACATTGCTGCTATTTTACAGATAAGTCAAGCTTCAGATAGTGAAATGCTTAGCCCTAAATCACAGAAGTAGTATGTCAGAACTAGAACAGGGACCCAGACCTTCTAGCCCTGCCTAGTCCTGTGTTCTTTCTAGTGTACCAAACTGTGCTCTACATCATTTCTGATTCTTGGCATGGCCCATTTTAGTGTCAGTCTTGGATTTGGGATAACTAATCACCACCTTCTTTGTGTCTATAATGTTGAGTTGGTGTGCCTTAAGTTCAAATTGCACAAGCTGAATAGTTAGTTGAACTGCATTAGGTGCAGTTATATCTTTGGGACCACAAAATCAATTTATCCTGGGAAGAAGGGGTTTATTTAATTCAGGTAGTGTGTAAAATCAGAAGTTTGAATACATTACCAATGCTTCCCAGTGTGAAAGATTTAGAATTGAAATGCCTAATCAAGAAATGGAGTCAGCACTTACAAATAAGTTATTATATTCCCCTTTTGCGTAATGTATTCAGAATTAAGAGTACCATCTTTTCTATGTTGTCTTTCTAGCTTGGATGGCATGCCAGCTAGTGATTTTGCAATGTTTGACAGTACCACCATCTTTTCTTTCCCTGCCTAGAAATGGCTGGAGCTTTTGTGGGAGTGTTTTTACTAGCAATGTTCTATGAAGGACTCAAGATAGCCCGAGAGAGCCTGCTACGCAAGTCACAAGTCAGCATCCGCTACAATTCCATGCCTGTTCCAGGACCAAATGGGACCATTCTTATGGAGACACATAAAACTGTTGGGTAAGAAGACTAAACAGATCCAGATAGAAGTTCTGGAGAGCTGAGTTAGCTAAGTAGCAAAGCAACTATTTTATTTACAACAGCCACCTCTTGAGTTAGTGATTCTGTACGACCTTGATCAAAACTGTCTTTGGAGGCTTGTGGCTGAGGGTCATGAACAGGCCAAAGGAGGAATAATAGGAACCCTTCTGCAAACATGAACATTTGTTCTAAATTTTAAGTATTGGTCACTTTGAAAAAAGGTAAGGAATCCATATTGTAAAATATTTGTGTAAATAATAATAAACAAGAAATTCAGGTCAGGGTATAGAAGAATGGCAGAATCTAACTGATTCCTTTCTCTAAAAAATTGTACCTACCCAGCTTTAGTCTCAGTTTGTTTATAATATGACTATACAAATGTCTGCATTCCATCTAAGAAAGTATTTGTGATGACTGTTGGTTTCCTCACAGATTGACAAATGATTTTTGAGATTCAGTCTTAATAGAAATGTAGGTCTGAAAACTCAATTGGAGTTCAAGCAGTCCCTCAGACCAATATCCTGCTCTCAAGTAAACACAGTATTATTAATATCCACTGTACTGGTGGATATTGAGACCGAACAGGTTGTGACTTACATAAGGTGACAGAACTAGTAAATGACAGAGGGGATAAATAGACAGGTCTCTTGATCCCTAATTAATACTTTCTACTGTACCTCCCACACCTCAATTCCATTTCCACTTTTTTAGGATGTGAACTTTGCAAAGGTGGAAGGCCTGAAAATATTCAGGCAAATAAGCATGGGAGGCTTTAGGCTTCTCTTTTAGGATCCAAGGTGGAGGTAAGACAGGGGTATTAGGCCTCCTTCCTCCTCAACTTTCACAGAGTTCCTCCTACTGACATATCACCATAACTAGCTATTGCTTATAAACCTGACCACCCTATTATGTTTCATTTCCGGGGATTAATAAACAACATACATACACAAAAGTATCCATGAGCCGCCAGGGTGGATCTGAGGGAGTCCAGTTCAAGCTTTCATGACAAATGCTCCCCTCTTCTCCTGATGTGCAGAGCTGCCTCAACACTCCCAGGGGTCTCTGATTGATGTTTCCCTTTTTACTCTCCAGGCAGCAGATGCTGAGCTTTCCTCACCTCCTGCAGACAGTGCTGCATATCATCCAGGTGGTCATCAGCTACTTCCTCATGCTCATCTTCATGACCTACAATGGGTACCTCTGCATTGCTGTAGCAGCAGGGGCCGGCACAGGATACTTTCTCTTCAGCTGGAAGAAGGCAGTGGTAGTGGACATCACAGAGCATTGCCATTAACGTCCAACTCCATGGTGCAGCCTTATCGATTGCAGTGGGAAGCAGTTCAAGACTGGAAGACATTATTCCTGCTCGAATCTTCCCTTCTTGCTCCTTAACTCCTTACACACACCTTCTCAATAGAGGTTTAGCTTACAGTCTCTGAGCTAAAGTAGTAACCCCTGACTGTTCTTCCTGCGCTGAGATTCCCATTTCTCTTGAGGTGTCTTCTCCTCCACCATCATCTTAGATCCAAGATATATGTTCTTGTCTAATCCAGGTAGCTATCTCTTCAGTGACTTGATCCCCTCCTTTCTTTTTTAGTTTTTTGTTTTTATTTTTAACAGACAATCTGAATTTGGTGGGGTTTTCCTAGGTCAGTGGTGGAAAAGGATTGACTTCAGCTAGGATTCATGGCAGCTGAGGGAAATTCTTGCCCAACAAAACCCAAAATCCAAACTTAACACTAAAAAGTAAGTTCTAGTCTTTGGATTCAATGAGTGGGAAATACGTTGTGCCTTTCCCTAGGTGTGATGTGTTGCACCAAAACCTTAGTAGTGCACAGAGGGTGGTTTGAGACTACAAGTCTAGAGCTTACAGAAGTGTGCATTTTGGGGTGGCTGACTCATCCATGGTGTTCCCACTTAGCATTTTGATTAGAATGAACTTGCCAATAAAAAAAAAAAAAGATAGGACAATCAAGTTGAGAAAATAGACATAAGTATTTTAAAATAAAACCATTGACATTTTACTTTAACTTGGTGCCTTGGTTTGTCACAACTGAATGAAGCAAAAAAGTTTGAATCATTATCTACCATTGTTTTTTATGTCTGCCTCTAAACCAGTGGTTTTCAAACTTTAGCAGGCATTAGAATCACCTCAAGGGCTTGCTAAAAACACTAGTTGCTGGGCCTCAACCTAGAGCAGTGATGGCGAACCTATGACACGCGTGTCTGAGGTGACAAGCAAACTCATTTTTTTTTTTTTTAAATATATTTTATTGAGTTTTTACAGAGAGGAAAGGAGAGAGATAGAGAGTTAGAAACATCGATGAGAGAGAAACATCGACCAGCTGCCTCCTGCACACTCCCCACTGGGGATGTGCCCGCAACCAAGGTACATGCCCTTGACCGGAATCGAACCTGGGACCTTTCAGTCCGCAGGCCGACGCTCTATCCACTGAGCCAAACCGGTTTCGGCGCAAACTCATTTTTTTGGTTGATTTTTCTTTGTTAAATGGCACTTAAATATATAAAATATCAAAAATATAAATCTTTGTTTTACTATGGTTGCAAATACCAAAAAATTTCTATATGTGACACAGCACCAGAGTCAAGTTAGGGTTTTTCAAAATGCTGACACGCCGAGCTCAAAAGGTTCGCCATCACTGACCTAGAGCCAAAACTTGGCATTTCTAACAAGTTCCCAGGTGATGCTCCTGCGGATGGTCAGGGGACCATACTTTGAGAATCTCTGCTTTAAACCTGGTGGGGTGAGCATGGTTATTTGAATTACTGATTGGCAGGTGGTATGTCTGGGCTTCACTCCTGTACTAAATGCTGCTGGTCGATACTTAATCATTCCACAAACATTTATTCAGTTCTGTGTGTGTGTGTGCCCAAGCACACATGCAGGAAGGGCTGTAGCCAGAGTAACTTTATCAGCATTATGAAATCACTAGTCCTTATTTGTAAAGATCTTGGAAATAGCTTGAAGGTTGAGAAAGCCCTTTGATCTGCAATGCAAATTAGCCAGTCATAGGCCAGAAGGACAAAAGTCTAGCCCAAAAATCTAGTCTTTGGAAAGGCTTAGGGTGTGATCTGCTGATGGCCAGATATTCCTTAGCCCCCAACATCCATGCCACACCAGGCAGAGCCTCATCCTCTACATGACCATCTCTGTTACTTGTAGGGGCTTAGATTACAGGAGGCCAAAATCTCTTCTCATCAAGAATCACATTGGCTTTTTAGTTGTTAGTCCATGCTGCAGCTTTGTTCCTAGTCCAAACTACCTCTATAAAGTGACTCTTCAATGCTGGTCTGTTAAATCCTGCCCTCCTTGGTGCTAGACTCCACTTGTGCCTCAGGGCAGAAGAGAGGACACAGCTATCCAGTTGGCCTTTGTTGTGGTTGTAAAGTTTGTACTTTCTCTGTGGGTACAGCTAAATAGTGGAGTGAGGAATGTGTAGTTCCATGGGTTTGAACCAAGAGAGGGTTATGAGCCTACTGGATCGAGATTAAAACCTAAGAACCAACGCTTTGTGCTTTTCTCTCATTCCAACCCCTTGTAGTACTGATACTTAGCATGAGCAGAGTGAATGACTGGTACTGACAGAGTCCAACATTAAGGTATATGTAGCCTGTTATTGTCTCAGAAGCCAAGGAATAACAAAACTTTGAAAAATAAAATAATATTTCGTAGTGACCCTGGTGCTCTCTAGAAATCTTGGCACGAGCTGCTATAAAATAACCTTTTAGGAACAGGACCTTATAATTAAGGTAAAAAAAAAAAAAAAATCAAGGCCAGTTAAGACAAAGTGCTATGAATTTGAAACTGGGCTAGGTCTTCAGATAGTCAAGATAGAGTCTCCTGAAAAACCTGAATTCCAGCAATTCTTAGACTAGGTTGCCAAAGCAAGAAGCTAATGAAGGAGAAAAATAATAATAATAAAGTTTAAATTCATTCTTTCTTGAGCTCTTGTGATAATAATCTTGTTGACTTTCATTTCTATATCCCTGTTCATTTGAAATTTTAGTGCCTGACTTCTTTGTTCCTTTTGGATCCAAATTACTCTTTTCCTCCTACCCTGTTCAAATATTTTAGAAGCCTGTATCCCTATTTCTTTGGCACCCATTTTGCTCTTCATTTCCTTTTTCTGTCTTTCATAACTAGAAGATAACATCTTTTATCCCATATATCTAATTTATCAAATCTCCCTTGCCTTCCTGATGTAGAACATTGCCTATGCAATAGACAGAGATACCAACCAGGAGTTGTAAAACTTGGTAGAGACCTTCAGCACGTTTTGAGGAGCAGTTGTCCACTGGGATTTCTATAAAGTTGGGTAAAGGGCTATCTGGTGCCATCTGCAATTATAGAATTTTAGTTGCACTCTCCGGTCTATGCTGGAGGAACACTCAGCTCCTCAATGCCCACAAACTTCCTCTGTGTCCATCAGGGAAGTAGAGATTAAGGTTTCCTCACTACTTCTATGGTAGGATAGTCTGGAATTCCCGTTCAGGCTGTGGGGCACTGGTCTTGAGTTCTAGCCATAAAGGGTTAGGAGCTGGAAGGGGAGGGAGCAGGAGGTACACTTTCATGTCATTTAATTTTGATCCTGCCCTTCCCAGCTGCTTCTTTCAGAAGATATATCTAAAGATACAAAGTCTGCATTTGATGTAATGCCTTAATTACTGGGTCCACAGTTAATGTTGACTGTTTTAGATTGTAAGCTCCTGGAGAGCAGTATTGCTACAGTAGGAATGTTTTAACAGTGTCGTGTACAAAAGAAGAAAATAAATATTTTGATTTTGTGATCCTATGCATGTTCTTTTACCTAAAGTGGTATCAGAATACGTGGTCTCTTATTGTGCACAGTGTCTTAGCCATTACCATCAGTTTTTAAGATGTCAGTTTTAGGTGGCACGGTCCCTGTTTTCATATCATTCTCCTCCTACTCTACTCAAAATGACAAGCTAGTCCATGATGCAGCTACATGAACTTTTGTACACATGAGCTTCCTGAAGCTGCAAATATCTCAGTATACCAAGAATTCCCAAATTTAAAAACTAACTTGTCCTATCAGAAATCTCCTCCCTATATTTATGGTGTCAGGCAAGAGGCTCTGAATTGGGACTCTAGGAACTTCACTGCTGAGCCTTGAGGTGAGCATTGGCCGTGCCTAACCCTTTGGTAATGCGAGAATCCTGGTGTTATTTGCCCTTCCTACTGGACCCCAGATGGCCACTTTGCCATTCAGCACCACTTCCAGTCTTTTCCATAGTACAATATGATGAGCATGGACTTTGTGGAGTCAAGTGTACCTGGGTTTGGGTCCTGGTTCCACCACTTTCTAGAAATGTGACCTTCGGCAAGTTATTTTAATAATCCCTAAGCCTTAGTTTTCTGTTATAAAAAGGCAGTAATAGTATTTGTTTGAATTAGGAACGATATGTATAAAGCCCCTTATAGGCATCCAAGCCATAGTAAGTATATATATAATTACTATTTATTTCCTGTCAACTCCCATCCAAATATAATCTCCATAAGAGCAGGGATTTTCTTTTTTGTCTACTTTATTCACTGCTCGATCACTAATTTCTAGAAAATGCCTGGCACCTTGGAGGAGCACAGCCAATATTTTTGTCCTATGAGCTTGGAATTGAACTAGATAGAATGAATACACTGCTCAATAATTTACAGTATCTTCTGTAAGGAACTCACAAAACTAAAAAGATAAAAGAGTAACAATAGCAACAATGATAGTTGTTATTTATCCAGCACTTGTTATGGACCAGTCATGGAGCTAAGCTCATTTCACTGTTTCATTCCATTTCCACAGTAGTCCTTTTAGATATATATTTTCTCCATCATATTGATAAGACAAAGGCTCACAGAATTTAAATCATTGGCACCAGATAATACAGCAAGAAAGTGACTGTGCTAGAATTTCAGCTCAAGACGCTTTTCACTCCACAATCCATGATTTTTAATCTTTTAGAGAATTTTCCCAAACATATACAAAAATAGAAAAAAATCATGTATGGATCCCTCTGCACCCACCATTCAGCTTTAATAACTGATAAATCCACGGCCAACTTGGTTCCCAGAGTCCCTTGCTATATGATCAAATAAGTGGAATAGAAAATTTATTCCTTATGAGCAGAAAAGCAGAACTCTACACACAAGAGTAGCTTGGAAAGCCCTCATGAGATCTGCTTTGGTTAAACTCTCCTTTCCCTCCTCCCCACCAGCTGACCACCCAGGCTTCATGTGAAACCCCAGGGGATGGAATACTCAATGCCTGTTCTGTTACTATGCTCAGAAGTGTGAGGCCTGATTCAAAGGAAAACTGCATGAGAAGAATCAATTTACTAAGTGTATGTGCTTTAATTACAGAAAAGGAAAAGTTTCCACTAAGCCTCCAAGGAGTTTGGGGGGTCCAGAGGAACAAGTTCAGAATGGAAGATCAAATTTACACATAATCACTAAAATCTAATCTCCACAAGGGTAGGGATCTTTGTTGATTTTGTTCACTGATGTTACTAAGTGCCTAGAATGGTACCTGGCACATAGTGGGCACTCAATAAATACTAGCTGAATAAATGAGTTAAATGAAAGTCAGTTATAAGGATGAAATGGAAGTGTTTTGTGCGCAGGGTCTTTTCATAAAGATGGGAAGAATGACGTCACCTCTGTAGCAATTACCTTTTAAAGTCTGGGTGTTAATAGTACTATTATACTTCATTAAGGATGTCTCATACTTTTCCAAAAATATATTTATTTTTAAAATTGAAAATCAGACAAGTTTTATAGAGTCAAATTCTCCAGGGACAAACCAGAGTTTGGATTTCAGTAATCTCATGCAGAAGTATTTCCCTCTGCAGGAGGTAAAATATTCTGCTTGACTACAAGCACTCAGTTCCCTGAACTGCGTTTGTTACTTCTGCCATCATTTTACACCATTCCAGGGCTCTGGCAAGCAAGAAAATCCACCTCTAAAATTCAAAATTTCCAAATTGAGATGAGCGATTGTTGGGCTTGGCTTGGGGTTTATAACCAATTCGATCATTAATCATCTGTTCCCGGTTCTTGGGGTCACTGCTGAGCCCTATGGCACCTTCTCCATCACTGCCTCCTACAACATCCACATCTTCCTTTTGTTTCTTGCGGGTCTGAAAGTATAAAAGTTTTAGGATTAAGGCAACATTCTTTCCATTAGCAAATACTTATTTAGCACCCACCATGTACTTCGCATAGGGTAAAGGAGAGAATTAGGGTCTATAGAACAATAAACTGAAATCCTGGGTTTGGATGGTTAGGAATATAAGGCGTATAGCAGTCCCCCCTTACCTGTGGTTTTGCTTTCAAAGGTTTCAGTTATCCATTATCGACCAAGGTCCAAAAATATTAAATGGGAAATTCCAGAAATTAGGAACTCTTAAGTTTTAAACTGCATGCTAATCTGGAACATGAATTCTCCCTTTGTCCAGCATTCCCAGCCTATATACGCTACCCACCTCTTAGTCACTTAGAAGCAGCCTCAATTATCAGAATGACTGTTACAGCATCTCTGTGCATGTGTTCAAGTCACCATTATAGTGGTCTAATGCTATGTCACATTGCCTGTCATTCACCTCACTTCATTTCATCACATAGTCATTGTATCATCTCACATTATCATTGTTAAGAACAATAAGCTATTTTGAGAGAGACTACATTCACATAATTTTTACTATAGTATGTTGTTAATCTCTAAATGTGCCTAATTTATAAATTAAACTTTATCATTAGTATGTATGTATTGGAAAAAACATAGTACACAGAGGGTTCAGTACTAACCCGTTTCAGGCATCGGGGAGCAGGGAGGGGGAAGTCTTGGAACATATTCCCCTGAAAATAAGTGAGGACTACCACATGATGATAAAAGATATAACCCATACCCGGGAGGCCACACTCTAAGGAAACAGGTAGACAATTACAACATAGGGTGAGCTAAGCTATCACAGAGGAAAGCCACACTGCCAAAGACACAAAGAAGAGGTGAGGTGTGAGGAGTGAAGGCTCAGAGCAGGAAGCTGCAATTAGAAAGATGAGCAAGAGTTGACAGAAAAGGGGGAGAGAGAGATGTTTCAGTGAGTGTATTATTCAAGACTAGAGCCCCCCCCCCCAAAAAAAGAAAAGAAAATAAAAAAAGAAAAAAGACTAGAGGCCCAGTGCACAAAATTTGTGCATGGTTAGGATCCCTAGCGGCTGCCGACTGCCAGTTGGGGCCTCCCTTCCCTAGCTACCAGGCGGGTCCTTCATTCGTTCCACGCCGCCCCCTGGTGGTCAGCGCACATCATAGCAAGCAATCAAACTCCCAGTCAGTGGAACTCTTGGTTGGTTGAACTCCCAAGGGGACACTTTGCATATTAGGCTAGATTAGATAGACAGATAGATAAATAGGTAGGTAGGTAGGTAGGTAGGTAGGTAGGTAGACAGATAGATAATAGACAGAAAAATAAAGTGACTGGTAAAACAATAATCACCAGAAATTAAGAGCTTGACTGACATCATGAGATTAAATGTAACACAGGAATAGGTTTTGTGCTGTCTTATCAAAAGGCTTGGGGTTTCATTTTGTTTTCAGAGAAAAGGTTTAGCTCTTAAGTCATAAGTGACTGCAGAATTCACAAAATCTATGTCTCAGTTTGACCATTTTAAAAGAGATCCCATTACTACCACTATGTAATTAAAGATAACAGATGATGATGACTTTCTTTGAGAGAATGAACATGTTTTATCTAGGCTTCCTTACTAGAATTGCCCGACTACTCTAATCACTGGAATTACTTCCATACCTCACCACTTACTGATGAACATTTAAATAATCAAATAAGGTACTATATATATGTATACACACACACACACACACACACACACACACACACACACACACACAGGTGGGGCAAAAGTAGGTTTACAGTTGTATGTAATACAGTTTATTCTTATATTATTATTGTTTTATTTTCCGTATGAACAACTGTAAACCTACTTTTGCCCCACCCTGTATATTTGGATAAATATGATTTCTCTGAGTTACTCTCTAGTCTGCCCTACCAATAAGAAACGTTAGAAAGTTCTCCCCAAATAACTTTTTGACCACAGTTCTAAAATGCAAAGAATGTTATCATTTTATAAGCCATGAGAAACTCTGAGACTATCCAAATGGAATGAAATAATTTAAAGGGCTTTCCACTGTGAACAACTGCTGACTGTTTCGAATCCAGAGTCATCAAATGTAATCAAACTGATTTCAACAAGAAATGAAATACCAATTTCCTTCTGCCTTCATTTCAGTTAAGGGCAAAACTATCCTTCACACCTAAGTTGCTCTAGAACAGGTAAAACCCTCTGGATACTGCCTTTATAAAAAGACTAACTCAATAGTGAGCTGACTTTGCAGAGTCAAAGTTCAGTATGCTAGCACTTTATGGCTTAGAAAAACTAAAGTCTCTGGGATGAGGAAGAGGGAAAAGAAATCCAAGTTACAGGCTAGGAGCTGAGTCCCCTGTGATACAGATCAAAAAAGGGCAAAGTCAGAGGACGTATCTGAGAACAGGCCAACGATCAGCATAACTATCATACCACTAGAGGTCCAGTGCACAAAATTCGTGCACTGGGGGGGGGGGGGAGGGAGTGTTCCTCAGCCTGGCCTGTGCCCTCTTGCAGTCCAGGATCCCTCGGGGGATGTCCAACTGATGGCTTAGGCTCGCTCCCTGTGAGGAGTGGGCCTAAGCTGGCAGTTGGACATTCTTAGCGCTGCCGTGGAAGCGTGAGAGGCTCCTGCCACTGCCGCTGCGCTGGATGAGCCCAGATTCTGGCTGAGCAGCGCTTCCTCTGTGGGAGCACACTGACCACCGGGGGCAGCTCCTGTGTTGAGCGTCTGCCCCCTGGTGGTCAGTGCACATCATAGCAACTGGTCGTTCAGCTGTTCGGTTGATTTGCATATTAGCCTTTTATCATATAGGATCATCTCCCCTAACACCATTACCAATAATTCCTTAATGTAATCTAATACCTGGAAATAAAATTTTACATGTTAAAAAAAAGAAGCATATACAATAGGTAGTAAAGCCACCATGTTCATGGACATGTATAAAATATGTCCTCTGCCATATAGTACAAAATATCTACTAGAATAACAAATGAAAATACACTTATATTGACCACCTCTTTGGGCTTGGTATTGCAGGGGACAGATGCAAAGAAGAATATACTCATTCCTGCCTTCAAGGAGCATACGGCCTAGTGGAGGGAAACAGAAAAACAGATAATTATGACAGTGATAGTACCTAAGAGAGAGGTCAGCACAGGAGGAAGAGGTTGAACCTAACCCTGCTGGGGTAGGTAGTCAAGAAAGACTTCTGGAAGGAGCTGAGTCAAAGGATGAGTAAAAGCCCAGCCAGCATGGCTCAGTGGTTGCATGTTGACTTATGAACCAGGAGGTTACTGTTCAATTCCTGGTCAGGACACATGCTTGGGTTGCAGGCTCGATCCCCAGTAGGGGGCGCCCAGGAGGCAGCCGATTGATGATTCTCTCTCATCATTGAAGTTTCTATCTCTCTCCCTCTCTCTTCCTCTCTGAAATAAATAGAGTTAGCTCTGCAAAGAAAGGCAAAGGGCACTTCAGAGTGTGCATAGGCACTAAGAGTAAAGTTAAAGATAACTCAGCACTGAAAGATAAAGTGGAGAGATGAGCAAGGGCATTGTATGCCATCCTAAGGAGTCTGGACTTTATTCTGAAGGACACTGAAAAATTTAAGTCTTATTAATGCACATCTAATACTGTGGGGTAAGGCTACATTTAAAAATACATACTGAGCCGAAACCGGTTTGGCTCAGTGGATAGAGCGTCGGCCTGCAGACTGAGGGGTCCAGGGTTTGATTCCGGTCAAGGGCATGTACCTGGGTTGTGGGCACATCCCCGGTGGGGGATTTTCAGGAGGCAGCTGGTCGATGTTTCTCTCCCATTGATGTTTCTGCCTCTCTATATCTCTCCCTTCCTCTCTGTAAAAACTCAATAAAATATATTTTTTTTTAAAAAAAATACATACTGAGCCCAGCTGGCATGGGTTCAATTCCCAGTCAGGGCACATGCCCAAGGTTGCCGGCTTGATCCCCAGTAGTGGACATGCAGGAGACAGGCTATATACAATGAGTTTCTCTCTCATTGATGTTTCTCTCTCATCGATATTTCTCTCTCTCTATCCCACTCCCTTCTTCCCTCTCTAAAAAATAAAAACATTTTTTAAAAATACATACTGAGTTCCAACTATGTACTAGATCCTGGGAACTCAATAGTGAAAGATAGACATGATTTCTACAATCACGGTTCCTAATGTAAATGGTTTTACAAAAAACAAATCATTGTGAATTATAATAAATGCTACAAAATCAAAGAATAAAGTGCTTTGAGAGACCCTAATGAGATGGAGCCAGCAGGGCTAGGAAGGACACACCTAAGTTGGACAAGGTCAGAAGAGGCCTCACAGGCTGAGGAAGTGACATTTACAGAGACATGAAGAAGGGATGCACTGGGGCAGAGGGAAATAACATGTGCAAAGGCCACACTGATAAATAGCTTTGCATGTTCAAGGAAATGTAAGAAAGCCAGTGTGACTGGGGTACAGAGGGCAAAGGAACAAGTGGCAGGAAGTGAAACCTGAGAGAGGCTAGAACATGTAAAATCTTATAGGCCATAAAGAATTGAGATTTTATTTTCAGTGCAGCAACTATTGAAGAGTTTTAAGCAGGGGAATGACATGATCTTACCATTTTTAAAAATCATTCTAGCTACCTGATGGAGAATGGATTAAAGAAACAAAAAATAGAAGTAGAAAAACCACTTAGGATGCTACTGAAACTGTACAGAGAGATGGTTACTTGGAGCAGGGTTGTAACAGTGGAGATAAAAAGGTATAGGTAGGTTCTAGAAATATTCTGGAGGTAGAATCAAAGGGTTCACAGACAAATTGTATATAAAGGATGGGGAAAAGGAAGAACTCCAGAGTGACTCCTAGGGCTCTGGCTTGAGCAAATGCATAGGTACTGAGATGCGGAACACTGAAGTGAAACTAGCCTGAGAAAGACATCAAGAGGTTTTTTTGTTTGTTTTAACATGTTAAGTAAGATGGGCTAATGATCCCTAAAGCTATCAGGTCCTACCCCGAGGAATCTATAAATGTTGTCTTACATGGAAAAAGGATCTCTGTCGGTATAATTAAATTAAGGATCCTGAGATGAGGGCATTATCCTGGATTATCTGAGTAGGCCCTAAATGCTATCACAAGTATCCTTACAAGAGGGCAAAGGAAGATTTCACAGACAGAAGAGGAGAAGGCAGTGTGATCTCAGAATCAGCGATTTGAATGATGCAGCCACAAGTCAAGCAATGCCAGTGACACCAGAAGCTGGAAGAGTCAGGAACAGATTCTCCCCTAGAGCCTCTGGAGGGAGCACGGTCCTGCTGAAACACTGATTTTGGTGGAGACGGATTTCAGATTTCTGGCCTATAGAACTGTGACCAAGTAAATTTCTGTTGTCTTAAACCAAGTTTGTGGTCATTTGTTTCAGCGGCCACAGGAAACTATTACATGGAATTGGAGGTGCCTGAAAAAGCATACAAATAAGCTGTTGATAGGAGAGTCTGGAGTTAGAGTTATTGTTTCAAATAGTCCTAAGGGTTTGAAAGTTGTACTCTTACCTCCAAGTCCTTCCGAATGCTTTCAAACTCTTCAATGTCATCAAGCTTCAGCTCTAGGCGAGTTGGTTTTCGTCGCAACATACTGAAGTTAATACTAAGGGCCAGACCCACTTAACTATCAGCTGTTAAAAATGGCAGAAAGGAGGAAAAACTGGAGGGGATAAATCTCAGCTGCGAATGTAAGATCAATTTGTAAGCATGCACACTAAACTGAATGGCAATGCAAAAGACTCATTTGGACTCACACATACACGTCTAAGTCTCTAGGTGTCTGAACATACGTTTTTCTGTTTATTTTTTAAAATCTTTATTGTTGAAAGTATCACATTTCCTTTCTCCCCGCATTGATTCCTTCTAGCCCACCCCCACCTCCCAGCCCAGGCCTTCATCACCCTATTGGCTGTGTCCATGGGTTATGCATATTTGCATAGAAGTTCTTTGGTTGATCTCTTTCTACCCACCCCAGCCTTCTGAGATTCGACAGTCTGTTCTATGCTTTTATGTCTCTGGATCTATTTTATTCATCAGTTTATTTTGTTCATTAGATTCCACATAGGAGTGAGATCAGTGATACTTGTCTTTCTCTGACTGGCTTATTTCACTTAGTATAATACTCTCCAGGTCCCTCCATGCTGTCTCAACACACGTTTTTATTATAAGATGGAGATCCACAACTCTAACTCCAAAACACTCTTCAGGAACTTAAAATAGCAAGCTGCCTATATAAGAATTCTAGGCAACAGTCATTTTAATCTCATGCTCCAGTTACATTCAAAGCATTTTCTAGCTAACAGAATAACATTCAAATATCACATCTTAATTCAGCAGTGTTAGTGGGAAAATACACAAGTCATTAAATTTGATCAACTCTACATGAGAATTGTGAGAGGTCTGTGATCACTCCTGAATACTAAAATCAGTTTACTAAATCTCCCTCTAACTCACCAATTCACAGGGTTATCCTCAGGGCCTAAATAGATAGGTCATTCATTAAACAAACACTTCCAGCTGCAGTTAAAAGGCACAGTCACAGTCTGTGGAGAAAACAAACACATAAACAGAAAACTGCATAGTGTACTAAGAATGTTGACGAGGATAATGCAATGGCATCACATAGGCCCAATCCACTCTGGGTTAAGTGTAGGGTTGACAGTGACATGGAGGACTTTTTGGAGGAGATGATGTCTTAGTTAACTAGTGAAGGGCAGGCAAAGAACGAGGATTAAGGGCACTCTAGGCAGAGAAAACAAGGACCCAAAGGGGCTCAAGAGAACACTCCAGTCTGAAAACCCAAGGTAGTGCTTATGCTAACTAAAAACATTTTTTGGAGAAAAAAATAAAACTCCCCACTGAGTTTAAAATCTATTGATGGCATAACCTTTATATTTTCCACAGCATCCAATAGGGTGTATCTATAATAATCAGGCAGTAATGTTTAGTTGAATAAACCAGAGATCCAAATAAAGTGAAATGATTTTTCCTTGAGCACTGTACTATGCTTTTCCATTCTCATTCCTTATAATTTAACACAAAATCCCTGTGATGCTGGCAAAATTTTACAGATGAAGTCAATGCTGTTAAGTTTGGTAAGCCTCCCATAAAAATTACAGAGAGATACCTGGTGGGGATTAAATGAGAATGAGAACATGAAAGCTCCTTTATTTATAAATTGTTATTGCATGTATCTAGGATGTAGCTAATGGCTGTGAAGTATACAAAGAAAAAAATGTTTCCTTCTCCCTCATGAAAACTGGGGTACAGATGATAATCTATAATAATAAAAGCATAATGTGCAAATCGACCAAACGACCGAACAGCAGAATGACTGTCCCGACGATCAAGCTATGACACACACTGGTGCCAGGCCAGTCAAGGCGCGTGCGATGCGACTGGTCGGAGGCCCGCCATCGCCCCATGATGGCCCCGCAGAGGGTGACAGCGGATGCAGACTGCGCCATGCCAAGGCAGGTGCAGGCAGGGGGGCAGGGCCCTGGCTGCCAGGAGCTGCAGGGAAGCCAGTGCCAGCAGCGGAGGGAAGGAAGGCCTACCCTTGCACGAATTTCGTGCATCGGTAGTATCAACATAAAATACGAGCATGTCGCATTTCAAATTGCTTTGTACTAAGTCTGATATTATCTTGATTCCAATGTAGATAAATGATAGAGGGAGCCAAAGCTCTGGGGAGAAATGCTTAAAAGGAAAACATTGGCCCCACCAGTGTGGCTCAGTGGTTGAGGTCTCAGTTTGATTCCCAGTCAGGGCACATGCCAGGGTTGCTGGCTCAATCCCCAGTGTGGGGCGTGCAGGAGGCAGCTGATCAATGATTCCCTCTCATCATTGATGTTCCTATCTCTCTCTCTCTCTCCTTCTCCCTTCCTCCCTGAAATCAATAAAAATATGTTTTTTAAAAAAAATAAAGAAAAACATGTCTTTGCACTCTTCTGCAAATTGAAAAGCTTGCCACTAGGGAGCAGTATAGAGCAATGGATAAAAGTAAGAGAAAAGGGCAGGGTGTTCTAATACCATCCACTGCTTATCTTGAACAATTAGCTTCATCTTTCACTAGATCTTAATTTCCACATCAGCACTCTGTTATTGTACGGACTGAGTGATGGAATGCAGACTACGTTCCTGGAATATAACTTGTCATTCAGTAAACTCTCAATAAGAGTGTTTTACAGCCCTGGCTGGTTTGGCTCGGTGGATAGAGCGTCAGACTGTGGACTGGAGGGTCCCGGGTTCGATTCGGGTCGGGGGCTCATGCCCGGGTTGCGGGCTCGATCCCCAGTTGGGGGCATGCAGGCGGCAGCCAATCAATGAGTCTCTCTCATCATTGATGTATCTATCTCTCCCTCTCCCTTCCTCTCTGAAATCAATACAAATATATTTTTTTAAAACGAGTGTTTTACAGTTTACAGCCATTATTACAGTAACTGTCCTTGTGGAGCGGGGCGGGAAACACCTAACATTTTGAGCATCTGCACCCTCGACAAGAGGCTTGACTTTTTCAACTCTGATGCCCCAGCACCCAGCCGGACACAGGGCCATGCGGAGTGGTTTGCACGTGCCTGACGCCTCCCACCCATCATCTCACCCTGAGCCTGAGGACAAAGACCGGGCTGAAGACAACGAAAGCAGGCCGCGGCTCCTCGGCCGGGTCTGTATGCTACTTTGGCGCTAGAGGGCTCCGGAGCTTAATCTCTCGCCGCTGCCCGAATTCACCAGCTCAAGGGGAGCCCCGGGGAGAGAACTTCCAGACACCAAGAAAGGCTCGCCGGCGGCAGGTCCAGGGCAACACTCACCGGTCCGGCGCAAGGGTTTCCATGGCAACCGGGTCCCCGGATCCAGGACAACGGAAAGCCGCTGGCAGAGCCGAGAGGAACGGCCCCCGGAAGCCCTCGTTCCGCTCCGGAGTCCAGCCCGAAGCCGTGCGCCTCGACGCCCCTACCTCCTCTCGAGCCTGCTCTGCCCCCTCCCGGAGCCTCGGCGCCCACCAAGGCTTCCGCTCAGCCGACTGCGCTCCACGCCCCAGCCCGCCCTCAGCCAGAGCCTCTCCTCGCAGAACCTCGGCCTCCGCGCACGTTTCTCGGAGGCTCCACGGGTCACCCCTCGCAACGCGCCCACAAGCCTTCCTTCCTTCCCACTACGATTCCCAGCGTGCTCCACGCCGCCCCGGACGCTGCGTCGCTCTTGACCCACTTCCGGTCGGTGACGCAGTTCCGCTCGGCTGGGCGCGCGGTGGATTGTCTGGGAAGCAGAGCCCGGCTGTGGCTGGGGTTTCGCGGCTCCATAGCCCGGCATGGCTTCCACACGAGCTTCCTCCACGGTACAGATCTCCGCTCACCCTGGCAGGGGGCACCGCGGGCTTGGGGGTCCCTGCGGGACGGGGCCTCGAGGGGTCGGGCTCAGTCCGTGGAGGGCCGAGGAGGAAGGCTGCGAGCCTGCGTCTGGGCTCAGCGGGCTCCGTTTTCCTGACGCCTAAGCGCTTTCATGTGCTGGAGCCCATGTGCACCCCTTGTGCAGCCGCGAACGGTCAGTGCGTCTTCCGACGGGTCCAGAAACGGAGCTCTGAGGGGAGCAGCGCCCTGGCCAAGGCTGACGTCATTGTCAGACTTGTTCATTGTAATGAGGCCTCCTAACGTCATAGGAACATTCCCCCTTCGCATCGGGGTGGTTATTTCAGTCACCCCTTCTACTTCCCCTGTGATGAGCAAGAACCCTGGAAGCTCCATAAAACCCGAGAAGGGATTGCACTCCAGCCAGATGAATTAAACATGCTCCAAAGCAAACCTTTGATAGGAAAAGCGCCAACAGAAATTAAGTAGTTTTATCAGCCTCTTCCTGCCTGAGATACTGGACAGCCACTCCTCCCGCCCCATCCGTGAAGACACCTTTTTTTTTTTTTTAACTCACACAGGACCATTTTTTCCTATTCATTTTTAGAAAGAGTGTACGGGAGGGAGGGAGGGAGAGAGAGAGAGCCATCGATGTGAGAGAGACACATCTACTGGTTGCCTCCCTCACGCGCCTGACTAGGGCCAGAATCTAACCTGCAACCCAGGAACGGCCCTGGACCGGGGATCGAACCCCAGACCCTTTGGCAGGCGAACGTCTACGGAAGTGCCCTCCGTGTTCTTTCCTTTAGGGAGGGAATGCAGCTGAAGCTCAAGATGAGCTTTGTTCTTTAGGGAAGCATAATAAATGGCTGAGATTAAGCCGTAAATTAATCCAGGTCTTTGATTTAGCAGGCAACCAAAACCAAGGCACCTGATGACTTAGTCGCGCCTGTTGTGAAGAAACCACACATCTACTACGGAAGTTTGGAAGAGAAGGAGAGGGAGCGTCTGGCCAAAGGAGAATCTGGGATTTTGGGAAAAGAAGGACTTAAAGCAGGAATTGAAGCAGGAAATATTAACATAACCTCTGGTAAGATGCAAATTGTGAGTCCCTCTTTGTCTGTGGTGCTCAAATTTTCTGCGATGAATGCCTTCCTAAACTTAGATTATCACTAGTTTTTTAGTGTCAACATTTTTCTGTTTTTAAACTGATATCTGTAAATGGTCATACTTTGCCTACTCTGCTTAGCATCATCCAGAGAGACTCTTGCTTAAAACCTGTTGAACAGTTTTTCTCTCATGAATTGTTAGGAATTTTACCAGGAGTTATTCAGTGTGTACAGCTGACCCATAAACAACATATTTTTAACTGTGTGGGTCCACTTCTATGTAGATTTTTAAATAAAGACTAATGTATTTTTCTTATGGTTTTCTTAATATTGCCTTCTCTAACCTTTATTGTAAAAATACAGTATATAATGCATATAACACAAAGAATGCGCTAATTGACTGTTTATGTTGTGGGTAAGGCTTTCAGTCAGTAGGCTATTAGTAGTTAAGTTTTGGGGGAAGCTATTCTGGAGCTCAAGCACAGTTCTGGCATTGGTTTGGAATTACTGTGGTTCACAGGAATCTCCTGTTAATAGTTTTCCATTTATTTTTTCTCCCAAAATGAAATTTTAAAATATGTTTTTATTGATTTTAGAGAGACGAAGGGAGAGGTGGGGAGAGAAACATTGATCGGCTGATTCCTGCATGCACCCTGACTAGGAATCGAACTGGGGACCTTCTGGTGCACAGGATGATGCTCAACCAACTGAGCCACACCAGCCCGGGCAAAATATTTTGTAAATTATAAAAATAATGCTCTGGCAAACTGAGCAAAAATAATTGCTCAGTTGGTTGGAACGTCCCATCCCATACACCAGAAGGTTGTGACTTCGTTTCATGGTTGGACAAATATGGGATGTTTCTTCCTCACATCAAATCAATAAAAAAAAATATCCTCGGGTGAGGATGAAAACAAGTGTGTGTATGGACACACACACACACACACACACACATATATATCATTTTGAAAAAAAATGTGGAAATGTGTGAAGTAGAACAACCTTTAATCCTTATTAATTGGGTCTATATCTTTCCAAGAATTCAAACCTATAAAAATATAGAATTTCTTTTCCATAAATGAAGCCATGATATACAGATTGTTTTATAATCTGTACTTCTCACTCTTGAGGATACCTTTCTATGTCAGTAACTAGTGGCCCATTATATTTTAAAAATTAACTTGCAGTGTTTGTAATATATTCAAACAGTATAAAATGAAGACTTCTCTGCAGAAAGAACTTCTGTCAAGTTTCTCATTGATCCTCCCACGTGTTTTTTTTCTATACACATGTACTTTAGTGACTTCTTTAGCCTTTTATGCTGATTTAAACATAACTGCTTCACCACTATGCTTACCATTTTTTATCCAAATGAACTTGTATTTGGTGTGAGTTTTTAAACTAGCTGCTAGTTTATTCAGAAAGCCTTGCAGTCAAGGAATAGCATTTTCATGGGAATTATTTCCAATTTACTACTTTCATTTGTAAGTGTCTCTGTACTGAGACTGTTTTAGAGAGTAGCTTTGACAAGTGTTAATATAATGTTTTTATTATGTCTTTTGGATAGGAGTCCTAGTTAACTCATTTGCTAAAGATGCTCCATACTCTACTTTTTTATCTAATCTAAGCTATGTGTTTATATAGGTGCTAGAGGCCCAGTGCACGAAATTCTTGCACTTGGCGGGGGTGCGGGGGGCATCCCTCAGCCTGGCCTGTGCCCTTTCACAGTCCAGGAGCCCTTGGGGGATGTCCGACTGACAGCTTAGGCCCACTCCCTGCCTAAGCCTGCAGTTGGATATCCTTAGTGCTGCCACAGAGGCGGGAGAGGTTCCCGCCACCGCCACTGCACTCACCAGCCATGAGCCCAGCTTCCGGCTGAGCGGCGCTATCCCTATGGGAGCGCACTGATCACTGGGGATAGCTCTTGCATTGAGCATCTGCCCCCTGGTGATAAGTGCACATCATAGCGACTGGTCGTTCAGTCGATTTGCATATTAGCCTTTTCTTATATAGGATAAGGTTGCCAAATGTAACAAGATGGCTTGAACCATTTTGCTGCCTTTTAAAGCTGTGTCATTTAGTTTTCTGTTTGGCATAAGTTAATAAACTGAGAAACAGTAAACTAAAGTGTGTAATAGATGCCCTTAACTTGAACTAAGGGCATACACAAAATCCAAATGTAAGAAATGTTTTCATTTTCCCTATTTGAAGAAAATCTGATGGTTATGCTGATGTTGCCTGTTCTTTTTACAGGGGAAGTGTTTGAAATTGAAGAGCACATAAGTGAGCGACAGGCCGAAGTGTTAGCCGAGTTTGAGAGAAGGAAGCGAGCCCGGCAAATCAATGTTTCCACAGACGACTCAGAGGTCAAGGCTTGCCTTCGAGCCTTGGGGGAGCCTATCACACTTTTTGGAGAGGGTCCTGCTGAAAGAAGAGAAAGGTGCCCTTTCTAAATACTCTTTTCTCTTTTAATCACAGGGTTCTAGTTCCAAATTTCAGTTGTTATTTATAGCAAAAACTTTAATAGAATGTCTCAGATATTGTTAGTATCTTAAGTTGTGTTTAGATAGTTTAACTCATAACCTCAGTCTAAGGCCAATTTTTACTCCACTACTAATTTTTCTTTATAAACTGTGAAGAGGGTGTTAGCATACTCCCTTTTCCTCTCCTCTCCCCTCCCCAATGTGGAATTTTGAGTTGGATAACCATTTGCAGTAAAACTTTGAAAATTTAGACAACAAATGCATTCCTTGTCAGTGACATAAAACAGCAATTTTCAATTCATCTCACAGCGCACATAAACTAATTACTAAAATTTTGTGGCACACCAAAAAATGTATTTTTTACCAATCTGGCAAAGGAAAAATAGGTATAATTTTGATTCATTCATATCAGATGGCTATTGTTGTGTTGGCTATTGTCATTTTTTTATTTGACAATCTAAGGGAAAAGAGGTCAGTGCCCTGACTAAATAGTCAGGTATTGCATGTTTTAACCTTTTGCGCTCCAACGTCGAGGCTGACTTGACAGACCAGGCGCTAGTAGCAGGTCCAACATGGAGCTGAGTTGGTGATTGAGCTAATTGGCAATTTCCGCCAGGGAACTACTGCAACCAAGAGAGGAAGGACTTCCAATTCGGACCAGACTGTTTGAATTCCAAAAATAAAATTGGAGCGCAAAGGGTTAAAAATTCTTGTGGCACACTGGTTGAAAACCGCTGATATAAAACATAATAAGTGGGTTTTGGATATTATTGAAAAGGAGCACTGTCCTTAGATAATCTCTTATGATTTTCAAGTTGCAAAGTCTCTTAGTGACAGGCAGCTGTGTGGTTATGAGGTCCTCTTTTTGTCTTTCTGTTCACTGTCCTGTCTCTCCCTATCATCATTTTTTTCTTGGTTTGCGTAGTTCGTGTTTTTAATCATTTTAAAACCTTTAACTTTATCTCGGATTCATTAAATATAACAATGCTGGGCCTGTTTGAACTACAAGGGAAGAAAACCAGTTTCTTCTAGCCGTACTGAACTGTTTGTGATTCCAAGCTCAGCATGCTTTCCTTACCTCCAGACCTTTACACTTGTTGAACCCTCTGCCTCAGCAATCCTCTTGCATTCTTGACCCATTGACCTGACTAAATGAAGACTCAAGTTAGGCAAACACCTCCTCTATTAAGCCTTCCCTGATCCTTCCTCCAAGCCTAGGTTAGGTACTCCTTCTTAAAAAACACACACACACACATATTTTTATTGGTTTCAGAGAAGGAGAGAGAGAGAAACATCAATGATGAGAGAGAATCCTTGATCAGCTGCCTCCTGCACGTCCCCCACTGGGGATCGAGCCCACAACCCAGGCATGTACCCCCGACCGGAATTGAACCCTGGACCCTCCAGTCTGCAGGCCAACACCCTATCCATCGAGCCAAACCAACTAGGGCAGCACTCCTTTTATGTTCCCCCTTAGCATCCTGTAATTACCACTGTATTAATAACTAATACAGCCCTGACCAGTTTGGCTCAGTGGATAGAGCGTCAGCCTGCGGACTCAAGGGTCCCAGGTTCAATTCCAGTCAAGGGCATGTACCTTGGTTGCAGGCACATCCCCTGTGGGGAGTGTGCAGGAGGCAGCTGTTCGATGTTTCTTTCTCATCGATGTTTCTAACTCTCTGTCCCTCTCCCTTCCTCTATGTAAAAAATCAATAAAATATATTTTTAAAAAATATTATTAGGCTAAAATATGAAAGCTCAGCAGTCAAGTTAAAAAGAAAGAGATCATTAAAAAAGTAATAAGTAATACAATGTTCTATAGTTCCTGTTACTTTGTTCCCCTTCCCACTTCACCTCCAAGACTGTGCTACTTGAAATAAAAAACTTTTCTTAGTCTTTGATGTATACTTAGCACTTCAGTCAGTATCTGGCACATGTGACATTGAGTGAGGGTTGGCTGTTTGCACAGACCAGTTGGTAGCTGTGCTGGAGCTAGTTAACTCTGAATTGATTAGGGTAATTACTTATGGCTCATCAGAGTATTTTGAAGATTGAGTGAAGGAGATCATACTGGAAGTTTAGGCATGACCTCTTGGATCTCAAAGCAGGTTGCTTGGAGTTTGAATGGTGAGAGAATAGGGGAGCTCGCTCCCTTCTTAGATGTACATTTTAAATTTTTACCTCAGTTCTGTTTAAATTTCATTCTTTCTGGTTACAGGTTAAGAAATATCCTCTCAGTGGTCGGTACCGATGCCTTAAAAAAAACTAAAAAAGATGATGAGAAATCTAAGAAGTCCAAAGAAGAGGTAAAATACGTCTTTACCTTCGCAATGTAAATATGAAAGAGATGGGATAGTTTTCTCATTTTATGTTTTCAGTGGTTTGCTTTGCTAGGATTGGAGGTAGGAGGGTTGAAGACTGTACCATTCAGGAATCGTTGTTGGCAATAGTATATGGTTTCTGTGTAGATGTAAGTGGAGATTGGTGAGTTTCCCATTCAGGAAAGAACTATAGCATTCCTCATGTAACTTAACGGAACCAGAAGCCATCTAACAAGACCTCACAGAAAGAAACAGTAGAAGCACATGCCTGATTTCATCCTGTTACTGAACTAATTCACCTTTATTCTGGGCAGTTAAAATAGGGAATTGACAGCTACGAATGGGGGCAGGAATGCTCAGGCTTAATATTTCTTTTCTTAATTTAACTTTCAGTATCAGCAAACCTGGTACCATGAAGGACCAAACACCCTGAAGGTTGCTAGACTATGGATTGCTAATTATTCGCTGCCCAGGTGAGGAGAGCCTCTAGGAGAAAGAGGCATATTCTTGTTTCCTCTCAGGGACGGAGGACCTGCTTTATAATGACTGGTTGTTAAATGAAATTGAGTGTCAGATACTGTGTAAACCCCCCATCTAAAACCCATTTACTCTCATGATGGTAACGTTTGCATATCATAGGGCAATGAAACGCTTGGAAGAGGCCCGTCTCCACAAAGAGATTCCTGAAACAACTAGGACTTCCCAGATGCAAGAGCTGCACAAATCTCTCCGGGTAAGATGCTGTTGGCAGTTGTTCAATATCCTACAGGTTCTTATATGTTTATTAGATTTTCCCTTTTGGCCACCTCTAGGAGGGTAAGGCAGCTAGATTTATTCCTCCCTGCTTACACTGTTGCCGTCTGTTTAGATGGCAGGAACCTACTGTACTTTGTGCTCAGCAGAGGCCTGTGGTTCTGCTCTTGAATTCTTCCCTTTAGGATGTCACAGCTGTACTGTAGATCTCTCCGTGGTTTTCTTCTTTATATTTAGCTGACAATAGGGCTAGTGATACTAAGACTGTAGAAGACCGTGTGCTGCAGTTTCAGATATGCCTTGACCCATTCATTCATCCGTATAAGTATCTCCTAGCCAAAAAAAAAAGTATAAAAGAATCTTGGGTTGTATTAAAACTGTGAAGTTGCTTTGTTATAGTGGAAAAGCCAACTCCTGGGTTAGCCTATTAATGATTGTTGTATGTTGTGTGTTTTTTTAAGTCTTTGAATAATTTCTGCAGTCAAATTGGGGATGATCGGCCTATCTCCTACTGTCACTTTAGTCCCAATTCCAAAATGCTGGCTACAGCTTGTTGGTAAGTTACGTTTTACAGTGACTTTTTTTTTTTTTTTTCCTAAATAAGGAATAGGTTCAGGAAAAAAGTTAGCATGTCTTAGATGTCTATTTCTATGTTACCCTCTTGCTCTGCTTCTCTTGATCACACCAGACTAGAGATGCTACTGCTCTACCAATGTGTTATACAGTAAAGTCTTTGTGAACAGTCCTTAGTGTTCACAAGGGACCCCAGAGATCATGACATGTAGCAGTATGTTCTTGACACTAGTATTTTGGAGCGTGTCACAGAATGAGCTATCTTTATTTTATTTTCTACTTACCACCATGTTTGCATAAAACTCTTAGGATGTGATAACTTATTTTGTTCTATTTAGTTATTTTTGTGGGACATGGCCCACTAGATATAAGAGGGGAAACTTCCTTACATTGTATGCACAGGAACTACTTGACTAGGCAGCAGTTGAGACCGTGGTTCAGGAGAAAGCCGAGGACCTACACAGATACCTCCACCTCTCCAAGCCTCAGTTACCTTCATTATAAAGCAGAAGTTATCATTCCTATTTTACGTACCTCACAGGTCTGTTAATAAGGATCATTTGAGAAATTGGTGGGAAATTTCCTGAAAAAAGTCTTTTCAAAAAATTTTTTAAAAAGAAGTCTAAAGAAAGTTACATATTTTGTAAGCAGCAAAATGCCATTCATATTTAAGGAGATAGTATCTTTATTAATGCTATTATTATCAGATAATTTAATTTGTCCTACTTTCCCTCACAAATTGACCCAAAAGTTAAGGAGAATAGCAACTTGTATGTATTAATTATAGCCCAGTAGAGGCTTCTAGTTGCATGACAACTAAATCTAGCTTTCTTCTATAAAACTTCAAATAATAAGCCTTTTATTCTCTTTCTGTCTGCCACTGTAAAGTTTAATGGGGGTGAAAAGAGATTGTAATGTTACCAAGGTACCTTTTCCTTCCCAGACCAACCCTGGCTGAGATGCTTTCCTTTGTATTTGATAGGAGTGGGCTTTGCAAGCTCTGGTCTGTTCCTGATTGCAACCTCCTTCACACTCTTCGAGGTGAGTTAGAATGTTATTTAAATCTGTGTGCTTTTCACATTCTTAAGTCTTTTTTGTGTTTTGCTTTTATTAATGTGCTTTAAATATTAGTTTAAATTGTTTATTTTTAAAATATTTCAATTGTTATTTTAATACTCTATAGGTCTTTATTTCCCTGATATATAACCTCTGTTGTTCATCATAGTCTGTATTTGCACGTAAGTTATAAGAGGGTAGGAACCCTTTAACTTTCATCTCTTACCCTCCTTCAGGCCATAACACAAATGTAGGAGCAATTGTATTCCATCCGAAATCCACTGTTTCCTTGGACCAAAAAGATGTCAATTTGGCCTCTTGTGCTGCTGATGGTTCTGTGAAACTTTGGAGCCTTGACAGGTGAATATTACTGTTCTTTCTGTACTCAAATCACTGAAATAAATAGTTGATTGGTTGGCTCTTAGAACCCGAAAATCTGATGTTTAACCCCAGAGTACTCTAGGAGTCAAGGAAACTTGTTATGAAAATAGAATAGAGCCAAAACCGGTTTGGCTCAGTGGATAGAGCGTCGGCCTGCGGACTGAAGGGTCCCAGGTTCGATTCCGGTCAAGGGCATGTACCTGGGTTGTGGGCACATCCCCAGTGGGAGATGTTTAGGAGGCAGCTGATCGATGTTTCTCTCTCATCAATGTTTCTAACTCTCTATCTCTCTCCCTTCCTCTCTGTGAAAAATCAATAAAATATATTTTTTTTAAAAAGAAAATAGAATAGAGCCCAGCTGGTGCTGAGCAGTGGTTGAGCATCGACCTATGAACCAGGAGGTCACGGTTCAGTTCCCAGTCAGGGCACATGCCCCAGTTGCATGCTCAGTCCCCAGTGTGGGGCGTGCAGGAGACAGCTTATCAATGATTCTCTCTCATCATTGATGTTTCTATCTTTTCCTCTCCCTTCCTCTCTGAAATAAAAAATACATATTTTTTTAAAAAAAATAGAGGTTTTTTTTTTTTTTTTTTTACACCTTTTCTCATCAGAGTTGTGTCAGGCTTTTTCTTGTCAACTTTAGAACTTGATTTTTTGCCTCTAACATAGTGGCCACTTTTTCCTGGCTCCATTACTCTGGAAAGATCCATTTTACTTCCTGTGCAATATATTGACGTTGAAGAAATGCAGTGTTTGGTAGATTGACTAAAGATAACATTCTGACAGCATGTTGGTTCTTAGCAAACAGCCACAGGGGAGGGGAAAGTGAGATTCTGTCTGGCAGTATTGCTAAAGAAGGGATGTCTTCCTTCCAATAGCATCATCCTTTACCTAGACCAGTGGTTGGCAAACTCATTAGTCAACAGAGCCAAATATCAACAGTATGATGATTGAAATTTCTTTTGAGAGCCAAATTTTTTAAACTTAAACTATATAGGTAGGTATATTGTTATTAACGTAATTAGGGTACTCCTAAGGCTTAGGAAGAGCCACACTCAAGGGGCCAAAGAGCTGCATGTGCCTTGCGAGCCGCAGTTTGCCGACCACGGCCCTAGGACTTTGATAACTTCTATGTATGCACATTGATAAAGTTCTCTTTTTCATTGCCCTCTTTAGGGTTCTTGTTTATTTTCTTTCACTGGTGTTTCAGATCTTCCTTCTGTAGTTACTGGGTAATAAAATTTAAGGGTCACCCAAAGTGGTATAGCCTTCAGAGTTTAACAACATAGTGAATTCAGGTAGAAGGAGTGCTATAGGCAGTTTTGCCCTATGAGCACATGAAGTCCCAAATCTTTTAAAACCTTGGGAAGTGACAAATTCTTTTTAGACCTAAAGTTTTAACAAATTACAAGTGTGTTTATAATTTGGCTTCTCAAATAATACAAAATTGGTGCATCTGTATGCAACAGTTAATAAATTCAATGAGTATTTATTTACATGCATATAGAACAGTTTACTCACGTGTATTTGATTCCTTTTCAGTGATGAACCAGTGGCAGATATTGAAGGCCATACAGTACGGGTGGCCCGTGTAATGTGGCATCCATCAGGACGTTTCCTGGGTACCACCTGGTAAGCCTTCCTATTGTTCTGTCTGTACTAAAAGCCTAGCCTGCGCCCTCTCGCAATCCGGGACCCCTTGGGGGATATCAGAGAGCTGGTTTTGGCCCAATCCCCACAGGCCAGACCGAGGGACCCCACCGGTGCACGAATCCATGCACTGGGCCTCTAGTATGCATATAAGATCTATGGTTAATCTCTTCCCTCCCTCCCCCCTTCCCTCTGAGATTCATCAGTCTGTTCCATGTTTCCATGCCTGTGGTTTCTGCTCCTGCGTTGAGCATCTGCCCCCTCATGGTCAGTGTGCATCATAGATACCAGACGGTCACTTAGGCTTTTATATATTTAGATGGGCTTATGACATCTTATTAACCCTTTATGGTTAACTGCCAAGTAAATTTTTAGATCAGAGATCTTCAAGGATTTTATTGTCAGTGAATCAGAATAGAGTATATTATGTAGTTAGAGGTAAGTGTATTTGCTCTTAAATTGCAGCAAGCTTCTTGTTGCTAGGAAGTAAATTTTAAAGTCACTAGTTGTCCAGAAAACTAAAATTTTCACTCTTTCTTGACCAACACTAGAGGTGTGTGTGTTTTGTTTTCTGTGTTTGCTGTTTTGGGGTGTTGTTTTTGGGGGGGGGGGCGTTGTGGGGTTTTTTACATTATAATCTCTGCTTCAAATTGGTCTCCCTTTCTGGTTCTATAAGTTTAATGAAAGACTCGTTCACGTTGTTTGTATGTATGAGTAGTTCCTTTTTCTTGCTGAGGAGTAATCAGTTATATTACTGAGCGACAGTTTATCCATTTTCCTACTGATGGACAGTTGGGCTGTTTCCAGGTTTTGGCTCATCAGAACAAAATCGCCATAAATATCCTTGGACAAGACTCTTTGTAGACATGCTTTTCTTTCCTTTCTCTTAAATAAATACCTACAAACGCAAATGGTAGGTCATAGGGTACATGTGTATTTAACTTTTGAAAAACTTCCAAGGGGTTTTCTAAAATGGTTGCACCATTTTACATTCCCAGAATTCTGATTGCTTCACCTCCTTGCCAACAGTTGGTTTTGTCAGTCCTGTCATTCTGCCCAATCTAGCAAATGTGTGGTGAAACCTCATGGTTTTCATTTTTGTTACTTCAATGACTATTAGTGTTGAGTACTTTGTTATATGCTTACTACCATTTGTATATTCTCTTTTGTGTAGTTTTCAGATGCTTTATTTCTTTTTTAAAATGAACTTTTTCCTATCTTTATTTCCACGTACAGACAGTTCTACCACTTTCCTTTCCCTGTTGAAATTGCTTGACACCCTCATTGAAAATCATTTGACCATATATGAGTAGGTCTATTTCTTCTCTTTCTTTTCTACTCCATTGATTTGTCTATGATTGATTTTTGTATCCCCAACATGAATTTAGGGCCCAGTAAATATATCAACGCTGGATGAATGAAAGAACATAAAAGTGGAATTGGGGAAGAAAGAAGGCAACAGAGTCTTTGCTGGGCCATTCTTAGGGGATTCTGTTCTTAAAATAGGTTAATCAGAAGTCATGGTTTTTCCAGTTAGCACCCAAGACAGATATGCTTAGTTATTGAGACACTAGAGGCCCAATGCGTGAAATTCGTGCAAGGGCCTTGGCCCCGCTGTCGCACCGGCCGCCTCTGCTTTGGTCCCCACCCGCTGCCATGGCCAGGGATCTCCACCACCTCTGCCTCAGACCCTGCCCCCCATGGCTTTGTCTGGAAGGACGTCCGGAAGGATGTCTGGTCTAAATAGCATATTAGGCTTTTATTATTATAGATTGCTTATGCCAGAAAATAACTTGTTTTCTAAGTAGTTGCAGAAGCATAACTGAAGCTATAACTAATAATAATACCTTGCACATTACAGAAACTGAATACATATATGCTGGCTGAATATTTGTGTGTTTCTTAGCTATGACCGCTCATGGCGCTTATGGGATTTGGAAGCTCAAGAGGAGATCCTGCATCAGGAAGGCCACAGCATGGGTGTGTATGACATTGCCTTCCATCAAGATGGCTCTTTGGCTGGCACTGGGTAAGGCTTTTTCCACATAGCCAGGGGCAGCTCAGTAGTCTCACCTCTTATGTATAGCTGCTTCCACAGAGAACTGGATTAAAAATGTTCATTTGTAAATTATTTTATCAGGGGACTGGATGCATTTGGTCGAGTTTGGGACCTGCGTACAGGACGTTGTATCATGTTCCTGGAAGGGCACCTGAAGGAAATCTATGGAATAAATTTCTCCCCCAATGGGTAAAATAAGCTCATTGAATGATGGGGTGGAGAGGGTTCTTGGTCAGGAAGTACTCTTTGTTTCTAACTTGGATACTACCATCTGATCCACAGCTACCACATTGCAACCGGCAGTGGTGACAACACCTGCAAAGTATGGGACCTTCGACAGCGGCGCTGCATCTATACCATCCCCGCCCATCAGAACTTAGTGACTGGTGTCAAATTTGAGCGTAAGCTTTCCTCCTGTTTTAGAATAATGAGAAAGACAGATTGCACTTTCATGGAATGCAGGCCAGGCTGTAGCTTAACTTGGAGGGGGAACAGGAGAGAATTTGGACTCTGTCAGAGAAGCAGATTATCATTTCCTTCCCTCTGCCCTACCTTCAGACAGAACTGTGGCACAGCGTGCTTGTTGCTAGGAAGTAAAAAAGACTTCGTGAGTGCTTTACTGCATCTTTTTCTCCATGGAAATCATACTCAACAAATCCTTAATATTATTCTGAATTGGTTGTTGAAAAAGCAAAAAAAAACCTTAATAATATTGTTTCCCTAATTTTCCCTGCAGTTGTCCCTTTTTCCTGGAGACCTGTTAGGAATATAGATCAGTGTTGGGTTTTTCTGAATGTAGAAATACCTTCTTTTTTGAAATAGTATGTCCTGGAAGAATTTTGTGCTTTTGTTAAGCTCTTTTGAATACTTAAATTCCTTAAGCAACTCCACTTTTCTCTTGCAGCTATCCATGGGAATTTCTTGCTCACTGGTGCCTATGATAACACAGCCAAGATCTGGACCCATCCAGGCTGGTCCCCACTGAAGACTTTGGCTGGCCACGAAGGCAAAGTGATGGGCCTAGACATTTCTTCTGATGGGCAGCTTATCGCCACTTGCTCATATGACAGGACCTTCAAGCTCTGGATGGCTGAATAGGCACGACCCTAGAAAAAGGACTCCAACCTCAAGCTCTCCCTTAAGAGCCATTTTGTTGTATCATGTTTGTTGCCAGTTACCTCAGTACATTGGATTCTATGTCAGCCCCTACTCCAAGCAGACAGCCCAGTTCCTGGGAGCTGGTGAACCCCTTTCATGCTTGAATTTTAATGTCATCTTCAAGCCCTGCCAGTAACTATGTAGACAATTGTTTTTATTAATCTTTTGTTTGAATACCCTGTTGCCTTCCTCATAGCACTCAGGATTGTGGCTAGCTCCATTTTTAATTCTAGAAACTTGGCTTTCTGTTACATGGTACATGCTTCAGGACTACCTGTGGCCCAGAGAGCAAGGTAGCTGGACTGCAGTCTAGGAGCCCTGGAGTCAAGAGGCACATCTCACCACATACTGGTTAACGCCTGACAGAGCAAGAACCTTTCCTCTGCCCTGAGAATGGGAGGTGAAGAGGTAGACCCACAGCGATGCTCAGAGTTATGCAGTAAAGATTTTACCTCTTCCTGTTGACTTCACTTGGAATGTACCTGCATCAGGGAGCTTCAGGAAGCTCAGAACTGAACATTTGCCTCATTGGAAAATGTCTTCCATTTTTCTTTGATGTTTGGCATCCTTCGTGTTACCCCAAAGCTAGACCATTGTGTCAAGATTCAATGAAATTTTTAGAAAGCTAACATGATGTCTCTATTGTGCAAACTCCTTTTTATTGGTTATTTAGAGGATATACCCTTCATGTCAAGGTAACTGGAAAAAATCCCTAAAGGGTATTATTAAACATCAACTGTGACTTTTATTACATATTTGCTACAGACTAAAATCCTGTTTTGAAAGCTATACTTCAAATAATTATTTTGCATAGTTAAGTCTTTTCTGAATCTCAGCCTTGGGTTCATCAAAGTCCCTGTTTTTTGGGTTGAGATACAACGTGATGTATCAAATATGATTACTCCAATTTCTGTTCCCTTAATAAGCACTCTGTTAATCATTTAAAAAAATATAGAGAGTGCTATTGCATTGTGGGCCCCACTACCAGTGAACTGTACAGGATCTGGACTTAACTTTTACTCATTGGCTACCCAGCTGTTGCCTTCACCTTTTTCCACCCCAAATATACAGTCACTAAACTCAAAGTACAAAGTAAATTCATACAAAAATATAGAAATTTAGAAGAAAAGATTGTATATAGAGCATTCAAGGAGGGCTTATATGATGGCTTCTCCTTGAAGTGTTGCACACACTTCACTTGCTAGTCCAGAGGGGCTGAGTGTAGCTTGTCTAGCTCTATTTTTCAAGCTATGATTGTGTGATATATAGCTAAATGTTTAATCTGGTTTCAGTTATAACCAAATTGTTGCATATCCTGTGTACTTGTTAAGCTTCTGAGTTCTCAACCCTGCTCTCTGTTGGGTACTGCACTATTGTTTATAAAGGGACACTATTTCTTCCATAGTTGGTCATGAAAAAATTATTTTCAATACTACCTTTGTAGTATGTGTAAACTAATAATGAACATTAGTGTATTAGCGTGTAATTTGGGTATAATGTGTTAAAATTTTGAGTTTTTTCAAGTTTAAATTCTATCCCATTAACCTTGTCTTTGGGAGTGGGGAGTCCAAGGGATTTCGAGGTGGCAACTGAGTGAAAACATTCTATCTAAGTCTTTGGCAAAACAAGTGTCTTGTGGAATACACATTTCTTCACTGGAGATACTGTAAGAAAGGGGTTAGCTGAGGAACATAAACCGAGTGTGTCATTTTATGATAATGGTGAGATAAATATAGCCACCACTTAACAAGATACTCCCTGGCTAGACATTGCGCCAGGCACATTCGGACATCTCATTTAATCCTCAAAATCTTAGGAGTTCTCTTTTTACAAACAAAGCTCAAAGAAGTTAAGTGACTTGCTCAAGGTTACCCACTTGTGAGTGGTGGATCCTGCTGTGTCTCGGTATGACCTTATGAAGAGACTTCATTGGGTTTATCGACTATGTTGGCAACACTGGCCAAAGACCAGCCCAGCCAGCATGACTTGTGCATAGCTGTAATCACGCCACCTTTTATACTGCCCTTTGACAGGTCACTGCGTCTCCTCCTCTGACTTCATGCCAGAGGGAGTTAATACTTTCACCACTTCTACCTCCTGAACCTATGAGGAGCCTCTGGTGTTATCCAACAGAAGACTGCATTTTGAGATTGATGACACTTTGTTGTGCAGAACTATCTGCAGCATTGTAGCATGTCTGACCTCTAGAGTACTAAAAGCCAGAAGCACAACCCACCCACTTTATTGGTACATCAAAGACAGTCCCAGACATTGACAGAGGCCCCCTAGGAGGATGGCACAGCCTCAAGGTTAGAACTAAGTGTGAGAATAGAGACATTGAAATGTTTCCCTGTCTCCCCAAAAATGTAAACCAATGTCTTATTGCACTTCAAGAGTATAATTCTTTCTTTGACTGAAAGTCCTCCACAATTTACTGGCTGGGTGACCTGGAACAAGGTAGCTAAACTTGTGGAGCCTTAGTTTGACCTATGAATAGGGATGAAGTTTACTTAACTTTAGAGCAGTAGGCTGTAGTGCAGAGGCAAGTGTTCCTTCCTGAACTTCCCCCAGCTCCTCTCCTGTTCTCTTGGCTCTGAGGACATGCTGAGCTCACTGCCTGCCACAAGGTTAGGGAGCAAGGATGTGTAAAGAAATGAAGTCAGTGGGGAGAGCTTGCGTCCCGGCTTCGGTGTAATCATCTTTGATGGCACAAATGGAGAGGTAGGTACTAGTCCCGTGGCAGGATGCATTGGTGACTTTCCAATTTTGTAATGGAAAATTTTTTACCCCACTTTTTCTTTACATTTTAAGACTGTTTGGTTTTATTAAATGTGAAATATATGTCTTGGCTATTTTGTAATATCTTGTACATTAAGACCCCAAGAATTTGTAGAAGCTAATTCCATTAAACTCAAAAATGTTAAACTCAAACCAACTCAATTTCAGGCTTCTGAAAGCTTATTTTACAAATTTTTTTTTAAATTTCAAAATGTTTGTTTTTTTTTCATAATTGTGATGGTGTTTTAACCATTTTGAAGTTGTTTTAGAGCCATGGGCCACCAGGCAATATAAAAACTGGGGAAGCAGAAATCAGGTTTTAGACACTGCAGAAGCGGCAATGTGTAGTCAAGCAGCAGCCCTGGTGCGATTGAGCATAATCCCTTACCAGCGTGCTGTTCTCAGAATGTCAAAAAGAAGGGAGATTAAAAATGGCCACAGAGTAAGTAGATGCTACACAGGCAAGGTGCCAGGACCACACTGGAATTTCAACTAAATTACAAAAAAAAATCATCCTAACGTTAGTGCTAAGAAGGCAGACACCTCGGTTTCCTCACACCGAGGAGGCATCTTTCTCAGTCAGACCTTTGCTCTGCAGGCAGTTTTTGTCTGCGGGGAAGACAATTGTCCTACCCTACTGGAAAACCTCGCCACACCTGAGGATGATTGCCTGAGGGCTTCTTAAGAGCTAATTCAATCAGTCTACAGCAGTGGTTCTCAACCTTCCTAATGCCGCAACCCTTTAACACAGTTCCTCATGTTGTGGTGACCCCCAACCATAAAATTATTTTCGTTGTTACTTCATAACTGTAATTTTGCTACTGTTATGAATTGTAATGTAAATATCTGATATGCAGGATGTATTTTCATTGTTACAAATTGAACATAATTAAAGCATAGTGATTAATCACAAAAATATGTAATTATATATGTGTTTTCCGATGGTCTTAGGCGACCCCTGTGAAAGGGTCGTTCGACCCCCAAAGGGGTCGCGGCCCACAGGTTGAGAACCACTGGTCTACAAGCAGAGGCTGGTCTCTGGAGGCTTTGAGTATTTGCCTGATCTCATTAGTCAGAAACAGCGTTTGACACTGTCCTGTGGAGATTGAAAGGTGTAGCAGATCTACCTAACTGTCCTAACACATAGCCACAAACCCAAACAGGCAGCCAAAATGGGCAAAAACCCCCCACAATTAAAGAACAAAAGAATTCTTCAGAAGAATAGATAAATGAAATGGAAATAAGTAACTTACCTGATACAGAGTTTAGAATGATGTTAAAGATGCTCAGCAGCATGAGAAAAAATATAGTAACTATGAATACAGTCGGAAACATAGGCTGATGTAGCACTAATAAAGAACACACTGGAAGGAATACACCAGCAGATTAAGAAAAGCTGAGGATTGGATCAGTGTATTAGAAGAAAGGGTGGGAAAAAATCACTCAATGAGAAAACCAAAAAAAATTTTTTTAAAAAAAGGAGGACTCCTTAATGTACAAAAATTCCTTACCAGGGTGCTGTCCTCTAATTGCCCACAACAGGGTGCTATGGAGCCTAATCCCTAACTAGGGTGCTGTTCTAAGAATGCCCATAAGAGTGCACTGAGGCTAATCCCCTACTAGAGTGCTGCTGTCAAAATGCCCTCAAGAGGACGCTATTGAGCCTAATTTCCTACTAGGGTGCTGTTCTCTAAATGAATTCTACCTCGTTTTCTTTGGTTCCTAGATTCTGTCATGTAAAATGAAAATTAGGGTGCTCAGCCTCACAGCCTGGGATGGGAGCTAAGGTTTTCACTCTATCCAGGGTTTCTGCCTTACCTCTTGAGGCCAGAATTTCAGGGCGTGCTGGAGGGGGTCAGTTCCATCTTGCACCCAGTGTTCTCGTCAGGATCTCTGCACCTACTAAGAGGAATAAAAACTCTTTCCTCTAAATCCCAGATTTCTTTTGAACCTGCTTTCACCTTTAAACTTTCAGACTCCTAACATTCCATAAACCACATACCCACAGGAGGTTGCCTTGCGCCAGAAGCAGGTAATGAGCACATCCTCCCTGCTGGAGAGAGCTCTCTGCCACCCCCGCATAGCCCTACCTTTCTCTTTCTCTAGTTCGGACATAGCATCAGCGAAATAAGTGAATAAATGAATGAACGCAGACCATTTTTTACTGGGACTGGTGGCAAGATAAAGAGAAAACTGAGACACACGTTTGCTCACAGAATTGAAGCTCACTTTCCTAATTTTTTAGCAACACAATAAAGAGAACAATTCAATTTAAAAAAAAAAAAAAAAAGTGGATGAGTTCAAAGCAGCTCCAGTGAGAGTTGCAGCTTACTCTTTGGGCGAGTCGGGCTCCTGGAGACAGCTGTCGCTCTGTAATCACAGACCTGCCTCTCTGCCCTTTCAAGACCCCGTGGCTCACACCCAGAGGTCTCCTCGCATCTTTTCCCAGTCCTTGAGCTTTCAGAGATTCTCAGTATAGTAGGACTCTGTTCCAGAAGCAAACACATGGCCCACCTGATCCATGTGGGCTGTAAAAATGAACAATATGACCCAGGAAGACATGAGGCTCTGCAGTCCCCACGTCCGCAGCAGCTGAGATAGGCTTATACCTTGTCTGGAGCCGATGCTCACCTCATGCTCCACAGAACTGTATGACCCACACGATGCAGAAGATGAACAACAGAGTGACACTGAGGATGGCCACCTTCAGGTAGGCCTCCGGGAGCTCAGGGTCCTGTAAACACTCCCTCAGGGAGTCGAAGGTGGGGATGGGGTTGGCCTGAGGCGTGGGGGGGGGCCATGGCCTGGGGGTCCTCAGTCTGGCTTCCGGGCTCCCAAAGCTTTGTGGGTTCAGGAGAAGAGAGACTGGAGCCGCAGGCCCTTCAGGGTAGTCTGCTGACCACTCTAGTGCCAACTGAAGTCCAGGTGGGTGCCCTGGGGTTTTTTCCAGGACAAAGGGAGGGAGCAGGAGCCAGGGGAGGCCAAGTATTGGGAGGAGGCTCTGCAAGGGCTGATCTAGGGGCCTGTGCAGGGGAGCCTCTAAGCCTCCTGGTCCAGGGGAAAAGCCTTGCCAGACCCCTGCACAGAAGAGCGGGGGTTGGCCCTGTACCCCAAGGTGGGAGGAGGGAAAGAGGCCTGGGATTTGTTCCCAGAGGAGGGCCAGGCTGCTCTAGTCAGGGAGTTGAGGCCGCAGGGAAGAATGTAGTTGCTCTCTAGCACCAACCCCTGACTGCGGCTCCCCTCCTTCTCCCTGGAGTCCCAGAAGCCAAGGGCAATCACATGGAGCATAGGGGCATTTTTATCCATTTCCAAAGCTGGGGTGCAGTCTCCTCTGGTGGCAGCTCATTAATAATGAGGTGGCTCAGGCCTTCGCCCCGATAGAGGGGACACTATGGAAGCACCAGACTTAACTACGGGTTAGGACTGGGTGATCTGGAACAGATCGCTTCCTCTCTTTGAACCCAAGTGTTTTCATCTGTGAAATATGGGTGATAATACTTTCTAACAACCCACAGACCACTTTTACCCTAGGACCGAGCACAGGGGCAAAGCTTAATGTGTGTTCCTTTGCTTCTTTTCTCTTTCTGCCCGGATGTCTCTTGCCAGGCCTCCTGGCATCTGGTCCGAGGATGGCTGAGCAGCAGGGCGGGGAGCCTGAGTGCCCTGTCTGCTGTAACCCCTTCAGCAACACGTTCCACACCCCCAAAGTGCTGGACTGCGGCCACTCCTTCTGTGTGGAATGCCTGGCCCGCCTCAGCCTGGTGACTCCAGCCCAGCGCCAGTTGATGTGCCCACTCAGTCCACTGTGCTGGCTTCGGACAGCCTGTCACTGACTTGCCCACAGATACTGCCAAACTTACTTTGTTCCGCCTGGAGCCCCACCACATCATCCTGGAAGGCCATCAGCTCTGTCTCAAGGACCAGCACAAGAGCTGCTACTTCCTGTGCCAGCTCCAGGTCTACACGCTGGACGTAGGCCCAGAAGAGATAAGTAACTTACCTGATAAAGAGTTTAGAATGATGTTAAAGATATTAAAGGGGCCGAAACCAGTTTGGCTCAGTGGACAGAGCGTCAGCCTGCGGACTAAAGGATCCCAGGTTCGATTCTGGTCAGGGGCATGTACCTTGGTTGCGGGCACATCCCTAGTGGGAGATGTGCAGGAGGCAGCTGATCAATGTTTCTCTCTCATCGATGTTTCTAACTCTCTATCTCTCTCCCTTCCTCTCTGTAAAAAAAAAAAAAAAGATGTTAAAGGGGAGGCCAAGTATTGGGAGGATGGATTTGGCCCCTTGAGTGTGGCTGCTTCCTGCACATGCCGTGTGGTTTAGAAACATGATCCTACAATTGGACATCTCCTTCTCCAGATGGGCTGTGAATGAAGCGTCTCGCCTTCCACCCCCTAGACCTGTGGTCAGCAAACTCAGTCAACAGAGCCAAATATCAACAGTACAATGACTGAAATTTCTTTTGAGAGCCAAATTTTTTAAACTTAAACTATATAGGTAGGTACATTGTTATTAACTTAATTAGGGTATTCCTAAGGCTTAGGAAGAGCCACACTCATTGAGAGAGAACCACTGACACATTTGGGAAACAGCTGTTCAGTCTTTTACTTATAAGTGTAGTATTTTAAGTATATTTTTTTTTCATAAATTATTAAACACTAGAGGCTAATGCACATGCGGCTCTTTGGCCCCTTGAGTGTGGCCACAAAGTTTCAATCACACTGTTCGTGCGCACCCGCATGTGGTATTTTGTGGAAGAGTCACACTCAAGGGGCCGCAGTTTGCCGACCACAGCTAGACTTTCAACCACGTCAAGGTGGCAGTAATTGACCCTCAGGAGGTCCTTGGTGTGAGTTGGTTCAGGCACAACCAGGGAGTCCTCGCTCTTATTCTGAAGCCTTTCTCCACGTGAGCTCTGCCAGGAAGAGTGGCAGAGTGTTGCCTGAAGGCTGTTTGTACAGGGGAGGTCCAGGGCGTTTCTCGGAAGATCCCAATGGCCATCTCCAAATGCCAGGGAGAAAGCTCCTGGGCCAGGGTCCATCTGTGCTCTTGTAATGCTCAGTGGGCAACACTGGCAAAGGGCCCTTTCCCGGGTCAAAGCCAGGAAGTCAGAGAGCTCCCTCCTCTCTGGGTTAAAGCCAGGAAGCCAGAGAGCTCCCTCCTCTCTGGGTCTGCAAGGTCTCATTTCTGCTCCTCCTGGGCCCTCGGGGTCTCTCTCTCTTCTCTTCTCTATGGCCACTCTCTCCCTTCTGTGCTCCTCTCTGTATCTGTATAGTTCCCCTTCTCTTGTGGGAGTTTGTTATTGAACTTTTATTGTAATACATGTCCAGTATAGAAAAATTAGGAGACTCAGATGTATGTAATAATTGCTGACACACCCTTCTAAGGGCTCTACTTGAATTTCATAACTTTTCCCTGATGACAACTCCACTGTATGGGTAGACATAATCATCATCATCATCTCCATTTTATTTTGTTTTTTAATCCTCACCCAAGGATATCTTTCCATCGATTTTTTTAAAAATATATTTTATTGATTTTTTTACAGAGAGGAAGGGAGAGAGATAGAGAGTCAAAGACATCGATGAGAGAGAAACATCGATCAGCCACCCCCTGCACATCCCCCACTGGGGATATGCCCGCAACCCAGGCACATGCCCCTGACCGGAATTGAACCCGGGACCCCTCAGTCAGCAGGCCGACGCTCCATCCACTGAGCCAAACCGGTCTCGGCCTTTCCATTGATTTTTAGAGAGAGTGGAAGAGAGAGGGAAAGACAGAGAGAAATATCAATGTGAGAGAAGCACATAGATTGGTTGCCTCCTGCACGAGCCCTGACCAACGCCCGGCTGGGAGGAGCCTGCCACAGAGCTATGTGCCCTGGACCGGAATCGAACCCGGGACCCTTCAGCCTGCAGGCCGACGCTCTATCCATTGAGCCAAACTGGCTAGGACTTCATCTCCATTTTACAGATAAGGACACTAAGACACAGAAAGATTAAGTCACTTGCCCAAGATCACAGGGCTAGGAAGTAGCAGCCTGGGATTTGAATCAGGCAGCCTGGTGCCAGAGAAAACCCTACATTGAGAGAGAACCACTGACACATTTGGGAAACAGCTGTTCAGTCTTTTACTTATAAGTGTAGTATTTTAAGTATTTTTTTTTTTCATAAATTATTAAACACTAGAGGCCAATGCACAAGATTCATGCATGGGTAGGGTCCCTAGGCCTGGCCACTGATCAGGGCCAATCTGTGGGGGGACTGGCAGGGCGATTAGGGGCCCCTGCTGGCACCTGCCTTGGCCAGCCTGTGGGCTGGGGGCAGTACCTGCATTGAGCGTCTGCCCCCTGGTGGTCAGTGTGCATCATAGCAACCAGTTGTTCCACCGGTGGTTCTGCTGTTTGGTCGATATGCATATTAGACTTTTATTATATAGGATATGTCATACTCTATGCTGTTTTGTAGCCTTTTTTCACTTACCTTTCTATATCATAAAATTGTCTTCTACAACCTTTTCTTCAAAATGAAATTTTTCTATGCTGTATACCTGAATATAATATTGAATGTCAACTATAACTGACATTTCTAAAATGCTTTTTAAGTGAAAGTCTTGCCTTTTTATTGTAAAAGTGATAAAGGAAACAAATGTATGCATTTGCTTGTAAAACATCTTGGAAAGGATACACTAGGTGCTGGTAACACTGGTTACTGCTGGAGGGAGCCAGATGAAAGGCAGACATGGGTAAGAGGGAGACTTGATGGTATAACCTTTTGTACTTTTGATTGTGACTATGTGAATGCATTATCTATTTCAAAAATATGGAAGTTTTAAAAAATGAAACATTAATCTTCATTGCAAAAAAATACAGAAATAAAGAAATTGATCTTTAAAGTTAATACCAGAGATAACACTGTTAACATTTTTGCTCTGTTTCTTCCAGATCTTTACCTATGAATGTATAGACATATGCACAGACATATTTTTACCAAAATGGGACGATGCTGCATGGTGCTGTTTCGTTACCTGTGTTTTTCACTTGGGGTGAACTAAGGACAACATTCTGTGCAGCCTCATGCTGCAGGATTACAGTCACGTGAAGTTGGCCAGTTTGCAAAAGGCTATTTCTGGATGGACTGAGAGTGTCCAGCATGTGGGACATGCAGTGCTAGCTGACACCAATCTCCAACCACGCCAAATCTGGGCTTTTAATTGAATGTAATTTTTAACTTTCATTATTTTTTAATTCTCATGGGAGGATATGTTTTTATTGATTTTAGAGAGAGAGGAAGGGAAAGAAACATCAGTATGAGAGAGAAACATCACTATGAGAAAGAAACATTGAGTGGTTGCCTCCAGTACACGCCCCAACTGGGGATCGAACCCACAACCTAGGAATGTGCCCTCACCAGGAATTGAACCGGCAACTTTTTGGTGTATGGGGACGATGCTCCAAGCAACTGAGCCACTCGACCAGGGCAAATCAGGGCTTTTTAATTTATTGCATAAAGACCTTGACCAAGCAGGACGCTGCATTCCAGACCCTGGGGAGAGAACGTGTGGGAATGGATTAAACTTTCCTCCTGCCCGTGATGTTTAACCTATGTCACTTATTCCATAGCTACCAATACCTCCTAGCTGCTCCCTCCCCTCAGCTTTCACATTCACCACCACCAAGACAATGCCATTGGAAGTAGAGGGTTTGGTGGGAAGAACCAGTCCGCATGTCCAAAGACCTGGGCTCCCATCCGGGCTCTGCCACATGCTGTGTGATACTTGGCAAGTCACTTCCCTCTCTGTAGAAGTGATATTCCCCAGGCTGCCTATTTCACAGTGTTATTTTATTGGAAGACTCAGATGAAATTATGGTTGTGAAAGTAGTATTAAAATATAGTACACTGTGTACATATGAGTTTGTATTGTTAAATTCTGCCCATTTAACCTGAAGTGTCAGAAGGAAAGGTAGACATCAAAACTAGTGGGTCCAGCTTCTTTCTAACATCGGCTCCTAAAGCTAACTCTTCCCTCGTCATCTTCAACTTCTATGCGCTCATCTTTTTTTTTTTTTTTAATATATTTTTATTGATTTCAGAGAGGAAGGGAGAGGGAGAGACAGAAGCATCAATGATGAGAGAGAATCATTGATTGGCTGCTTCCCGCACACCCGACACTAGGGATCAAGCCCGCACCCAGGCACATGGCCTGACCGGGAATTGAACTGGTGACCTGGTTCCTGGGTCAACGCTCAACCGCTGAGCCACACCCGGCTGGGCAATGCGCTCATCTTTAAAACTGAGGGTCGCAAAGTTTAAGAGCCCAGAGTGCTGGCAAGGAACAACTGAAACTCTGCTAGCTCTCCTGCACAGTGGGTGGAATATGAACTAGAACAACCTTTTTGGAAAAGAGGTGGTATCTACTAAAGCTAATAATGCAAGTTACACGACAGCCCAGAAAGGCCTCCGCTAATTAAATAATGAACACAAATGCTTGCATGTCCACCAAATGACATGTTATTAGACTGTTCATAGCAGCACTGTAAGAGCCCCAAACCAGAAGCTAGCTAGCCCATCAGTAGTGAAATGGATAAATTACAATATTGCCCCACATTAGAATACTATACAGCAATGGGAAGGAATAATATCCCCCTATACGCAAAGGTATGCATCAGTCTCACAAACATGTGGAGCAAAAGAAGCATGACCAAAATAAGGTCATATGCCTGTTTCACTTGACTCTATTGCTGCGTAACAAATTTAGTGTCTCAAAACAATGTTTTACTATTTTTCATGATTGTGTGGAATAGCTGTGGTTTTTCTGATGTCATCTGAACGTGGCTGCAGATTTGGTGAGGTTGGAAGGTCCGAGGCGTCCTCATTCACGTATCTGGTGGTGCTTGGTTCTTCTCCACGTGGCCTCGGCCACCTTCCTGACAGACCTCAGGGCAGCATTCCAAGAGGGTGGAAGTGAAGCTGCGAGGCCTCTGAAGCCACAGCCGCACAAGCTGCACAGCGTTTGTTTTCCTGTCAGTCAAACCAAGTGAAGAGACCAGTGCAGGTTCCAGGGGTGGGGAAATAGGTCCTACCCACTGAGGAGAGCAACTCACATTGAAAGGGTCATCACACAGGGAGGGGAGAAATCTGTGGCCACACTTACCATCTACTACAAAACAGTCTGATGCCATTTCTATAAAGTAGAACCGGTTTGTTGTTATAAATCCCTTATCAGATGTGCCCGGAGGGTGGTATGAGGGCTATCAAGGTTCCTGGATATATTATGCTTCTTCATCTAGGTACTGGTTACTAGTGTGTTACGTTTATAAAAACTTAAGATTCTGAAATGGTTTATGATTGTATACGTGAATTAAAAGTTAAAAAATATATATGTAACGGCTTAAAAAGAATAAAGTTCATTTCTCTTCCAAGTCACAGTCCGGCTGGTCAGGTTGTTGGAGCAGCTCAGCTCCTTGAGGTGATTTGTGGGCCCAGGTTCCTTCTTCTTTGCTGGTTCATCATCTTGTCCTCGCCCGAATAGTTGAGCTGTTACTGGCAGTCTGCTTCTAGCTAGTGGACAAATGTGTTTCTTTCAAGCTATAAGGTGGAAATTACACACATCACTTCCACTCACCACCCACTGACAAGAACTTATTCTCATGGCCACACCTAGCTAGGAATGTAGTCTGAGCTTGACAGCCTGTACCCAGAAGTGCCAATTTAAGGAAACAACTAGTAGTCTGTTTATTTTTTATGATGAAGCTGTTCTTTAATAATTATGTTTCAAAGGTTACTCAGAAATAGCTAAGCTTCCTTTTTCTCAGTGTTAAAAGGTTAAAAACACCAAGTGCCCTGAGTTTTATTCTTGTATTTCCTGTGTCAAAATGAAGGCCAATAATAATCACCACTCCTTTCCTTCAATATATAAATATACTTAAATTATAAATATGTAAGCAAAGACACAGATGTATTTAAATACTGACTATAGAACTGGTCAGATTCCAAGAGCTTATATACTTTCCCAGTGGAAAAAGGTCAATTGTCTTTGGAAAATTCCTTACTATGATTTCAGAGGGGCAGCCTCTGAAATGAAGAGTCCAGTGAATGAATGAATACATTTCAGCAGCCTGTATAATAGGTGCTGAGAGAACCTGTTTAGCGCATATAACACTGAATTTTTTTATAAAAACATTTACATTTATTAATCTATTTTCTACTTAAAATGCACAGATAAGGAATTTATACATCAAGCACATGTGTAGAGTTTAGGGAAACGATTTTATCGGTAATAAAACCCTGTGAGTCCATCAGAGGCCTATTTCCTCACAGGTATGCTCCCTCTCACAGCAGCCCTGGGACCCCCTCCCAATCCACTCCCTTGGGTTTTCTGATTTACTGCTTGTCTTCCTTCTAGAAGAAAGGGTCAACTGTAGCACTGATAGGTGCTCTAGAACTTTCCCTGAGACATCTGTCTATTGCTCCTAGGCATCTGGCCAGGAAGATCTTTTTGGAGCCAAAAAGTTAATAACTGGTCTAGAAAATACACAATGTCATGGTCTGTGCATTTCTAAAGCGAACTTTATGACATCATGCAAAGGCAAAGGCAAAGGGAAAGGGAAAGAGAGGGAAGTAATCTGGCTTTGAGTCAGGCTGACCCAGGTTCAAATTTAAGTTCTTCCCCTTCCTACTCATGTGTAACCTTGGGCAAAGGACTAGATGTCCCTGGGCCTCAGCGTCCTCATCTGTGAAATGGGGATAACAATAAGAATCAGAGTGAGAATAAATCTTTTTTTTTTTTTTTTAAAGAAGGTGAGAATAAATCTTTAGGTGCTCAATAGAGCAGTTTCCGTGCTCACTATCCCTTTGTGTTTCCAGAGTGCCAAGGGCCATAACTTAAGGAATCAAAGGGGAAGCTGAACAATGGCTAAAGTCTTAGAAAATAAGATCTATGGAGGATAGATGACTGGTAAATGTGTGGAAAAGAGCATTTGGTCTGGACAGAGGGCAATAAATACCAATGGCTACCATTTATAAGCACCTGGTACCTTGCTTGGCATTAATATAGTTCTATTCAGTCCTCAGAACAGCCACGTGAGGAACCCATGATTATGGCCCCATATAACAAGTGAGGATTTCATAACTTGCCCAAGATCCAGCTAAATGGAGAACTGGAGAGTCAAACTCAGATTTGACGCTTTGCAGGAGCTTAAGATTCTCCTGCCCAGGCAGTGGGGACAGCTTGAGGGAGCTGGACTTACAGAGGAGCAGGAGGGAGACAGGAAGATGGCTGTCAGCCACGGGCATCAGGGGCTGGCAGGGGCCACAGAGACAAATGCACAATCTTTCTTTCGTCAGAAAGGGAATCCCCCGGTGGCAGGTGCCTCAGGCGTGGGCTTACCTGAAGGCAGGAGGGACTCTATTTTCCCTGGAGGAAAGTGGGCTTGTGAGTACCAGGTGAGACTGATCTCCTGGGGCCACACAGGCAGATCTGAGCACCCTGCCCTTCCTCGCTGCAGGGCTCAGTGGGAGCACACGGTTGAGTCCATGCCTCTACTTTTTCCTATATGTCCTATTGTCATTGCAGATATTCCCTTTGCCTCACTCTGGCCATTCCCTGGAAAGAGTTTACATAAAACAATAAATATATTAAAATGTACAAATAAAAATTTTTCAGCATTAATCTCGCAACCTCTCCATTTTCTTATCCACAGACGCAGTTTGATAACTCCTACAATTCTGACAAGGTCCTTGGGGTTGTCGGCCTCTTCAAGCCATCTCGGGTCTGATTTTCATGTAACCTCCGTGCTGATCTGGCAGGGATCTGCCACCCTCTCTTCTACTATTTTGAGTAGAAGCCAAGGTTTTTGCTTTCTTGCCCTCACTTTGCTTCTTCACATTGCCGAGGAGCAGTGCCTGGAGCTGAATCTCATGTCTGCAGTCTACTTCCTCTATGGAGCTGCACTGTTCTTTCCCGTGTGGATAAGTTTGAGGCAAGCAAAGCAGAGTGTCTCTCCCCCTTGCTTTTCTTTCTTTTGTGGAGACATGGAACAAGTCAGTTCAACAGACTCAGAGTGTGTGTCTTGAATTTCACAGAGGCCTATGACAGAGGCCTAACAGGTCACCATTTGAGCCATAAATATTTTTTCTGAAGAGCAGTTCCAAGAGCTCGCTAAAACTTGCATCTGGATTTAACGTAGATTGAGAACCTTATGTTTAACCCATGTCTCTAAACTCTGTACCTGATTTTGAACCACTGGCTTCACATTGACTTCTAACACTGATATACCTTCTAAGACAAGTGAACCTAAACAAAGAACACCAACCGCACATTGCCATCCCCTGAAGATAACATGGGAAAACAAAGCCATACTGGGAAAGGAGAGGCCATGGCTTGATTTTGTCCAGCAAACGTCTCTTGGCCTCAGAATACTGCCACTTCCCGCAGTTCCAGCCCTGAGCTGTGGTCCACTCTGAGCAAGTGAATTCCTCTGCGGAAACTTGCACATAATAAGGAGATGGTGTCGCCAACGGCCAGGGAGGTCAAAGGTCCTGATCCATCCAAAGACAAGGTGAACAGGCAGGCTGGGGGGAGGAAGTGGGAAACCAGCCACTTAGGCCAAGAGTGCAATATCATGAAATGCTGTGTCTGTAAGAATTCCACGTAATGAAAGCAAGTGCTATGTCTCCAACCCACACAACAGAGGCACCCCATGCTTTAGAGGAACATGCACTAGCAGGGAAGTCGGTCAACCCCAAGACTTCGACTATTGAGAATGGCACACAAACCAAACAGGATGGCTCTCTGCCACTGAGAAGTGTGTTCAGACACGTGGGGCCTCCCTGGCAAGGACATGTTAAAAAGTTGTCCTCAGCCCTGGCCCGGTAGCTCATCTGGTTAGAGTGTTGTCCCGATATGCCAAGGCTGTGGGTTCGATCCCCAATCAGAACACATATGAGAAGCAACCAATGAATATATAAACAAGTATAACCACAAATCAATGCTTCTGTCTTTCTCTCCCTTCCTCTCTCTCTGTCTGGGAAAAAGAAAAAAAAAAGTTGCCCTCAGTTACCTGCCCTGAGAACAAAGCAGGGTCAGGACGAAGGAAAACAGACAGGGACACTGGGTTTCAGTTAGGCTTCCCAGGCTCTCCTCCCTTCAAGACAACAGATAACTGGGGAACCTGAAGGGCAGTCAGGGGCTTCCAGCGGAGCCAGTCTCCCTCCACCTGCACTTCAAAGCCTTCTCACACATCGGGTGGGCAGGGCAGCACCTCAGGTCTCGTTCCCCCTGGTCTCAGGTTTATGCTAATGAAGCTAAAAAGCTGTTTCTCCCACTTCCCACATGGAGGTGACCGAGGTGACGGAGAAGGCAACTCCCGGGGCGGGCACAGCGGGCTGTCCTTACTGTGTAGTTTAGCTTGTGTGCCCCTTGACACGATCTCACCTCCTTCTCTGAGGGAGCTACCCTACCCTCCGTTGATGGGACCCGGATTTCTGGAAGGTTACTGTAGGAGGGACTTGGTTTGAGGTTCTCTAAAGTAATGCTATTCTTGTGTTTAGCAGAACCCTGTGTCCAGGACAGAATAGCATGGAGGCAGCAGGGTGGAAGGAAACACAAGCTTTATTCATAGCATTTGCCAAATCTTGTGGCAAAAATACTCCCACTATGACCGTATTAAATATCCCTGAATGCTTAACGATCAGCCATGAGGAGCTGGATCGGCACGCCCCTGCATCGACAACTCCAGGGAGCTGGGTGCCCTAAGACACTATTTTCTCTGGTGCTTTAAAGTGTCATGACGATTTTAAAGACCTTAGCTGCAGAGTCAAAACGGGGCACAGTCTTCCTGAAACTATCTTTACTCCACCTCACCCCACCAAGAGCTGAGGCTCATTTTAGTCCTTGAAAAATAAATTTTAAAATGGCAATTTCTGTTCTCTTTTCCAGACATTTTGAGCAACACAAGTTAAAACCTGACGAGGAATTTTAAATAGAAAGAATATAAAAGCCAAATATATTTGAGCTCTTAGGGATGAGTCTGTACAATATGATAGCAACAGCTATGTAGCCTCTAGCCGAGGCTGAACAGAGATTCCGGTATCTGGTGTCAGGTCTTAACCACCAGGGGGCTGAACAGTGGCAGGACAAGCGTGGTGTGCTGAGAAATGGAAGGGAAGCTTTAAGGAAGCCTTTGAGACTTCACATATCTTTAAGAAGCACTAATAGTAGGGTCCTTACCGCCAGTATCTTGGTTCCAAATCTTCACCTTGCAGTCATGTGATGAGGTAGCGATTACAGGCATCAAGGCCAATGCTCTCGGTAGAAAGACACAGGATGCCACCGTCTGGAAATGCCCCTTATACTCACAGATTCTGTCCCGCGTCTGTCTTAGGTCCCACAACTGCAAAGCAATGACACAGGCTACCTCAGATGTATACATTTCCCCAGCTTCAGTCACTGATGTCTATCGCCTCTCCATCTCATGGCCCACCTGTTCCCCACTTACCTACTTCTGTAGCTCCCCTTACCTTCATCCACCCCATCCACTCCATCCACCCAGTGATTATTTTAAGCACCAACTATGTCTCAAACAACCCTGGTTAAGAATGTGCCTGAAGGGCTGTTGCCTTCCTCATTAACATACTGGTTAGGAAAGCGAAGCTCCAAGTCCTACAGCATGAGAGAGTATGAGGTTACTGACGTTCTATGATAACTCAAGAACTACCTTCTATCAGCCTCTTGGTATCTGCGGGTCTTATGGGGACCCCACAGTCAGGAGCACCTTCTCATAAGTACATGCAGGCACAGAGCTGATTTAATGCAGTCACTAAAGCTTGACTACAATGAGGCGCCAGTCCTGCCAGTCCCATTCTTTGCTGATACAGATCAGACCACACCTGGAGAATAATGTTCAGGTAAGAGCGCAAACTGAATTGTGTCCAAAAAACAATGAAATCGCTGGACACCATGTCCTCTGAGGGACAGTGCAGGAGCTGGAAACATTCAGCTTGAAGAAAGATGCCACATCAGCAGCCTGGGATGGAAAATCCTGACCCAACACTTTCCAGAGGTGTGTGTTGTACAACTTGCCGTGTCTCTATTTCCTCATCTGTAAAATGGGAATTATACTACTTGACTCATGTGGTGGTTGTTTTTTTAAAATATATTTCTATTGATTTCAGAGAGGAAGGGAGAGGGAGAGAAAGATAGAAACATCAATGATGAGAGGGAATCATTGATTGGCTGCCTCCTGCATGCCCCCAACTGGGGATCGAGCCCGCAACCCGGGCATGTGTTCTTGATTAGAATTAAACATGGGATCCTTCAGTCCACAGGTTGGCGCTCTATCCACTGAACCAAACCGGCTAGGGCTCACATGGTTGTTTTAAGGATTAAATGAGATAATACATGTAATGTGCTCAGCCCAATGCCTAGTCCAGTGATGGCGAACCTTTTGAGCTCAGCGTGTCAGCATTTTGAAAAACCCTAACTTAACTCTGGCGCCATGTGACATATAGAAATTTTTTGATATTTGCAACCATAGTAAAACAAAGACTTATATTTTTGATATTTATTTTATATATTTAAATGCTACTTAACAAAGAAAAATCAACCAAAAAGGTGAGTTCGCGTGTCACCTCTGACACGCGTGTCATAGGTTCGCCATCACTGGCCTAGGCTGTAAGAAATGTTTGATAGTCCTGACCAGTTTGGCTCAGTGGATAGAGCATCGGCCTGCGGACTGAAGGGTCCTGGTTTCGATTCTGGTCAAGGGCATGTACCTGGGTTGCGGGCACATCCCCAGCGGGAGGTGTGCAGGAGGCAGCTGATCGATGTTTCTGTCTCATCAATGTTTCTTACTCTCTATCCCTCTCCCTTCCTCTCTGTAAAAAATCAATAAAATATATTTTTTTAGAAAGAAATGTTTGATAAAATGGGAGCTATAATTATTCTATTTAGATACTAGATGACCCCTTTAACTGGTATTCTACTATTAGGAATCCAACGTACTTTGGAGGAGCCTATCCTGAAATTAATTAAAGGAAGGCTAAATGGTTAAGGGATGGGGTGGGCCCTTGATCAACACTGAAACTCCGACTTCCTAAAGAGCTTGAACCTCCTTTACTGTGACCACAAGTACAATGAAAACACTTAGTTCTTCACACAGTCCTTCTCCTTTCTAAGCTCTGCTGGGAGGACGGACATCAGCAGGCCAGTTCTAGGACATAGGCTTCTTGACTCTCATCCCATCCCTCTTTCCCAAACCAACTCAGAAAGCCCTCGGCTGATGGGCCTTTCTTGAAAGAAGTATTTGGAATGCAAAGGATCACTTACAGACTGCCCTCGGAATAGGCCTGAGCCATTAGACCTGCTGTGCAGCCCAGTACAAGTTATTTGCTCATCAACAACCAGACACCTGGACTGGACATGACCCCTCACCGTGGCTTCACAGCCTTCTCCTCCAAAGCCACTGCTGCAGGAGAGACACCTGTGTCCGTCCTCACTGACCTCGCAGTAGGTCTGAATGTGTTGCTTTGCAGGGAATATATGAGCCACCTGGAGCCCCCGACTGTCCCATAATCTGAAAGAAATTACAGCAAAAAAAATGAGTTTATAGTAAATGAGTCTGAAATATACCATAATCACCTGCAATCATAAAAGTCTTGGCTCTTTGCTGCTTCGGCCAGTCAGAATGGAGTCATAATATACCTAAAAATAGCAGCTTGAACCAGATCAATCTCGGGGACTCCAAGCTGGCAGGAAATAACAAAATGACATCTGAGTTCTTTCTATTTTGAGATTTAGTTAATAGAAATTTAGACCAAGCAACTTAATTATATAAGCTAATTTGGTCTTTTGGGGTGCTGCCTTCAATGGAAAGAAGATATTTCTGTGCCTGTGATTTATAATTCTTAAAAATATATTTTTATTGATTTCAGAGAGGAAGGGAGAGGGAGGAAGAGATAGAAACATCAATGATGAGAGAGAATCATTGACCGGCTGCCTCCTGCACACCCCACACTGGGGATTGAGCCTGCAACCTGGGTATGTGCCCTGACCGGGAATCGAACCATGACCTCCTGGTTCATAGGTCGACACTCAATCACTGAACCACACCGGCTGGGCTATAATTTTTTAAAAAAGATACTTATGATAGTACAGAGGAGCAATCATCTTTCCAGATTCATAAACAAAAGATTTAGAGTTGGTCAACCTTGGCTATGGGGTTCACTGGGGAGTATTTTATTTAGCTCTTGTCTCGTTCCTACCATTTTCTAAGTAGAATCTCTTCTGACAGCCAGTTTCTAGTCACGCTCTCTAGTCTGAGAACAGTTGACTTCATTTGATTCCCCTGATGGCGATTCTTACTCTGCTTTCTCAGCGAGGGCCTCGCTTGAGGGCTGGTGACTGGGAAGGTGAGGGCCTGAGCAGGGCCAGCAAACAAAGCCAGGCTGTTCGAAGGAGGGGGAGGAGCAAGTGACTGATCCTGAGGTTAACCTGACTGTTCACCAGCTACACAGCCAGGGCGGGTGGAATCAGCTGCTTTGGGTTTTTCCTGGCCTGACTAGCATTCAGCCTCTATACAGAGGATTCCATGGGGCCAGATCAGAGAGGCCCCAGGACCAGGGAGGGGCAAAGGGGCAGAATGCCCTCGCAAGGGCACAGCAATGCAGAGAAGCAGAGTGGGAATGGAGTCGTGTAAGCGCGGGAGCCACAAATCTGCACCAGAAACACTGTCACTGCTGCTCAGTGAGCCCACCTGATGGTTTTATCTTCAGAAGCCTGTAGTACATATGGTTCTCTGGGGACCCAACACAGGTGAGTGACCTGGAAGAAGCACAATTTTCAAAATGTCTCCAGACCAAGTCATTCCTCTGCTGGAATTCCTGTAAACAGTGCTAAATAGCATCTCTGTACCACTTCTCAAGGACGCTGAACGAGGGAATCTGACTTGGAGGAAGGGGTTTCATGTTTTGCAGACACCCATCAGTCATGTTCTCCTTGCATCTCCTTGGCTAGCAGCATCAACAGTCGCAGCTGGGCCAGTTGTGAGTACCCACATGCATGCAGGCGCTCTTAGAATGCCTGAACCCAAACATCTGTGGCAGCCAGGGGAGCAGTCCCTGCTGTAAAGCGGGGCCACTGAAACCACAGTGTAGGCCACGGAGGGTTGACGAAGGGCTCTCCTTGCACTTTATCTCTGAGCCCTCTGGCGGGCAGGCATGCAGGACTTTTCAAAACAACCCAAGGTAACAGGATTTTCTTTTTCCCCAGGAACCTCCACAAATACACAAGGCACAGGGCAGAGGTCCTCAAACTGGTTAAACGGGGCCAGTTCGCTGTCCCTCAGACATCCCACACGTGCGCACTGCGGCCGGGACGAGTCGGCTGCTAAGCAGGACAGGCAGCGGCGGCAAAAACACCCGGCGGAAAGGACAAATGTTTTCGGCGGGCCGCATGTGGCCCGCGGGCCGTAGTTTGAGGACGCCTGGCATAGGGCAAGCACATCTTGCCATTGACAGTTGTTTTCAAAATTGGAAAAGATAACTATGATTGACATTTGATGACCACTAAAGGAACATCTACCATGTCGGGTGATATAATTCTCCCCATTTCATTAATGAAGACACTGAGACTCCAAGTAAGTTTCTTAGGGTAACACAGCTAAAAAGTGGTGGATTGATGGTTTGAACTCAGGTATGACTGACCCCCAAGGCTGTGGAGTTTATATACTAGTCTGCTACCAGGAAACGCTGGTCTTCATAGACAGAGCAAATTATACAGAAAGCAACGTCATTCTTATTTCTCTGCATAATGTTATAGACACAGAACACAGAGCATGACTGTGAGCTCCTGGAGGACACAGACTGTGCCCTTAGTCACTGACCCTGCTCTAAGCTCAGTGTCTGGCCCACAGAAGAAATAAAATAACTGTGTTTTGAAGGAGTAAGTGAGGACACCATTTAAGATTCCAATATAAACTAGTGAAATTGTTTTCTGGAGCAAAAGACCTTAAGAGATCATCTAATCCGATAACCCTGAGAGGCTGGGGTTTGACAGAGAGGTAGGGGTGGGGAGCAATGAGGACCAAGCCTCTAAAGCCTGGTCGTGGGTCTCCTGATCCCTCGCCCAGGCCCTTTCCCTCCCCCCATCCTCCCTTCTGCTCTCCTGCTGCATAGCAGTTAGAGTTCGTACCAGGTTCCTGGAGACCGAAGCTCTCTCCACACACTGTCCGGTCCCCACATCCCACAGGACTAGGGTGTTGTCCCGAGAGCCAGTGCACAGCTGTGTTGAGTCTTTGGAAACAATGGCAAGAAGACAGTCCATGAGACAGACTTGGAACAGGCTTTTCAGAAAGTACAAAGGCCCTGGGAAGGGCTCTGCTTTACTTACCAGGACTCACAGCTAATCCAGTGACCACCATGGCATGGCCCGAGAACTGCTGCCTGGGTTGTGAGGAGCCGTGCAAGTCCCACATCATGACCATCCTGTCCCGAGAGGCGCTGAAGAACTGGTTTGATTTGTGAAGACAGGCTATCTGCTCGAGAAAGCAAGCTTTGGTGTGCTTGTTTGATGGGATTTTAATACGTTAAGAGCCCAGCCTGTTTTGTCTTCGGGACGGAAAGTATAGTATCAGTCACTGGTGACTGACAGGGCGCTTAACGTGTTAAAGTAGAAAAGACCTGGGGATAAGAAGGTTACAGCCTGATCTTCTCTCTCAGTCTGGTTCATAATGCACTGTATCTGACAGGAAAATACCCTGTTCCGTGCTATGGGATTGTGGCTGATGCTGAGTTTCATTATGACAGTTAGCATCCCAATTTTGGCCCATTCAGGTGAACTTCAGAGAGGGGAGTTATATAAGTTGGTATTCTCTGTCATTTTTGCTGGAAACACACTCTACTCTGTGAAGCTATTAAACAAATTAATTTTTAACTATTGTTGGCTTTTTAAAAATTTCTCCAACTAAGTCGAGATTATATCATTTTTCTAACTATAGCAAGCACACAGGAAACCTTCAATGCATGTCCCTGTTGAGTGAGGATCAGCTAGGGAGAGCTACTCTCTTTTTACCACCTGAGCTATTAAGGGCTTAATAACAAAAGAAAAATTATGTCAAATATCCCTGTACCAATAGCTAAGTGAATGGTTTGCTCTGCTTTTCCTGGAGTAGGGCTTCACGGCACCAGATACAAAGCCCTTGCATGTTCCTTTAAGAATATTCAATCACTCTTACCATCTAGAGCAGCGGTTCTCAACCTGTGGGTCGCGACCCCTTTGGGGGTCGAACGACCCTTTCGCAGGGGTCGCCTAAGACCATCGGAAAACACATATATAATTACATATTGTTTTTGTGATTAATCACTATGCTTTAATTATGTTCAATTTGTAACAATGAAAATACATCCTGCATATCAGATATTTACATTACGATTCACAACAGTAGCAAAATTACAGTTATGAAGTAGCAACGAAAATAATTTTATGGTTGGGGGTCACCACAACATGAGGAACTGTATTAAAGGGTCGCGGCATCAGGAAGGTTGAGAACCACTGATCTAGAGCGATTAGGTGTTTCCTTTATTCAGTTCCAAATTCCCTCCATGATAATAACCACTTGACAATTTTACCTTGGTGATGTCATGTTCATGTCCTCTGAACCTTTTCACCACATTTCCGGTTTTCCAGTTATAGGCCACAACTGTCTGCAGAGAGTCATTCGCACAGTTTAGTTTAACTGAATGTGTGTTTAACTGAAACAACAAGCCTTTACTTCATCCTCTACCTGACTTCTTCCTCTCTGTCCAGGGACTTGGACAAGCATTAGGGTTCTATTGTGTCCCTCCTCAGGGCCCCTACTTTGAGTGTCTATCTTTCCTCCTGATCTGTCCTGTCTCTCCCCAGCTCCTGGGCCACCCCTCTGAGCCTTACTGATGGGTTGGGGATAACACTCCCTAAGGGAAACGGATTCAGATTGAGGTTCTGGTTGTAGGTACTGAAGGAGAATTCTACATAGGACTAGATTTTCCCCCCTAACTGTACTGTATTTTTATTTTAGTTAAATTTATCATCTTCTTAATGATTTGTAGGTGTACCATTCACTAGTGTTAAGTATATTCCCATTTATTGCAAAACAGACTGCACTTTTTTAAATTTCAGAAAACCTCATTCTTATCCCGCCTGCCAGAAAGAATCATTGCTAACAATCTCTTTCCATCTTTTTTCCAGGTATATAATATTTTTTGTAAGCAATCCCCCCCACAAAAAATAGGTTTTCAAAAGCATTCCCTGGCCCAGTCTCTGTAGTTCATTGCTAGAGAGTAAAGAGCATGTTAGCACTTGACCTAAATCTCAGTTTTGTAATCTGCACAATGGGATGTTAATCCTTGCCCATCTATTCCTCACAGGTGAGGCTCATATCAATAAAAATTTCACGTCTAAGATAATATAGATATTAAGACAAATGCTGTCAATTAAATTATGCTATCAATTTTCAAATGCATACTGATTTCAGAGATGTTAAAATGTGAAAGCGTGTGGATCTGAAAGTCAGTGAAATACAGTGTGAAAATGGAATTTGAAGATTCTAAAAGGCTATTGAAAATGAGAGGCATTTACCGTAAACGAATCAACATTTTTGCTACCAATATCCTGGCTGTAAGTGCTATGAGAGAGCCACATCTGAGGGAGAGAAAGCAACCAGATTCAAAGTGACAGTGGGAGGAAGCACAAAACCAGAGAAGGGAGGAATCACAACACCAATGTAGAGATTTTGGCAAAAGAGCAGTTAAGAGACTAGAAGCTTCCTTTTGCTGACAAATAGCTCCTGTGTCTGTGTGTAGGTGTAAAAATGGATTGGTTGGAATAATAATATTTGTCATTTATAAAAAGCACACGGGAGGCATAGTGCTAAAGATCTTACCATTTACTCCTCACAACAGTGCTGTGAGGTTGGCATTATTATTCCCATTTAATAGATAATAGACTAAAGCTCAAGAAAATTAAAAGACTTGCTCAAAGTAAGAGGAAGTGGCAGAGAAGGGATTTAAGCCCAGTCTTTCTAATTCTAAAACCGTATTTTACACTACCCAACACTGCTCCCAGAAATGAAAAAACCAGTGTTTGCTTCCCAAACATCTTCCCTTCTCTGCGATAAGTTGGTTCCCTGGGAAGCACTGCAAATCCCACCTTATCTTTTCCTCCGGAGACACAGAGGTCTGAGTTCAGAGCAGCAACAACAGAGACGGTGTCCACGTGAGCGGGGCTATACTCATGAAAAGCTGTAGTTTGAATTCTCTCTTCTATAATTGCATCGGGCCTGCTAAAGAGACGATGGAGGATGAGAGGCCCAATGGCGTGCGAGTGCACAGAGGAGCAAGGGGAAGAAGAGTGTGAGCGAAAGCAGCAACTCAGGCCCAACGGAGGAGGAAGGAGGGAAAGGAGATCCACTGACATTGCCAGTTCGTAGATGCTCAGAATGACTGAATCTGACAAAGGGGAATCCTGAAGCCAAGAAGCCAGGGGTCTTTCTCACTCTAGAGCAGTGGTTCTCAACCTTCTGGCCCTTTAAATACAGTTCCTCATGTTGTGACCCAACCATAAAATTATTTTCGTTGCTACTTCATAACTGTAATGTTGCTACTGTTGTGAATCGTAATGTAAATATCTGATATGCAGGATGTATTTTCATTGTTACAAATTGAACATAACTAAAGCATCGTGATTAATCACAAAAACAATATGTAATTATATATGTGTTTTCCAATAGTCTTAGGCGACCCGTGAAAGGGTCATTTGACCGCCAAAGGGGTCGCGATCCACAGGTTGAGAACCGCTGCTCTAGAGCTTATTTCAAAGATGTAGGGCCCCTCTCTGTGTGGCCGTAGACACTAGCTACCAAGCTAGACTGTTTCTTATCCAAAAGAAAACCGATCAAATGGACAGGTCAGAGAAGGTCATCAATACTTGCTCTGGGCCTTCTCTTTCTTCAGTGGAGAACTGTAATGGGCATGACAAAACCTGGGAGCCCAGGTAGGGCTGCCGTACCTGTATTTATAAGTGCTGTGTTTGAGTTTGCTTTGCAGTTTCCCCATCATGGCACAGAACCTACACAAAATCTTCTGAGGAGGAGCTCGTTTCAGATGGCACCTGAGGGGCAGCATCCCTTGTGGCTGCTGGACGTTGTGTTCCCTGTTCAGTAAAAAGAACAATACACAGTTAATTTTGTTAGGCACAGTGATGGTGTATGGTATAGGGATTCAGAGCGAGCACCCCAAGGTGTGCTTCTGTGGTATGCAGATTGTTTTGAGCTAAAGGAAAACTTCTATATGGCTCCCCTTAACTACCTAGAACTTGAATTAGAGGCCTTGCCATGATAAGGTATTATCAGCAATAACCTTTTTGACCCACCTATATGTCAGGCAAACTCTTATTTACTAAACATCTGCTCTTCTTATCATCTTTCAATGACCCTGTGAAGTCCCCACGGTGTACTACCTCACCCTAGCTCAGGATGTCTTATACCCCTGACCCCCCTCTATCTCTGAACCTCTGGTGCATGTGCAGTCTCTGACTCTCTCATGTACGTGGGGTTCCCAAACATATGTATTAAATTTGGTTATTTTCTCTTTCTAATATGCATGATGTCTTTTGATTATGAGACCAGCCAAAGAACCTTGAGAGTAGAGAGAAATTTGTTCCTCCCCCATAATGGTCATATAAAGACATTTTTTTTTTTTTTTTTTTGAAAAGGACTAATTAATTGTATGCTTCTGCTTTTCCTACTTTCCCTGACTCACTCTTATGGCCCTGGGAACACACCCTACAATAAAGCACTAGCAGATAAAAACCAAACAAAACTAATACAAAAGCTCTTTGAAGTCCCCAATGATTTTTAAGAGTGAAAGGAAGTCCTGAGGCCAAAAAGTTTGAGAGCCACTGACCTAGAACTTAATTAATGCCAATAATGGATGATATACTATGTTATAATAAAAAATTACTAAATGTTTTCCAGATGTACTTGTATTGTCCCCAGTAACTAACAAGGCTAGATTTAAAGAGAGAGACAGATGCTCATCCATACACTCATTCAGGAAATACCTCTTAAGCACCTAATTTGTGCAGATCCTATACTGGAGAACGAAGAGAAAGCAAGCAGATGTGGCCACTGTGGACATGGGCTGGGACTAAAGGCATGTGACTAGGGGCTAATCTCAGCTGCTCTGTTGTCCTCTGCAGCTAGCTGCTCCCTGAGACACTGACGGGTAAAGGAAGTAATTGGGAGGGTGTCCTCCTCTCTTCTGGGTTTCTGCTAAAAGAAGTTCTAGATGAGCTTCTTATGGGCACAGTAAGCCTAGTTCTAGGAAGAAGAGTGTACAAGGAGTAGCAGCTAAAACTCACCAAGTATTCTCAATCATCTCATTACCATTAACAAATAGAGTTTTCCAGAAGAATTTAAGCCACCATTTTGAGAAGCTGCCAGAATTGACCTCCTGAAAAGAGTTGGTAACCAGTATAGAAGCACAACACAGTGCAGAGAACAGTGTTTGTGGCATCAAGAGCCCTGAGCTCCAGCCCCAGCTCTACCTCATCTCACTGTGTGTCCTTGGCTAAGTTCCTCCATTCCCCACTCTACGCCTCAGCCTCCCATCTATAAAATGTGACTTCACATTAAACGCTTTTTAGACTATCTGCTCCCTAAGAGGAAGGACTCTGTCATATTCATCTTTGTACCTTAAGTGGCTTGCTCAGTGTGATAAAACATTGGTGAATTAGCGAATCTAAGGTCCCTTCCAGTTCAGACCTTGTAGAGTTCTCTCTAATAAGCACAAGATGTGCTGACAGGAAATATTCCAGGATATTGTTGTGTCGCTTGTAGATTGGTAGAGGTTGCAAGGCATCCTAACTGCCAGCCTAACCCATTTTTCAACATTGTCATCAAACTAAGGACAGATGCCATTCAGAGATCTAGGTCACTGGAAACTGCAGGTGCTATAAATGGACTGGCTCTGCTTAAACTGATTAGATTCGTAGCTGGTATCTTCTTATACTTCTCACCTGAAGAATATTCATGGAACATTCTAAGGAAAAAAAATAACTTTTACATTACCCCAAATCAATAGGATCTTCTTGTGAACTTCGGTATTCAATGCTTTGTAATGTTTATTCTTTGGAAAATACTTCAGGCAGCCACTTCCTAATCTCTGTAAGTAGTGAAAAGATGCTTAAATTAATCCCTTCTCCGTCTAAGCATATGTTTGTACCGAAAGGATATTTACAAGGTAAATTAAGGACTTTGTTAACTAAAGAGATTGTTAAGTGTAGTTTTCCCTCACAAAGAAAAAGATATTACAAAATTCCAATATTTGGGGGGAAAGCATACCATAATATTAAAAATATATCTGTTTAAATATGCAAAATAGCATCTACTTAAATGCACCATTAAACATTTTTATTTTACTCATAGTTCATAAAAAATCTTCAGAGGTGACTGCTTACTTCAGAGCTTAGTGTTTTTGTGAGAAAGGCAATTTCTCCTGTTTAAAATAATACTTTAATAAGTATGGGTCGGTCATAGACGTTTAGATGAAAGAGCTTTTCAAAATCACATAAAACCCTTTATTTATTTAAAGATCTGGAGAATTATTTACTCAAAATTATAACTAGGTATAACTGACTTCTAGTCCAGTAGCCATGTTAGTAGCTATCATTTACTCTAGTCCAGAATTTCCATTATAAAAATCTACCAAGAAGAAACCAGTTTGATTGCATTTTAACAATCCATTGTAAGGATTCAAATAAACAAATTCCAATGATCGGTTGACAGTGTCTAATAATGAAGAGCAGCACAGAACAGTCAGAACAACATTTGACTGAGCGCACGGGCATCAGTTTTAGGACTAGGTCTGGGCAACCTGTTGAGCCGAAGTCTCAGTTTCCTAAGTGTAAAATGGGATAACTCTACAATTGGGCTTTTGTGAAGATGAAAACTAGCACTCGGGATGTGCCAAGGACTATTTTAAGTGCTTATACTTACTAGCTCATTTAGTCTATTCCACAAGCCTCTGGAATAGTTACCTTCCTCATTTTGCAGATGAGAAAAGTGAAGCACAAAGATGTTAAATAACTTGCCCAAGTTTACAAATACATTTCAAATAAGTAGCAGAGCTGAAATTTGAATCTGGCAGTCTTGCTCCAGAAGCCTTGTTCTTGAGCAGCATACTCTACTTCATCTCTATAAAGGTAGTACATATAAAGCCCTCAGTTCAACCAGGCAAATGGTTGAGAGTAAAGGATGGCTACTAACATGATTGATAGCATTGCTGAAAGTAGCAATTTCGCCCTTATTACGACTGCCCTTAATACACATATATTAAACATACATAAATATACTCAGAGAATAGATACAAATGGATATATGAGCCTGGAGGATTTTAAACTGAAGCCAACTTTGTCCTCTGACCAGAGTGATTGATCACACTAAGGCTAAGAATTTATTGCATGATATACCAAGGCAACTTAAAAATCTCAAAAACAAAGTATATGTACTTAGACAATGTCCATGTTGTAATTTATTGAGTTGACTAACCTAAGAAATTAAAATACTATTCAGTTATCTTCCTGTTTATACTGTGAACATGTAATGTACTTGAGAGAAGGGACGGTGCCTTGTTCATTTTTGTATCTGTGCTTTAAGCATAGCATGGAAGAATGGATGCAAGGCAATGATCTGTTGAATAAATGGATGAATGAATGAATGAATGAATGAATGAATGAAATACTAAGGTGAAGAGTCTGTTTGGCAAAAAGCTTTTTAAAGATCCAATAATCTAAGGGTTCTTTAAAATTGCCAACAGCAAATCCTTCAGGAAGCAGTTACTCTGCTTAATTCAACTGCAGGCCCAGAAAAGATGGCAGAACTTGGGAAAGCCATAAACTCAACATGGCTCTGGATGTCCCTGTTGGCTCCTGATGGACTAAATCTGAATCCCAGCATCCATTTCTGCTCCAATATGCCTTCCAAAGACCCTGAGATACCCAATGGTCACCCTAAACATAACTCAGAGAACCCTCTTTTAGCTTTCTAGTGCCATATTCCTTGATATAATGCAGCATATATCCAACTATTGTTTTTCATGAAGAAACTGGGACACAGAGAATTGTGTCTTGCAGGAGCAGAGCTGGGGAACAGGACCTCATTTCCCTAGACTCTTGGTCCACTGTTTACATAAATGGTGATTTCGTATCTCCCGCTGTACACATCTAACCTTACACTCCGGGAGACCAAGACATGGAAACCAAAGCTCAAACACAAAATCACGGTAGAAGCATGTGGGAGGTGGTCTGATTCAACCCTCTAATAGTACAAATAGAGGAAACCGAGGCCCAGAGAATAGGAGGGTCTTACCCAGACTCACACAAGAAGTCAGCACTAGGCCAGAATCCCAAGGTTGCCTCAAGCTTTAAGGACACTGTGTGCAGTTTTTCCTTTCTGGTTCTTCAGTTCACAAAGGCCCTCATCCAATCTATGCGAACGGCCAAAGCTTATTTTTGATGTGTGCTTGTGGGGGAAGGGGCCTGGGGACGCCCAAGATGGGAATCCAGCGCCACCCAACCCAAGCCCGGCCCTCGGAATTCTCTCCTCGCTTCGGCCAGGTGGGCCAGCAGTCGGGAAAACACGAGGGCTCCCACTTTCCCGCGCACCCGCTGAGCCCCTTCCTATCCCGTCCGCGCCCCCTCAGCCTCCATACCCATCGGCCGGCTGCCCAGCAGGGAGGTGAGGCTGGCTGGGGCGCCGAGCCGAGCCGAGCCCGACAGCGTCTGCAACCTCCGCGCTCCAAGGCCCATGCCGCCGCCCCTAGCAACGAGGCGCGCGTCGCTAGGGTGGGAGTTCTGCCGAAAAGCCTCCGGACAGCTTCGCCGGCTACTAAACCGTGGTTCCGCTCTCCTGACGTCTCCCAGGAACCCAGCCGACACCACCCCGCCCTGCTTTCTTACCGTAACAATGGGTTGATGAGGTTCCTGAGAGGAGGACCGATGTGCCCAGACCAGAGAATCTATATCATGCAAGGAAAGCTGTTATTACCATAAGAGTAACGGAGGAAACCCTTAAAAATGTCACCTTTTAAATTGCTACTCGTCTAGATAGAGGTGTTGCTTTATTTCTTTGGAGTTTTCCCTGATTCCACCCAGGCAGAGAGCCCTCCTTTGGACACTTCCCCAGGTTCCTCATTCCCCTATTCCTTTCATCAAACATTTATGGCCCACCACCATAGCAAAGAGACCCCCCAATCTAGACTCAAATCTAGAGAGCCAATGAATGGTAAGACAGTTCGGAAACCAACAGCAGCTTCTAGACTAAGTTTTTACGGCTCCAATCCATTGCTTTCAGACTAGAGTCCATTCCTGTCTGTATTCCTAGCACATAGCACAGGGCTTGGTGTACAGTAGTGGCTTGTTGAACATTTGTTGAATTAATTAATTAATAAATGAATGAATGAATGAATGCAGAGGTCCTAGCCAACATTTCTTTTACACCACAGGAGCTGCCTCCTGTAGTGTTGATCTCCCAGCAGAACTGCCTTCAATGAAGATTTGTGAAGTTTCTGAAAGTTGGGCGCCTGTGGAAACGGGGTTGGGGGTGGTGAGGGAAATGTTCCTTTACAGAATATCAAGCTGGTGATTGGGTCTGTCTTCCCCAGAGAGGGCGTCCCCTCTCCAGTATCCCTGATGGGGTTCCTCTAGCCCTGTTGACACTCCCTTGATGATGCATTCATTACTTTCTGAGTCAGTGGCTTGTTGTTAGACTTCCTCCTGTCAGGAGCTGGGATCTACCCCATGTCACTTGCAACACTGATTGTAGTTCAGAGCTGAGGGCTTTCCCTACAAACTTAGTCCCTCTTCCCCATAACAGCCTGGCAACCAGGAGAGAGTGATGGCTTTGCGCCTGGGGCCCTGGGCTAGGCTTGGTGTAGCAACAGTTGACTTACCAGATCCCTGCCCTCCAGATGCATCAGTTCTGGGGATATAAAACTCTCCCCCCCCCCCCTCCCCTTTGGTTCAAGGCACCTGAAACTTCAAAACTGGTATCTCTAGCCAGACTTCTCCTAGACCTGTGTATCCACCTGCTTCTTGCCCATCCACACTTGGCTATGTAAAATCATCAATCCTCGACATGAATCACACTGGAAACATTATCTTCCCCCCAAACCTGTTCTTCCTCTTTTCTTTCTAAGTGCAGGGGCATTGCCATTCACCAATCAACCATGGCAGGGCTCTAGGAGTCATTTGTGACTTCACCCTCTCTTCCTCCTCCAGACTGAATTAGTTATCCTTCCCGTGCGCTTCCAAAGCCCCTCATGCTTTCTGCAACACAGCGTGATTTTTCTTTTACTGGGCTCTCTCGCTTGCCTGTGAGCTCCATGTGGACAGTGACTGAGTCTTATTTACACCTGTATTTATTGCTGGTGTCCAACATAGTGTCTAGAACATTCTACTCTGATGGAACTGTTCTATATTTCCTCTGTCCAATATGTTAGCCCCAGGTCACCTGTGGCTATTGAACACCTGAAATGTGGCTAGTTTGCAACTGAAGAACTGAATTTTAAATTGTATTTAACTTTAAATTTAAGGAGCCACAGGTGGCTAATGGCTATGGCATTAGACAGCACAGGTCTAGCACATACCGTAATTGATCCTCAATAAGTAGTTTTGAGTAAAGAATGAAAGGGGAAGGTGGTCATGAACAGCCAATTAGGACACAAGGTAGAATGCTATGGATGCAGTCCACATACTTTTTGTGCTCTCTTCTTTCCCTTTACCTTTCATCCCCTCAACCTAACACTACCAATGCCTCGAATTCTGTCTTATAGAAATATAATCCCAGTTCACGGCTCTTTGCTGCCTGAACTGATTTTTCTCCTCTGGACTTGCCTAGTTTGATAGAGTCCATCCTCTGAAGTGTATGGGTCCTAAGAGTCCTCTGAGGATGAGATCTGGTCTCATCCAGTTTGGTCTTGTCTGGCAAGAGCAGGAAGGACTCTCTCTCCTCAGGGTCCTGGACTGCACAGGGACCCATGTGGTATAAGTTTGTCTGCACGGGCAGGCTGCCAAGTTTTTCTTATTGGTGGCAGTTGATACTGGTTGTGCTGTGAAAACATCACAGGAGAAAAGAAGTCATAGCATTGACAGTCTTCTTGCCACTCCTGGAAACTGTGCAAACCCCAGTCAGATGACTTCTATCCCTGACTTCAGAGACGTTGGTTGGATCAGGGTCTGAAGAGGAAGGAGGCATGGGGAACCCGATGAGGCGAGGGGGGGGCAGCAACAGACCTGGGCCCAGGCCAGGCAGGCAGACAAGGGCTGGGTCAGGGTTGAAGAGCAGGCCTGAGAGACAGTAAAGGCCAGAAATAACAGTTCTTTCCAATAGACTTTCCCAAATACTATCAAAACAATTTTAAAATGTCCAAAACCAAATGTCATAAATGAGCAAGTGAAAAGGCAGGTTACAGAGCAGAATTTACAGATAATTCCAATTTTATAAAAATAAGTATATTACCACCTGTGTCATACGGTAAGGGACTAATGAATATTTTATTATGTGAGAGTGTATAAATATACCTGTGGCACCTTTTGCAGAAAGAACTGTGTAAATTGTGCCCTGTTCTGCCGAAACCGGTTTGGTTCAGTGGATAGAGCGTCGGCCTGCGGACTGAAAGGTCCCAGGTTCGATTCCGGTCAAGGGCATGTACCTTGGTTGCGGGCATATCCCCAGTAGGAGATGTGCAGGAGGCAGCTGATCGATGTTTCTCTCTCATTGATGTTTCTAACTCTCTATCTCTCTCCCTTCCTCTCTGTAAAAAATCAATAAAATATATTAAAAAAAATAAATTGTGCCCTGTTCTTTGGTGAGGGGGGAACAGGGAGCAGAGTTCAGGCCCTTGCTGGTCCCTCGGTCTGGAAAACTCCAGCTACTCTGCAGGTATGCTTGCTGTTTATCCAGGGCACAGTCCCAGTCCCACGCCTGTGAGAGACCTCCTAGATCAGCTGCTGCTGATCAGCACCCCCGTCCAGCTTCTTTTCCTATCCTGCCTGCCTTTTTCCTAGCTCTTCCCACTACCAACATTCTGTTACATTTCCATTTGTTTTATTTATCCAGGAGAGTAGACTTTGTTCTTCCTTATGGTTGTATTCTCATTTCTTCAATATGACCCGGGACATAGGTAGGTGCTGATTAAATCAACTGAATGACTAAAATGTAACAAAGGTGTCCATTCTTCTCTGTTCCCAGATCAGGGTGCCTTGCCTAGGCAAACCCTAAAGTTCAAGGACAGCTCTCCCCACTCCCACCAGTGCTCCAGAGGTCACCTTAGGGCATCAGTTTTCGAACCTTTTTATGGACCATGACCCCCAGGAAGAAATACATTCAATCCCCAGTCTTATATGTACTATATTTAACTGCAACAAACAAAAAACTCTTACTACACACAACATTTTCTATTTTTTCTTTATTTTCTAATTTTTATGACACTGGTCTCTACCCCTTGAATTGAGTTTGCCACCTACTAATGGGTGGCCAATGCCAGTGTCTGTGGGAATAGTCAGAGGTCTCATTGGTGCCCTAGTTTCAGTGTAACTGCTACAAATGCAGATTCCTGGTCCACCCCAGACTTAGTGAATGAGAGTCATACTGGAAAGTCTACGTGCTTCACAGCCCCTCTCCCCAACCACCCCAGTTGATTCTGAAGCCTGATAAAGCGTGAGGGTCAGTTAGGAGTTTCTGAGTGTCCCGCGGTCTCTTGTGGGGACATGCGTTGGGCAGGGCCTGATGCACTTTAAGGGAAGGGGCTGATTTTCCAGTTCTGGTCCAACTCAGCCCCTGAATGGGGGGACGGATGATTCCCATGTTATAAAAGTAAATATATTCCCACAGAAGCCCCTTGCACTCTCTAATCCCTCTGCCTGGAAGAATTTCTGGTGATTTGGCTGTTTTCCCAACTCCAGCCCTCCCAGGGCCACACCCAATGAAGAGGCCCCACTTTTCCCCAGAACCTTAACCCCTTCTTCCTCTCCTTGCTCTCCACAGTCTCTTTTCCCTGTCACACAAAATCACCTTCTGCTTTTTTTCCCCTCTTTACCATAAGGGTTAACAGCCCTCCCCACCTCAGCTCTTAGAACAAAAAAATTCTAACCACAGTCTCAAATGATGGTGGCCTATTTCCTTCCCCACTCTTGGAAGAGGGTAAACGCTGTTATGTCTTCACCCACCCATTGGGATTGCATTAGAAACTTCTTTTGATGCCAAGAACGTTGCACCCTCCCACCAAAGAATGTCACAGAATTTACATTATGAAAACCTGCTACAAGTATTTTTTTCACTTATTGATGAGAGAGAGAGAGAGAGAGAGAGAGAGAGAGAGAGAGAGAGAGAGAGAGAAACATGTGCCCTGACCGTGGATCAAACCCACAACCTTGGCATATTGGGACGATGCTCTAACCAACTGAGCTACTTGGCCAGGGCACAAGTATATTTATTGATCCCCACACCTACAATAAAACATTTATTAGCCCCTAAGTGTATGCCATATACTCCAGCTAGCAGTTCTTTGCAGACATGATCTCATTTAATTCTGAAAGCAGCCCTCAGAGATAGAGTCTATTCTCACCCCCATTTTAGCAATGAGGAAACTAGGCACAGCCGGATTAAATAATCTGACCAAGGTCCCATAAGAGGCATAGCTCTGGAGCTGGTAGCTGCCTTACCCCCAGGAGCTGAGAGAAGGAAGGGTTCTCTTCCATTTGTGCAGTAGCTGTTAGAGGTGCCTCAGGGAAGAAGTAGGTGCCTGCATCCCAACATGCCGCAGGATGTAGTGACGTTTCTCTTTCCGACTTTGCTCTCAGTGTCCAGTTCTGATGAACTGAGAATGTCCTCTGGCACCCAAGGCCTGGCTCCTCCTCCTGTTGGCTGAGTTCTCTCCTCAGCCCTCTGCCAAGACCTCCTAAAATGAAGTTTGGGGGTTGGGGAGCAGTGCTCTTCTTGCGTGCCCACAGAGGGTTTAATTTGGGCTTAGAATGATTTTTATCAGATCCTAAGAAAAAAGCCGCAAAACAGCTCAGGTCCATGGGATGGGGTCTTCATCCACGTGCTTATTTGCATAGTATATTTAATAAACATGCATTGATTTTTTTTCAATACTAGTTTTCAAATTAAGAAAATTTAGATATAAATACGTTGGGGAAATCAGCCTAACAAAAATGTTCCTCATTGGATCTTAATACGCAATTAAAATTCTTAAACATGTTAACCATAAGTCGAACTGCCTGGGTCCCAATCTCACTGCTACCAGTTAGTGACTGTGACCCCTGGCAAGTTACGCAACCTCCGTAAAAATAGGGATCCTCACACTTTCCTGGTACCGATGGCAGGTGCTTAGCAGTTGCAGCCTCTGCCTGGGCTCCAGATACCGTTGGAAGTGTTCTAACTCATTTGCTCCTCAGCACAAGTCTGTGGAGTAGGTGCCCTCCTTATCCCCACGTTACAGAGGAGGCCCTGGTGGTACTTGAGCCCAGGCAGTCTGATACCAGAACCTCGTTTTAAGCTGGCACTTGTCTAAAGCTACGTCTCCAACAAGGCTGTTGTATTACAGGATAGCACACTTGCAAAGCGCTTAGCAAAAGCCTGGCACTTGTAATTGCTCAATCAGGTTTCCGACAGTCACATTAATAGTTGGTGTTTCATGTTTGTTGTAAAACAATCACGCATATAACGCAACTTAATTCCGGGGGCGGCGGGAAGCGGGGGAAGAGGCTGCTGAAGCGGGTGGGACCTGGACCAGGGTCCGGTCAAGGGTGCGGGGCAGGCGCCTAGGAGCGGTGGGCGCGGGGCGGGAGGCGGCGCGGGGCCGCCCGTTGGGACGGGGCGGGGTCAGGGAGGCCCCGCCCACAGGCACCTGCGACAGGTGGAGCGCGCGGCGCCGGCCGGTCTCTCGGCCATGTCCGCGGAGAGCGCGGGACCGGTTCCAGGACCGGGGCCAGGACCGGAGCCGGGGCCCCTCTGCCCGGAGCACGGCCAGGCTCTCAAGTGGTTCTGCTGCTCCGAGCGAAGGCCGGTGTGCGCCGCCTGCACGGAGCTCGGCGGCCGCTGCCGGGGCCACCGCATCCGCCCGGCGGGGGAGCGCGCCGAAGAGCTGCGGGTGAGCGGGCGAGGGAGCCGGAAGGCGGGGGCTCGGAGGGAGGCGCGCCGGGGCGGGGACCCGGGGGCCGGGGCTGGGCTGACCCCGGCCCGGCCCGGCCCGGAGCCCGGGCTCCGCAGAGGTACTGGCTGTAGAAAGAGGCGGTTGAGGGTGTGGCCCCGGAGTCGGGCATACCTGAGTACGAGTGTCACCTCCGTGCGTCCTCCCGGCGACTCTCACAATCCTCGGAGACTCAGTGTCCCCATCTGTCGCTCGGGGGCAGTAACAGCGCGCACTTATTAGAGTTATTGCGCCACATAAATAAGATAATGGGGTCCCTGTTGCAGAGGCTGGGAATCGGACCTGGCCTGGGGCACGAAAGGGCTCAGCGGCTCCAAGTCCCACCGCCCAGGTGGAAGCTGATGGGTGAGAAAACCCAGCCCCTCCTCACTCCTCAACCTCGGGACTCCCGACCCCTCCCCTCGTCCCCCGCTCAGGCTTCCTGGGGAGGTGATTTCTTCCCTTGCAGGTTTGGCCTTGACTGGACGTCAAGCTGGTTCCACCAGCGTGAAGGGAAGGGGCGGGCAGGTATCTGGAGGTTCCTGCTGGAACCCTTCCCCTAGGTTTCTCCCCACCCTCCACCTCCCCTTGGCTCCCGGCTGGCCACCTTCCTGTCACCACCCCTCCCTGGGCTGCTGAGATTGGGGAGTCGAACTCACCCTGGGGCTTCTTCCCCCTTTACAGCCTACGGGTGTGGCCCCTGGGGATTTCCTTGCAATCTGATTAAAAGATTTGATTCTTCCAACCGCTCCCTGGAGTTCTGCCCAGCTGTGAGGCTGAGGGCTCTGGTTGAAGACTTGCCTCCTCAGACTGGACTGTAACGAACACCTTGGACAGGGTGCTGAGGCCAGAAGGGATTCAGTTATTCAGTGACACCCGAAAGCTCCTGGCGGGTCCTACTTGTCACCACTATCCATGATAGTGATGATGAAAATAAACTCGGATAGTGTAGTTGAATACACTTCCATAAAGCCTAGACACTTTGCAAGTTTCAAAGCACTTAAATATTCACCATCTGATTCCATCCAGAACAAGCCCCTTTGAAGTGGTGGTCCTACCAACATTTTATAGATGAGGAAACCCAGGCCCAGAATGGACAGTAAATCCTCCCAGGTTTCTACTGTTCAGGGCTGGACTAGGGCAGTCATTGACCAGAGGAAACCACCTCTTTGCTTCAGTGGTTGGAGGGAGGAAGTGACGTTAATGGGAGTGAGAATTTAATGAAAACCTTTTTTAAAATTTGCCATCAGGCCTGAATTTGAGTGGTGGAAAGGGCGAAGGCTGGGGCAGGGTGGCAGCCTGATGCTTGTTTTGGAATATATTTTGCCTGGGATTCTTTCCCTGAACCCTCCAGAGGCACTAGGTATATTCATTTTTTTTTTTTTTGCCTGGAGAGAGGGGTTTCTTGCCATTTTATCCCTCCAATTTTGGTTAGATTTTTCTTCTATTCCTCCAGCCAGCAAAGAAATTTCACTCCAGGGCAAGATTATTCCTGAAGTGGGCAAAAATACCACGAGTCCAAACCACTTTTCACTTACTTTCTGGGTTCCTGTCCCTGTAGCTTTTCAGCGGCTAGTCTCTGTTCCCTTAGTCCTGTGGTGCATGGTGATCACAGCTTCCTCCTAGAAGAGGTTGCTGAGTTCCCTTCTGGAAGATGGAACTGAGGCAATCAATGCTCTTGGGGAAAGAGTGGAAGGGCTGCTTGGAAGGGTTCCCACTGTTATGTGGAGAAATGGAGAGGGAAAGCAGGGGTCTGGCTATATCTTTTGGGCAAGATCCTTCTCTGTGGGCCTCAGTTGCACCTCTAAAACTCTCCCCTGCTCTCATGGGTGATGCTCACAGCTTAGGACAGTGATGGTGAACCTTTTGAGCTCGGTGTGTCAGCATTTTGAAAAACCCTAACTTAACTCTGGTGCCGTGTCATATATAGAAATTTTTTGATATTTGCAACCATAGTAAAACAAAGACTTATATTTTTGATATTTATTTTATATATTTAAATGCCATTTAACAAAGAAAAATCAACCAAAAAAAATGAGCTCGCGTGTCACCTCTGACACGCGTGTCATAGGTTCGCCATCACTGGCTTAGGAGCTGTAAACTGCTGAACTTCAGTCGTCAAGGAAATGGGTTTCATTCATTCAACAGATATTTATTCAGGGCCTCCTCTGTGTAGGAACTGTCTTCTAGGTAGTTGGGCATAGAAAATAAGTCAAAGTCATGGTGCTTATAGTGCCTATTACCTTGGGACTTGCCCAAGGAGATATGGCCAGTGGTGGGGGGAAAGATACAAAAAAGTTAAACAAACAGTATACAGTCAGAGAACGATAGTACAAAGGAGAAAAGTAAGCAAAGTAAGGGAATAGAGATGTGGATCGTCAGGGAAGGCTTCTGGAAAAGTGACATGTCAGGGAGCGAGACATAGTGGTATATGGGTGAAGAGAGCTAGAGACAGAAGAAACAACAGGTGAGAGGCACTGAGGTCAGGACACATTTGGTGTGTCTACGGAACAGAAAGAAGGCCAGTGTAGAGAGTGGTAGGCGGTAGCACAGAGGAGATTACACAGAGTCACGTAAGGTAGGGCCTTGTTGGCTGAGATAAGAAGCTTAATCTCATCTTACTGTGGGTGTATTGGAAAGTCATTGGAGAGTTCTGAGCAGGGACAGTGAATGACCTGATCTGATTTCCTTACAGAAGGTGGCAGTGTCTAACTTGGGGGTTCAAGAATGGAAGCCCAGTTAGGAGGCTCTAACAGTGGTTCCTGTGAGAGATAATGGTGATCTGGGTAGAATGGCAGGAGTGGATGTGACCGGAAGTGGCCAGAGGAAAGAGAGAGAGAGAGAGAGACTTTGGAGATGGGGCTGGTAGGACTCACTGATGGATTAGATGTGAGGTTGCAGGTTTTTTATTTTTATTTTTTCTGGGCAATAAGGTTGATCACTGATGGTGCTGTTTAATAAGTGGGGGTGGGGATACTGCAGTTTGAGAAGCCATGTTCTTCTACTTGGGTGCATGTGTAAAGAGTCAGGTACCTGGGTATGAAGAAAGATTGAGATTGTATGCAGGAAAGTGATTATAATAATGGACAGATGAGATTTCAGGATAAAGAGAGAAGCAAGGCCACAATAAGAGGTGATGGACAGTGAAAAGAGGTAAGACAGCTCCAACTGAGCTGAAGAAATTGTTGGAATGGAAATTCTAGAGGTAGTGATCTGGAAGGATGGGAAGTGGTAGGCAGGGGATGGGATATTTGAGATGAAGATTTTGGAGGCGGAATAGCTTTCCATAATGGTGAGATCTGGGATATAACCAGGGGAGTGGGTGGCAGAGGAGGGGTAAAAAGAAAAACAAATCAATGGAATGGAATGAATGGATCAACATAGATCAAGATGCCATGGGTGTTGTTTGTGTTGCAGAACAAGATTGTGGACCAGTGTGAGAGACTGCAGTTACAGAGTGCTGGCATCACCAAGTACATGGCTGAGGTCCTACCAGGGAAGAACCAGAGAGCAGTGGTAGGTAATTCTTCCCTTTCCCCCTCTATTCTGGGCCCTCTCCTAGGGTAAGACCCCAGCCTTAGGGGCTTGAGCCAGTCTAGAGGCCCTTCCTAACCTCACTAAGTCATTGTGCTATAGCACAAAGCTGGATACCCAGGAAGGATGGTTTCTTCTCTCTCTAAGCCTCGGTTTTACCATCTGGGCAGAGTTGCACACTAGTGCAAAGACTGTTTTCAGGGGAAGGGATCAGGGAGGGTAGCATTTTCCTAACATCTAATTATTTTGTGCGCAGCCCCAGAATTAATTATCAGATAACCTAGGGGCTTGTATGTTGGATATTCTTTATCATTGTCCTATGCAGTAGGTGGCAGTAACATCCCTATTTACCAGACGGTTAATGGACTGGACCAAGGTCCCACATCCTCCTGTCAGAGTCAGTTCTATGACCTGGATCTTCTGACTCTGCAGCCAGTGCTCCTTCTGCTGCACCGCACTGCTGGTCCTTGTGACTCGTTGCCACACCTCCATCTCTCAAGTATGCTTTTCAAGGGCAGGGGCTCTGAATTTCTTCCTCCCTCTTACGTATATATTGATTTCAGAGAGGAAGGGAGAGGGAGAGAGAGGTAGAAACATCGATGATGGGAGAGAATCATGGATTCGCTGCCTCCTGCACGCCCCACACTGGGGATGGAGCCCACAACCTGGGCATGTGCCCTGACCGGGAATTGAACCCTGACCTCCTGGTTCATAGGTCGACGCTCAACCACTGAGCCACGCGGCCGGGCTCTTCCTCCCTCTTATTCCCCCATAGTAGCACATGAGAATGGACCATTGGGTTTAGTAACATGCACAGTACTGAAGATCCTTATAAGAGGAATTTTGTAGAGTGGTGGGTGAAAGCCTGATTGGAGTGGGTTTCAGAGAGCAATTTGGGATAGTTAATACAGGTAACTCTTGAGTGTTGCTGTAGAAGGGAGCTGACAAATTGGATGATCCTGGAGAGAGATAAGGGATCAACGCAGTTTTTTATTTTCTTTTTAAGATGAGAGAAGTTACTTTATTGTGTATGCTGATGGGAATTTCCCAGTAGAAAGGGGAAAATTAGTGATGCAAGAGAAAGGAAAATTGGGTACAGCAAAGAGGGGTGGGCTCTAGTAAACAAGTGGAAAGATTGGTTGTAGGTAAAAGCATGGGCAGTTCATTCACAGAACAGAGAAGACAGAGTGAGCACAGGTGCAGGTAGATGGTTAGGTGATGGGCAGACCTTGTCGAAGTTCTCTTCTGATTGCTTCTATTTTCCATTACTTACCACCTTCCCTGTAGGCTCTTAAAGATGCCACTTGTCAGTTTATGGATGTTTTGTTCTCCATCATCTGTTTATATGGTAACACATTAATAGAGTTTCTAACGCTAAGCCATCCTTGAGTTCCTGGGGAAAACCAACGTAACTTGATCTATATCTATATCTATCTATCTATCTATCTATCTATCTATCTATCTATCTATCTTATCTATAATATATTATCTATATATTATATATTAAGTTTATATATATTATATATAAAGTTAATATATATATTAACTTTTAATTTTGAGATCACTATAGATTCACATACAATGTTAACATCTTTCCTAACTGTGGTAGAATATCATAATCTGGAAATTGACATTAATACAGCTCACCTTTTCAGATTTTACCAGTTTTACACCAATTCATTTCTGTGTGTGACTTTAATTCTATGCAGTTGTATCACATCTATAGATTCATGTGACTTCCACCACAACTGAGATACAGAACAGTTCCATCATAAGGATCCCTTAGTACAGCTTTCTAAAAAGCATTTTTGCATCTATGCTCAGGAGTGAGACTAGCCTATGAGTTTCATTTCTTGTATAGTCCTTATCAGATTGTGTTATCGAGATTATATAATTCTTATTCAATGGGTTGGGAAACAGAACTCTCTATTTTCACCGGAGGAGCTTATATAAGATTGGAATTATCTGTGCCTTGAATGTTTGGTGACAGACTCTGTAACACTATCAGGGCCTGGTGGTATTTTGCTGGTAGATTTTTAACTACTGATTCATTTCCCATCATAACTACAGACTTTTTCCTGTTCTGTTTTCTTTTTCTTTGGTTTTAGTAAATTCTTTCTGGAAAAATTATCCACTTTCTCTGTTGTTGAATTTATTTTTAATTTTATTTTTATTTTTTCTGTTGTTGAATTTAAATGCATAAAATTATTCTTAATATTGATCAAGTTGTCACAGGTTTGCCTATCATGTTAGTCTTCAAAAAACCAACTTTTAGTATTTTAATTCTCTCTTTTATCTCTTTTTAAAAAATATATTGCCCAGCTGGCATGGCTCAGTGGTTGAGTGTTGACCTATAAACCAGGAGGTCAGGGTTCGATTCCTGGTCAAGGCACGTGCCCAGGTTTCAGGCTCAATCCTCAGTAGAGGGTGTGCAGGAGGCAGCCGATCAATGATTATCTCTCATTGATGTTTCTGTCTCTCTCTCCCTCTCCCTTCCTTTCTGAAATCAATACAAATATATAAAAAGTAAAAATATTATATCCTTCTATCTTTATAATTTTTCTATTATTTATTTATTTTAAAATATATTTTTATTGATTTCAGAGAGGTTGAGATAGGGAGGAAGAGATAGAAACAGCAATGGTGAGAAAAATGTCTCCCACTGGGGATTGAGCCTGCAACCAGGAATCAAACCAGGAGCATGTGCCCTGACCAGGAATCAAACTGTGACCTCCTGGTTCATAGGTCGATGCTCAACCTCTGAGCCATACCAGCCAGGCTATAATTTTTTTCTTTTATTTGTTTTTTTACATACTATGTTTTTTTAACTTACTGAGTTGAACAGTCTATCATTTTAGTTTTTCTTATTTCTCAAGGTGAGCATTTAAACCTTTTAGGTGTTGATATAGGTACCTCCCACAAACTTGGTGTACTTGCATTCAGTTACAAGTATTTTTAAAATATATTTTATTGATTTTTTACGGAGAGGAGGGGAGAGGGATAGAGAGTTAGAAACATCAATGAGAGAGAAACATCTATCAGCTGCCTCCTATACACACCCTACTGGGGATGTGCCCAAAACCAAGGTGCATGCCCTTGACCGGAATCAAACCTGGGACCCTTCAGTCCACAGGCTGATGCTCTATTCACTGAGCCAAACCTGTTAGGGCCAGTTACAAGTATTTTTAAATTTCCACTATAATTTGTTCTTTCACTATGAGTTATTAGAAATAGGTTTTTAAATATTCAAGTGTATGGTTTTACTCTTTAAATTATCATCATTCTTTTTTTTTTTTTTTTTTTTTTTTTACTAATTTCTAACTTAACTGCATTGTAATCTGTATGATATCAATTGTTTGAAATTTGTTGGGACTTGCTTCATGCCCTAAAACATTATCAGTTTAGGTGAGCATTTCATGTTCACTCGAAAAAATATATAGGGTTCTATATATGTCTACTAATTAAGTTTATTAATTGGGTCAAATCTTCTCTCTAATTACTAATTTTTTATCTGTCAGATTTATTGATTACTGGCAAAGGGCATTTATTTACATTTTTATATCATGCTGTGGACTTGTCTAGTTTTCTTTATGATTCTGTCAACTATTCCTTTTATATTAAATGTATATAATTTAGATTGGTTATATATTCTTGGTAAACCGTTCCTTTATCACTTTATAGTGACCTTGTGTGCCCCTGTATGATGGTTTAGATGAGTATAAAATTCTAAAGCGAATCACAAGCCCAACCCTAGGCAACTGAGTCCTCAGCTCCTGATTACACTGGTTTCCAGTTTCCTTTCTACTTTTGGACTCCAGGTTATTTCCTTTAATTAGCTGCCAAGGCAGCTTCACTTTGGGTTATTTTTCCAGCATTTCTGTGTTCTAGGAGGGTTTTCGTTTACCCTGTCATATCTTCGGAAAGGGAAGCTTTTTTCCAGGGCTATTCATTTCTGGGAATGACTCAAGAAGGGTGTTGAAATTGATTGCCACCTTCTACTCAGGGAGTATCTGATGTCTCTTGGGTCAGGGTCTGTTCTTGATCCTGATCACACAGTATAAACACAGCTGCAGAGACTCAGGACACTGTGGGCATCAGAGTGGGACAAAGAGAAGAGCAATAGCTGATGTTACTGAGCACTCACGTGCCAGCTTTGTTCTATTTGTTTTACATGTATTAAGTCATTTAATCCTCACAATAGCCTTATGAGGTATTGTCTTCAGTTGAAAACTGAGGCATAGGGATGATAAGTAACGTGATTAAAGTTCCACATATAATAAGTGCAACAGCTAAGATTTAAACTGCGGAACTGCCTCCAAAACCCAATTTCCCAACCCCTATGTCGCATTGCCTCATGAGAACACTGAGGGCTCTGAACTCCCAGATTCACTGGACTGTACACTGAGCCACTCCCTTTTCCCCACTGGGCAAATTATTGCCTCAGTTTCTTCTGTTCAACAGGGATAATTGTCGTCTGCACTGTACAAAGCAGGTCTTCAGGGGCAGGACACGGGAAGCTGTTGGCTATCTCTGACCTTGGCATGAAGGAGACTGTTCTCCTCTCGCTTCATGCAACAGGTACCTTTGGGTAGGACTGATTCCCAGATGGCACTAGAGTAGGGGGATAGTGTTGGACTGAAAGTCAAGAGAACTGGGTTCTAGTCCCAGCTCTGTCACTGACTCAGCATGTGAGTGCTATCAAGAGATTTTTGACTAAGTTGGGAACAAATTTCCTAGCAGTCATTCAGTAAATATTTGAGTGCCTACTACGTGGCAGGCACCGTGCTAGTTGCTAGGAGACACACATTAACTTTATTGGCTGAGAACTGACTTCAGGCCTCCTGTGTGGCAGGAAAGAATTCTACCATGGAAGCAGTTGGAATGGACAGTTAGGGAATAATAAGGTTTTTGTTCTCAGACATCATCAAAAATATCAACTGGACCACTGTTGGTACAGATCCTGTTGATGGGGATGACTTTGTAGGCCCTTCTGTTCTGCAGTTCTGTGATCTCTGACCTTGGTCCCTTGGCCTTGGTATTCCCACCTGTGAAATAAGTAGGTGACTCTAGTTGATCTCTACGCCCTGCCCACCTCTTCCATTCTGGGAACCTGGTTCTGTGAGATATAGCCTGGATGTCTGGATTTCACATTTCTTTATCCTAAACCATACTTGGGAACTCTTAGGGCTGGGATGGCTTAAGTAAGCACTGTTACTGCCACTACAGTGCCCATGACAGACATTGCTGATCAATTTCGGTACCCCTTTGGGCTGTGCCCAAATCCTCCTAAGCTTTTTTTTTTTAAAATATATTTTTTATTGATTTCAGAGGTGAAGGGAGAGGGAGAGAAAGATAGAAACATCAATGATGAGAGAGAATCAGCTGCCTCCTGCACGCCCTCTACTGGGGACCGAGCCCGCAACCTGGGCATGTGCCCTGGACTGGAATTGAACCCAGAACCCTTCAGTCTGCAGGCTGACGCTCTAGCCACTGAGCCAAACCAGCTAGGGCGAAACCCTCCTAATCTTGACTGGGGCTGGGCCAGGATCTGACTGTTTTTATCCCTCGCTAGAGCATGGCCAGCGCAGCGCGGGAACTGGTCATCCAGCGGCTGGGGCTGGTGAGGAGTCTGTGTGAGACCGAGGAGCAGCGGTTGCTGGAACGGGTGCACGGCGAAGAGGAGCGGGCCCACCAGAGCATCCTGACGCAGCGAGTACACTGGGCTGAGGCTTTGCAGAAGCTCGACACCATCCGCACTAGCCTGGTGGACATGCTCACCCATACGGATGACCTCCAGCTGATTGTAAGTCAGGCGAGGTCTGAGGGCATGTCTCTCCCAAAAGTCTGAAAACATCGAGAATGTTCATTGGTCGGAGGTGGGTGGATAATGATAATTTGAAGCAGGGATGAGTCAGGGGAATACAATTATATAGATTTTTAGAAATATATTTTTATTGATTCCAGAGAGGGAGAGAGAGATAGAAACATGAGATATATGTATTTTTTGCACCTGGTAACTATTCTTTGAATAGTGAGCAAAATTCATGGAATGCCTACTATGTGCTAAGCATTGTGCTGTGGGGTGGAGTTGCAGTATACAGCTGTCAGTGACTCACAGCCTTATGGACGAGACAAATACAGAGACTGATCATTAGGATATGGAGGATGTGTGCTGTGGTAGATGACATTCCTGGGAGCGAGGGACCCCACAAGCCAAACTCGAGGGGGTCAGGGAAGGCTTCCTGGATGAAGTGACTTAGAAGCTGATGCCTGAAAGATAAGAATTGCAACTATGTTAAAGGAAATGGGAGGTGGAGAGATAACTCCATATCTGAAGAATTGACAAGGAGTCCAATATGAAAATAGTCAGCTCATCTTTAATGCTACCATCTAGAAATCACTATGGTTACTATTTTGGTACCTATCCTTTCAAAGTCTTTTATATAGATATGCAGATATCTGCAGTTTTAAGGGACATTGTGACATCTGAATAAATATGCCAAGCAGAGAAATGAGAATGTAGAACAACTGAGCTGTCTGTACCACTGCAGTTCAAGTAGGACAGCTTCCATGACTGCCCTAGATTGTGCATCCATTTAGTCACACAGCTTCCACAGACAGAGCACGTTCTGTCCCAAACACTGTGACAGTCACAATAGAAGATTCAGGAAAGGGTCCCAGTCATCTAGTTGCTGACAGTCTTGATGGGGGACGAAGTGTTGGGTAAATATGCACCTGTCCTGAAGTGTAAGTGCAGGAAACTCAGGACACCATGGGGCACAGGGGGCAGAGTGATTCATTCTGAGTGGGGGGTGGGAAGGTATTCGAGGAACCCGTGCAGCTTTGTGCTTTGTCTTAGAGAAGGAGTAGAAATTTTTATCCTAGGGTCTCCGTCTCCGCGGAGCCCTCCACGCCAGTTGAATCTATTCAGATCTTGACTGCCTGCTGGGTTTCTGGTGCCAAGCCTGATTCTGTTTTCTTTTCTCACAGCAGAAGGAGCAGGAGATTTTTGAGAGGTGAGTATGGTCCCTGATTTGCTTGGGCAATCATGGAAACCGTGGCCTTCAGGCCTCTAAATAGTTCACTGCGTTCAGGCTCCGCTGCTCCTGGGGGAAAGCCCAGGGTGTGCAGCTGTGAGTGGCTTCTCTGGCGCCAGGCTTGATGGACGGGGCCTTTCTGCTCCTTGCGTGGAGAACTGCTTTAGACCCATGTGTAAGGGAGTGAGATAATCACTTATTAACCAGAGGCTTGCCACAGTCTAACATCATCCCATTAAAAACTGTACTGTCACCCTGTTGGAGGGTTTTATCAGCCCATCTCCAGATGCGAATGCTGAGGCTCAAAGAGGGGAAGGGACTTGCCCAAGCCCCAGAGCTGGGACTGGGACCCACACCTGACACCTGTCTCAGGACTGTCTCCTCAAATTTGCATGTGAAGTGTGCAATATGAAAAGAATTTCACCAGGCCCTGCCTAGGTCCCAAAAGGCTGGGAACCAAGATTCTGAGGAGTGGCTAAAAGGATGTAAATTGCCAGGCAAGGAAATTAAATTCTTAATCAGTGCAAGATTTCAGAGCTGTACTTGAGGAGCACAGCCCATTATTCTTATCTATTTTTGTATTTAAGTTCAATAGCAATACATATGTATGAGAGAAAGAAAAAAAAATCCACCAATATAAAACTATTCAAATTAAAAATGAGTCATCTCTTTCCAACACCATTCTCTAGAGGTGATCAGTTTTAACAGTTAGTTGTATGTCTTTGGGACTTTCCTATATATAATCATAGGAGAATTTTTGCCTCCTTAAAAAATATTTTTTTAAACACAGATGGGATCATTTTTATAATTGCTGTTCTATAATTTATCAGGCTAATTTGGGATCTTTCCATGTGAATACATGTAGACTTACTTCACTTTTTGGAAAGTCTGTGAAGTATTCCACAGTATGGATGCACCACATTCATCTTACTGTCTCCTTTTATTTTTTTAAAATGTACATTTTTATTAAGTATATTTTCAGAGAGAGAAAAGGAGAGGGAGAGATAGAAACATCAAAGATGAGAGAGAATCATTGATCAGTTGCCTCCTGCATGCCCCACACTGGGGATCGAGTCTGCAACCCACGCATGTGCCCTGACTGGGAATCAAACTGTAACCTCCTGGTTCATAGGTTGACACTCAGCCACTGAGCCACACCGGCCAGGTTTCTGTCTCCTTTTCATGTGTATTTGGCTTGTTCCTACTTTTTTCCTCCTGTAATCTTCCCACATTTCTGCTGGTCTTCTCTTTTTTCTCTATCTTTATCATCTTCCTCTAATACAGTCAGTCTGTCTGCAATATCAAGTTGATGTGATTATTGAAAAAAATTTTGATCTTCAAATTTTTTGTTTTGAATATTTTTAACTCAGAAAAGTTAGAAAAAGTATCACAATGACCTTTGCCTAGAAATACTAATTGTGTTAACATTTTGCCATGTTTGCTCTTTCTCACTCTCTCTTTTTTCCTATCTATCAAGATGATTGCTCCTCTGTACTAGCATAGTATCTTTTAAAAAAATTATAGCCCGGCCAGTGTGTCTCAGTGGCTGAGCATCGACCTAAGAACCAGGAGGTTACAGTTTGATTCTCGGTCAAGGCATACATGACTGGGTTGTGGGCTTGATCCCCAGTAGGGGGCATGCAGGAGGCAGCTGATCAATGATTCTCATCATTGATGTTTTTTTTTCTCCCTCTCCCTTTCTCTCTGAAATCAATAAAAATACATTTTAAAAAAAACACCTTTTTTTCTCAACTATTTGAGAGTAAGTTGTAGAAAATATATTTTATTCCTAAATACTTCAGCATTTATCTCCTAAGAACAAAGACATTCTCTTACATAACCACAGTATAATTATCAAGTTCAGAAACTTAATGTTGCTATAATACTATAATCTAATATACAGTCTATATCCAAATCTACAGCCAATTGTACCAAAAAAGTTCTTAACAGTGTTTAGTGGTTTCTTTTTGTTGTTGTTGTTTTTTTCCTGGTCCATCTGTTCTCTTTTAATCTGGACTTCTTCCTTCATTTTTTTTTTTAATATATTTTATTGATTTTTTACAGAGAGGAAGGGAGAGGGATAGAGAGTCAGAAACATCGATGAGAGAGAAACATTGATCAGCTGCCTCCCGCACACCCCACACTGGGGATGTGCCCGCAACCAAGGTACATGCCCTTGACCGGAATCGAACCTGGGACCCTTCAGTCCGCAGGCCGACGCTCTATCCACTGAGCCAAACCGGTAACAGCCATTTTTTAAAAAAAGAAAAACATTTTTAATGAGTCTAGGACAGTTGTTTTGTAGAACATTCCTCAATTTGAGTTCATCTGATGTTACCTCATGATTGGGTTCAGGTTATGCATTTTTGGCAAGAATATCTCATAAGTGATGTGTTCTCAGTCTGTCAAGTCAGAGGGCACGTGATGTCACTTTGTCCCTTATCAGTAATGTCAATTTTGATCACATGGATAAAATTGTGTCTATCAGGTTTCTTCATTATAAAGTTATATCTTTACTTTTGTAATGAATAAGCAATGTGAGGAGGTGCATTTTGTATAAATAACCTCTTTACCTTCAAACTTCATCCCATAATTTTAGTCTCCATTGATGCTAAATTCCTGAATTATTCACTTATTTATTTGCTTGTTCATTCATTTATTTAGTATAAATATAGACTTGCGAATTCTTTTTTTATTCAGTGTATTATAATCTGATACTACTGCTACTATTACTAATTTTGATCTTCAAACTGTCCTAGATTTGGCCAGTTTTAGTCCCTTGGGGCTGGATCCTGGATCCTTTTGACAAGTCCCCATTATTCTTTTCTAAAAAATTAAACATATTTTTATTGATTTCAAAGAGGAAGAGAGAAATAGAAACATCAGTAATGAGAGAGAATCATTGATCAGCTGTCTACTGCATGTCCCACACTGGGGACCAAGCCCACAGCCCGGGCATGTGCCCTGACCGGGAATCGGATCATGACCTCCTGGTTCATAGGTGGACACAACTACTGAGTCACGCCGGCTGGGCCCCATCATTCTTTAAGAACTTTCTTGTGTTCCAGCACAACGTAATGGCCCCGGGCTCACCTTGTTCTTTTCCTGCCTCAGCCCTGGAACCAGCTATTTCTCCAGGAACTCTTGGTTCCTTGTAGTGGGGAGTGGTATTTAAAAACTGAGATCTGGGCAGGAGATGTGCCTTGTTGCCGATGCATCATTGCTTCCAGGCCTTCTCAGTAGACAGCAGACAGAGCTGGGAAGTGTGAGTGTTTTTTTTTATTTATGAGTTTGTATTACAACTTCTAATTCCAAGGGAACACTACAGCATTTTTCCTTTGATTTCGCCCATTCTATGTTTATATCTTTCTTTTTTCACAGTGAGAACCTTGGCATCCCACAACAGCAATATAGTCATTCATTTGTTTGGTCCTATAATACATACAGGGTTGTTTGAGAATTGCTTAAACAAAATACTACTGACAGCCCTCGCCGGTTTGGCTCAGTGGATAGAGCGTCGGCTTGCGGACTGAGGGGTCCCAGGTTTGATTCTGGTCAAGGGCATATGCCCGGTTGTGGGCTTGATCCCCCGTAGGGGGTGTGCAGGAGGCAGCCAATCAATGAGTCTTTCTCATCATTGATGATTCTCTCTCTCTCTCCCTCCCTTCCTCTCTGAAATCAATAAAAATATATTTAGGAAAAAAAATACTACTGACAAACCCATTCGTAGAAGTCAAAATTTATTTGCGGTTCCTTGTGCCTTTAGAAAGTACTGTGTTCAAAAGTTGTCAAGCACCTTCTAGCTGGGAACTCACTTATCTGAGAAATGCCTTTTTTGGATCTAATTTTGTTTCCACATCCCCGGCTGGGTTCAGCTGCAGCCTGTCACATGGCAGCAGGTCCTGTGCAGAGACCGGGCCTTCAGATCCCAGCCAGGGCCCTGCTGTGTCCGGACCCCAATTCACTCCCAGGAATTTTCCCTTCTGTACCAGAAGGCACATGGACCAGCTGATTTTCTAGATTCTGATGACTATGATTGGCCTCAGATTTGCCCTGGGATGATGGCTTAGCCATGCAGACACTGGTCCTCTTTCCTCCCCACCTGATGGCTGGGGTCCCTGAAGCCCCAGCCTCACTGCTGTGAGAAGAGGCATCAGACCCTCTGTTGTCCTGACCACAAAGACTCTTTGTTACTAGAGCCAGCACTCAGCTTTTCTAGGGCTCTGCTTACCTCGTTCTTCCCAAGCCAGGATAGTCAGTGACAGTCTTGCCAAGAGCAGGCATCCATGAGACATCCCCCCCCCCCTTCATTAATGAGCAGAGCTGGGAGATTTGGGGCAGAGAGTGTATACTCTCAGAACTGCTGCCTGATCTCAGAGCCACCAGGATTAGAGGCAGTGGGAAGTTCTTTCTCAGAACCCAGTTCAAAAGGCTGCAAATCCCCACTTTGCTCTATTCCCTTTGAGACTTCACTTCTGGTCAAGGAAAGAATTACGTTGAACGGTGCCTGGAGGTAGGACTTGAATCAGATCCCCGTTTTAGCTGAGTGTCTTCTCTCTTCTCTCCTGTCAAGTGGGTAACAAGTACCTCCCAGGTTACACCAAAGATGACGTGAGATTCTGTATAGAAAGGAGCAGGCCCAGAGCCTGGCTGCTTAATAAGTGGCGGTTCTCCTTGTTCCCAAATTCCCTCTCCAACCAAACTCAGTCCCCGGCCCTGAGCTGAGGAGAGGTAGTTATTGGGAGCAAAGTGCTGTGAATAATTTGTGATTGGGGAAATAACCGATAGTCCCTTCCTGTGTGACCCCACAGGGGTGTTGGCATTTTAAGAGCAGAGGAGTTGGCTGTACCAGCTAATCAAACCGAGGGCAGCATTACTGCTGCAATTGGTTTTGGAGGGAGGTGAAATTTTCTCTGGGCAGGAAGGTGGCATGCGAAGACTGCTGCACAGAGGTCCAAGGTGCCCAAGTCCTAACCCCGGCTCTGCCCAGTACCAGATCCTTGGACGAGTGAGTAGCTTCGTCCACAGAGCAGAATGACTCCAAGTTATGATACTGGCACCAAGTAGTTACCACCTTGTCAATCATCTGCCTTGCGTAATTAAGGCTTGGGGGAGTGGAGGGTGCACAGGGGGAACGTCCACCTTCCCTTTGGCTCCAGCCCCCTTTAGGCAGCTCCTGTCTGAGGCTGGCGGCCAATCTTGGTGTCACCCTTGTGGGAAGAGGATTTTCTGCCACATTCCTTCCACCCCACCCCCTTCACCCTGTATTGATCCAGATACATTTCCAGAACCTTTCTGAATCTGTTTTGTTTTCTTTCTTACAAGGGCTGAGGAAGCAGAGGGCATTTTGGATCCCCAGGAGTCGAAAAAGTTAAACTTTAATGAGACGTGTGCTTGGAGCCCACTTCTGACCCAGCTCTGGGCAACAGCAGCTCTCGGCTCCCTCTCAGGTTAGAAGCTCGAGCCCAGCACCTGTTGGAGCAACTGGGCATCTGTCTGTCTGTCTGTCTGTCTGTGGTTTGCTGTGGCCAACACTGGGGCCTGGTGCATTCGGGATGGTAGCTTAAACAACCAGTGATACTGGGTGCAGGTTTGTCAATGGAGCCAAGGTTCTGGAAAGGCCTGGGGCACCTGGGCCAGGTCCTGCCCGTTAGCAGACCGACCTGCTCTGTAGTTGGGTCTAGGATAAATCTTGTTCTGGTAAACCACGTCCTCCTTATGCCCTGCCCTACTGAGACAGCTCAGTATTATTTCTTGGAAACCTGGTTTCTCTTTAAGAAGAGAGGTAATTGATGGCCAACTGGGAGTGAGAATTGAGCTTCCTGGATTCATCTCACTTAACAAACATTGACTCAGGCTGACTGTGAACCTGGCCTTGTGCTGCATGCGGGGGCCACAGAGGTGAATGTGACACAGTCTCCTGCCTCCACAGAGTCCCACTTAGTGCGGGGTTTCTCAGAGCAGGCTGGAAGTTTCCATTCTCCCAGTTGTGGTAGTTGCACAATTCACAGGTTAATTAATGAATTGACATTTTTCTCAATTTTAACCCTCCCCACCTTCCAATTTCCCATTCCCCATTCTCCTTAAAATGCTAGTACACACTAGAATTCTCTAGAGCAGTAGTTCTCAACCTTGGCTGCACATTAGAATCACCTGGGAATCTTTTTAAAATCCTGATTTCTGGGCCTCATCCTCTGGAAATTCTGTTTCTTTGTTATGGGGTGGGGCCACAACATTAGTAACAAAGAAACAGAATTTCCGGAGGATGAGGCCCAGAAATCAGGATTTTTAAAAGATTCCCAGGTGATTCTAGCTGGTTCCAGGGCTGAGGCAGGAAAAGAACAAGGTGAGCCCGGGACATTATGTTGTGCTGGAACACAAGAAAGTGCTTAAAACCTTCTGCACATTAGAATAGGGACTTAAAACCTTCAGAATTTCTGGTACTTTAGTTCAAGTAGGCCAAGTCTACTCCAGATCCACCTTACGTTCCAAGGGCCAAGGGGAAACCGAGTTGGACCACACCCTTCTACAACCTAATGGTTGTCTCTTTCTGGGCTTCGTGGGTCAGAATTTCTGGTACTTTAGTTCATCATCCCAGCTGATTCTAAGGTTGAGAACCACTGCTCTAGAGTCTGGTGTCAAATATTACCCAATTTGCTGGCAGTCCCATGTAGTTAGTTGTTGGAAACTGCATACCTGATGCTTCCCAGCTTCCAGGGGCACGGTGTCCCTAGGACAAGTCTGATCTGGAGGCTGCAGATTTGCCCAACTGGAATGCAGTATGACCAGTGCTAGATGCTAGATGTAGGAACAACATGCTGGGTCTTAATTTTGTCCCTGCCACCAACTTCGTGTGTGACCTTGGGCAATTTGCTTCTCTGGGCCTTATTTCTATCAGAGTTTACAAATAGTAATAACGACTGTTATGACCACAATTTATTGAACACATATTATTGCTGGGTACTTTCCATGTATCATTTCGTTTGATCCTTACATCTATCCTGTGATAAGTCCTATTTTGATCCCCATTTTACAGATGAGGAAACTGAGGCTTAGAGAGAGTAAATGGCTGCCATTGAGTGATAAGGAAGCCCTTCACTACCTGACAGGACCAGGGTAGGGCTGAGTGTGGACCTTGGGCAACTCTGAGATTCTTTCTGGCAGGCACAGAGGATGTGCGCATCGATGAGAGGACTGTCAGCCCCTTCCTGCAATTGTCAGATGATGGAAGGACTCTGACCTTCAACGCCAAGAAGTCCAAAGCCTGTGCAGATGGCCCAGAGCGCTTTGACCACTGGCCCAACGCCCTGGCCGCCACCTCTTTCCAGTCTGGGCTGCACGCGTGGATGGTAAATGTGCAGAACAGTTGTGCCTACAAGGTGGGCGTGGCCTTAGGCCAGCTGCCCCGTAAGGGTTCTGGCAGTGACTCTCGTCTGGGCCACAATGCCTACTCCTGGGTCTTCTCCCGCTACGACCAAGAGTTCTGTTTCTCACACGGCGGGCAGCATGTTCCCCTGGGGCTGCTGCGCTGCCCAGCACAGCTGGGTGTGCTGTTGGACTTGCAGGCCCAGGAGCTGCTATTTTACGATCCAACCTCGGGCACAGTGCTCCACACCCACCATGCGTCCTTCCCTGGGCCCCTCTTCCCAGTCTTTGCTGTGGCTGACCAGACCATTTCCATTGTCCACTGACCTTCGGCACTGGGGAGGCTAGATCTGCCTGCCCACCATCCTTTTAGGCCACATTTCTACCTAGTATCCTTTTCCCAAATGTTGCCCATGCCCACCGGGCAGCTTTAGGAGGGGTAGGATCCATTTCAGATCCGGTATAACCATTAAATGCTGTATCTGTGGGGAACCTGCCATTCCCTGGGCCTTAGTCTCCCAAATTCACCCTCTAAGGGTGTCTTGTTCACCATTTTATCTCTGGCATCCAGCATGGTGCCTGGTGAGCAAATATTTGGCAAGCGAATGGGTGGATGGATAGATGGATGGAGAGATGGGTGGATGGACGGGTGGGTGGATGGGTGGATGGATGGATGGGTGGATGGACAGGTGGGTGGATGGATAGATGGATGGATGGATGGATGGATGGGTGGATGGACGGGTGGATGGGTCCATGTGGGTAGACTCTTCTGGAGAAGCACTGCCTTTCAGTCCCCTGCCCCCAGCTCTGAGCGTGTAGAAGTGGTTTTCTGGCAGAAAAGCCTGTGGCTGAAGTCCTTTCATCTCGATTGAGTGCTTTCAGTCCTTCCCATGACATGACACACAGGGAAAGAATTTTTCTAGCACACAAGGACAACCTGGAAGGGGCCTAGAACTCCTGTCAGCTGCTCCTGGTCAGAGGACTCTGGCTGGGGGGCTGTGTCCTAAACCAGGGCCTACCTGGCCACTCGGAAGACTGAGAAAATCCTGTCTCCAGGTAACCTGACTGCAACACACCCGTCAGCAGCTCTGCCTTGGACCTGGCGGCTGACCTCCAGCCTGTGCCCACTGCGGTAACTGGGATTAATTTTCCCCCAGCTGCAGCTGATGAGTGCCCCCGCCTGGTGGCCCCTTCTGACATAATGTGGGGACCTGGGGGGAGAACCTCAAGTCAGAAAGAGCTGAGGGGGTAAGAGGGCCAGCCTTAGAGAACGTGTACATTATTAAAGGTTTTAAAAGATTGACAATTTTCTTCCATGTTCTTTGTTGGTAATTGGGCAACACCCGCCCCGCCCCGCCTCCCTCCCCCCAAGGGCCAGCTCAAATCTTAGAGGTGTGTTTACTGGAAATTTGATGTCTTCCTCATTTCATGTTCTCAGATATAAGGGGGTGGCTGAGGTCAGCATACACACCCTAAAAGGGCCTGGAGTCGGTTCTGTGCCCTGCACTGCTGGGACCAAGGGCAGGTCTTTTTTTGATCTTTAAGGAGGTCACATTAGAGCAGTATTCCTCACATTTTTGTTTCTTTGGGGAACATAGTTCAAAGGCAATTTTACCTACAACTTCAGGCTCCTGGGCTCAAAGATGAGGCCAGAGCCCTCCCCAGTTTGCTCAATAATTTACTTGAAACACTGGGTGGATCAAATCCAGTCAGTCCACAGACCTACTGGCAACTTTTATGACTGCAGTGACTTCTGAGGCCCCTATGGCTCTGAGACTACAGCTCATGACCCTGTCCTCACCGCCGGACACTCGGGAAGGTGTCTGAGAAGAGCTTTCCTGCCTCCAAACCTGGGTCAAGGCCAGATTCTTCTAGATGGCACCCGAAGGCCCTTACACCACACTCCCCAAATCACCAATCTAACTCCCCGTAGCAGCCCTCAGTCCACAGTTCATGGGCCTGCTGCTAGGGATTCCCTATTCTGCCCACCTAAATGCCAGTCCCAGTTCAGGGTCCACTCCAGAGCCCTCCCTGGCTGTTGGCACTAGAACATAACGTGCATGTGCCCATCTACATGCTCTTCACCTGTGGTATCCCCTGTGCTTGGCACTGGTTGAGGCACAGAGGTGTCCAGTAAATACCAAGTAGAGAGGTGTGTGAAGAGGGAGAGGCATGAAGAGACATGAAATTTTTAAAACGCAACTTCTTCAATTCCCAGTAATTCTCCCCACATTTACACTCCTGCCACCTGTGCTCTGGTGCCTGTCCCCTGTGCTTTCCTACCCCTTGTTACCCCCTATGACTGGGGTGTCCTTTAAGAATGACACCCTTTAGGTCACCGTCCCTATTCTTCCAGGACCTCAGCTGCACTATGTCTCATGGGACATGGATCCCTTTCTACTTGCAAACTAGTGGTCAAGCCAACGAATGGGCTTTGGAGTCAGACAGGCCTAGACTGGAACCCTGGCTCCCTCATGTACTAGCTGTGACCTCAGGCAGGCTAAACCTCTGAATCCCTTGTCAAGTGGAAGACATACTGCTTAAGCCCACTAGGTGGCTTTGAGGGTTCTATATGCCTATCAAGGACGAGCAGAGTACCTAATACATGGAGGTGTGTGTGTGTGTGTGTGTGGGGATCAAGCTTCTTCTCATGGCTGGGATTATGGCGTTCTTTGTCTAACATCTGACTAGACTATGTCGTCTTAGAGGACATGTCCTTAAGCACAGCTTAGCACCCTGATTTTCAAATTAAGCTCCTCTGACCTTAGACTTTGCAGGTGGGGGAAGTTGTAGAGCAGCGGTTCTCAACCTGTGGGTCGCGACCCCTTTGGCGGTCGAACGACCCTTTCACAGAGGTCGCCCAAGACCATCCTGCATATCAGATATTTACATGACGATTCATAACAGTAGCAACATTACAGTTATGAAGTAGCAACGAAAATAATTTTATGGTTGGATCACAACATGAGGAACTGTATTTAAAGGGCCAGAAGGTTGAGAACCACTGGCTTCAGGGCCTGAATGAGGGGTCCTAGGACCTTTGCTTCACCCTCGCAGTGTCTCCTTTTTGCCTGTTTTGCATATTGGGGTTCCACATAGGATCTCCCATGACAAAAGGACCCTGCTGCTATAACCAAGTTTCAAGATACCTGACTTTGAAGCTAGTTGGGCCTTTAGTAAATCTTGTTGGAGATGAGGCAGATTTGTGAAAAAAGGGACGCAGGTGTGATGAATGAACCATCTCAGAGACCAGGAGCTGGTTAGTGGGGCAGGGCTGAAAGCCTCACAACTCACTGCTTTATAGTCAGAATGCATGATGGAGTCTACAGGGAGGGGGTAAAGGTCAGATCTTGGGAAGGAAAGGGCTTCCTGTCTGTAATGTTTGTTGGGCCCAGCCGCTTCCCTCACCAGACTCACAGCCCTGTGGATGAGTTCTCCAGGCGGTCAAGGGCAGGCAGGAGATGGGGCAGTGAGGGGAGGATATGTTCTTGGGGTACAGAATCTTTGACCGCAGGGTCCAAAGGCCCCGGGCCAACTACTAGAAAGCTGTGCATGCCTACAGCCCGGGCCCCCTTATAATCATTGTGGTAACTGTCCCCAATATGGGCCGCCACTGCTGGTTCTACATGAGCAAGCCGCAAGGCTTCCTGGAAAATGCGGGGGTCCGGCTTGCACCAGCCAGTAGCCCCAGAGGTCAGCACAAAGTCGAAATGTTCCCGCAAACCGAGACCCATCAGGATACCCTCTAGTCGCTCGTCAAAGTTGGAGACCACTGCCAGCCTCAGACCTCGTTTTCGGCACCCCCTCAGGGTGTCCTCGGCTCCCTCCAACACCTGCCAGGTACAGGGTCTGCTGAAGTCTTTGTACAGCTGGTCAGCGATGGGGGCCACAGCCTGGGCATCCCGAGCACCCGCCAGGTGGAAGGTCTGCAGGACCACATCCTGCCACCACTGGCGGCAGGTGAGACCCTGGCTCAAGCCATAGTTGGGGAAGCTGTGGTTCTGAGCCCTGATCACCTGCCCAAAGGCTTGTTCCAGGACTGGGGCCTCCACCTTCAGCCCGTGGGCCCGAGCGCTGGAGGCATATTGCTCCCCCACGGGCCGGCGGAGCCTGAGCAGCGTGTCCTTCACGTCCCACGTCAGCAGTCGGATCTGTAGCTGGTGCGTCATGGGTCTGCAGGACGGGCCAAGTCTACTCCAGATCCACCTTAAGTTCCAAGGGCCAAGGGGAAACTGAGTTGGACTACACCCTTCTACAACCTAATGGTTGTCTCTTTCTGGGCTGCGTGGGTCAGAATTTCTGGTACTTGGGGAATGTCTTCACAGCAGAAGATCCTGGAATGAGACAGCAAGTAAAGTGGGAGTTCAGGTTTTAGACTGGATTCAAATTCTGGTGCTGCCAACTCAGTGTGTGGCCTTGGGCATATCACTCTTGGAAGCCCTGTCTCTTCATGGGGAAGAATACAAGGACCCAACCTCACAAGATTATTGGACTAAATGAGATTATCCGTTCATTGCACAACAATTTTCTGAACACTGATTATGTGCTAGATGCTGGGAACCGGACAGGGTTCCGGATCTCATGGCATTTATAGCATTAAATAATAGGGGATACAGATGTTATACAAAGAACTACACAGACACTTGGGCTTAATGAATGCAGCATGAACCGTGAAGTTATAAATCCAAGGACCTTATCTGGTCTTTGTCAGAGAACCTCCTAGGCAAGTGAAGTTTCAGTGGGGATCTGAAGAATGACTATTGAAGAAAGAGAGGTGGTTAAGTGTTCCTGGCACTGAAAACAGCAAGTGCAAAGGTCCTGAGGCAGGGCAAGGAGTCTGGTGCTTGGGGTAGAGAGGGGCCAGCTCAGGCAGGGCTGTGTAGGTCAAGATAAGGAAACAATTATGATTGCTATTCCTATTGTTAGCAATTCCAAAGACAGAAGGGTCCTTGCAGACCATCTGACCAAACCCTTGGCTGTTCAGCAGGGAAGACTGAGCCAGAGAGGAGCAGATATTTACCTAAGATCACAGTGAGTCAGCAGCATAGCCAGGACTACAACCCAAACTTTCACTCTTTGGCCAGTGCTTCCTTCCACTGCTTAGGCATATTGAATTAAAAAGAAAATCTTTTTGGCAAACCTGTACAGCATAGGACAAAAAGCAGACCAGAGCTGCCTGGTCCTACCTGCCTTTAAGCCTCTCTGAGCCCCAGCTTCATCTTTTTTTTTTAATATGTTTTTATTGATTTCAGAGAGAGGAAGGGAGAGCGAAAGAAACATTAATGAGAGAAACATCAATGGACTCCCTCCTGCATGGCCCCTACTGGGGATTGAGCCAGCAATGCCGGCTGACCTCCAGGTTCATAGGATGATGCTCAACCACTGAGCCACACCGGCTGGGCCCAGCTTCATCTTTAATGGAGGTAACACCTGCCTGGGTGGACGGCAGTGAAAGAACTACTGCCTTAACGCACAGGAAACAAACTCCTCCGCCTGTCGTCCACAGGCTGGACGCAGCTTCTTTCCCCAGAGCGGAGTCAGGGTTCCTGCAGGGATCTGAGGGTCCAGAATTCAGAGTGCAGCCACGTGTTTGCCGAGGAAGGGTCGTGGCTGGTGAATCTGGGACATGCCTTAGAGGAAGCTGGTCAAGGACATGGCTTTAAGCCTGTCTGGAACTCAGGGAGACCCACCGAAAGACCCTGCTCACTTTGCGGGAAGGGAGATGAAGGCCCAGCGAGGGGCACTGGCACAGCTGAGCCGAGAACAAAGGCTCTGGCTCCCGACCCACAGCGTCTTGCATTTCTGGAAGCCGGAGCTGGGGACTCTGGGCTACAGGCATGAACTGCTCACCCTTCCTCCCCAACTCTCGGGCTCGGTGGCGGCAAATTACAGGTGTGCCAGCCGTTAGAGCGAGACCTCTAAGCAGCCATCTGCAGGGACTTAGGGACGCAGGCCGCTCCTGCGGCGGCAATCTGGGGCCCCTGCTCAGCTCCAGCGCGGAGCGCGTCCCCGGGGCTCAGGACTCACCTGCTCCGAAAGGAAGCGCAGGAGGGAAACCGCAGGCCCTGCCGGCGTGGGAGGCGCGCAGCTCTGCCCGGCGCTGGGCCCTCTCCTCGGCCGAGCCCCCTCCGGCCCCGCCCCTTCCCCCTCCTTCCTGCCCCCCTCCCGCTGAACCCTCCGCCCCTCCGGCCCCGCCCCCCTCCCGCTGAATCCTCCGCCCCCCCGCCCCCCCCCCCCCACCGTGCTCCTAGGTCCCCTCTCCGCCCCTAGGAAGCTCCCACACCCTCTCCGATCCCCACCTTAAGCCTTTCCGCCCCCAACCGCGTCTCACCGTCACCTTGCACCCTCTGTGCCTCTGCCCCCCGCCCTCCCCTTTCCCAGCCCCTCCGCCTTCCTGGGGTTGGGACACGCCCGGGAGGGGCTCAGGCTGACTAGGGAAGAGGGGCTGTGGGTCCCGGGAGGCTTGCTGAGTGCCGTATGGACTTGGGCAAGGCAAAGCTCCTCTGCTCTGGGTCCCCTGTCGGCACCAGGAAGGAATTGCTTTCAGTTGGAAACTTATCTAACTCAGGACAATTTGCTGAGGACAGAGTCCTCTGCAGTAACTTAACTGCCCCCCCCCCCGCCTTTTTTTTTTTTAGTGAAAGAAAAGAAGGTATCCATGCTCATCTTTAGAATGTATCCCAAATACATTGGCTTCCTCCCCTCTCCACCATCACCGTGGTCCAGGTCACCGGCTCCCTGGGGTTTGCAGTGGCCTGACAAGGCACTTTTTCTCGCACCCTTCCGTTTTTCCCATAGCAGCAGAATGTGGGAAACTGGACCATACATAATAGGTTAAGCTGCTTTAGTTGTCTTTGGATCAGATGCAAAATACAACCCAAGCTTCCCAAAAGTGCGGGACCCACCTTTCTCACCTCTAGCCCTGTCACCACCCTTCTCAGCGCCCAGCTCCCAGCAGTGCTGCCACGCTCCTCACTGCGGGATCTTTGCACACTTGGTGTTATCCTCACAGCTTCTGGCGCGTCCCTCTGCTCTGTAAGGACCCTTCCTTTTCCCTGGACCTCAGGGAGGCCCCTCTTCCCCCATCTGTTATTCTCTGTCTCAGACCCTTCATTTTCTTCCAGGCACTTATTAGAATTTGTAACTGCTTTATTTGTCTGTTTTCTTGTGGCCTGTCTCTCCCATTCTATTGGAATTGTTTCCATGCAGAGAGACAAGCTGAGGGCTGTCCGGCTAGATCCTCAGTACCCAGCACAGTGCCTGGGCACAGAAAACACGCTCTCAAAAAATATCTCTTTAATAAAAAGCCTTTTGGATGGGTGGCATCTCCAACAATCAGGAACTTTCTCTTTGCTTCTGAATTTTGATCCCCTGGCAATGTTTCTGCTCGTTAATGAGTAATTCTTGTCTGGGGTTTATGGCTCAGAGTAGAGCAGATCGCAGGCAGCCTGGCAACCGCTGGTCTGTGTGGGAATCGCCTTCCTGTGGAATCGCAGCAAGTCTCAACTTTGAACTCAGGAATGTCAGTCTAGCCCCCAGGCCCAATGTCCAGCAGATGTGGCATGGTTCCAGAGGCCTTAGGCTTTCCACAGCTTCTGAGGATCCACGATCCAACTGTCTTCCTCTTCGCCTAATGCTCCAAACTCCTCTCACAGGCCCCAGAAACCTGTGCCCACGAGAGCTTTCAAACGGAAGCAACGCCAGAGGAAGGAGCTAGGGTGGCAGAGGTGGCCTCAGGGCTGACACAGGGGAGGGTGGAGAAGCTTGGCGGAGCCCTGGAAGATGTGGCTGACAGTGGTAAGATTTGGCAGGAAAAGGGCACAAGGGCACAGTTCTAAAAGCAGCATTTACTTTGGTTTTCACTTCTCCAAGGCCCTGGGGCCTCTGTAAAGTTCTAGTTCTTGGGTCGTGCACACTCTCTCCATCATGCCTTCAGCCACTGCAAAAGCTGAGGTGTGTAGTAGGTGATGATGATGTCGGCACCTTTGTGGGAGAGAAACAGGAAACGGGGGGGGGGGGGGGGGGGCATCAGCTCTGGGCATACCTTCTGGGAAATGAGGGCCAGCGGGGAAGAAGGCAGCTACTATGAAGAGGCACAGTTAGTGGGCGACACAACGTAAGACCGAGCCCAGTGCTAGTCAATCCTAGCTCTCTAGATTGTGTGACTGTGGACAAGTCATTTTCTCTTTCTGGACCTCAATTTGCCAATGAATAAAATGCACAGTGGGGAAGCAGATAAGCTGTAAGTTCCCTTCCACACTGTGTGCCATACCAATAAAACCAGCTCGCATTTATGGAGTGATGAACACATGCCAATTACACGTATCATCTCATTTAGCCCACACGACAACCACCTACCAGGTATCTTATCTCTACTATAGACAGGACTGAGGTTCAGAGAAGTGGCTAGGCCAAGGTCTCACAACCAAAAAATAATAGAGAGCTCTGCTTGCTTCACTGTTCCATGTTCTGTTCTACAGTCATGTCTTTGCCTCTCAGCCTGTGTCTGTTTAGATCACTGTTACCTCTGGGCCTAAGACTCCAGGCTGTTTCAGGACTTCATTTCCATTTCTGGGCAAGCTGCCTATTAGTCTGTGTCACAGGTCAAAAGCCCCAGCCCTGCCAGCTTACCAGCTCTGCGGAAGGCAGTCATGACCTCCAGTACAGCGGCCTTGAGATCAAACGCCCCAGCCTGGGCTCCGTGCCACAGCATAGCAAACTCTCCAGAAACGTGGTACACGGCCAGAGGGAGCTCTGGGTGCTGCAGAGAAGCAGCAGTAGGCAGAAGTGGAGGGTGGGTGTACCCCTGGGAGTGTCCCTTGTTCCCTGCCCAACCTTTGACCATCTTGAGCCCCATGCCCTGAGGCACTGCTGCGGACCCCTTCTTAAACTGTTAGAGCAGAGCTGTTCAAAGGCTTCTGCCCACTGGAGGCTCCTGGACAGGGACAGGGGAGGATTCCTGTTCAGGGGCAGATTGCTTCCAACTCTGAGATTCTGCAGTCCATCAATCTAAGGTCCCAGAGCCCGCGGACACACTCTCTCATTTCCCTGAGCCCCCCTTGTCTCTGCTCTGTGCTCACCTTGTTCTTCACCTCCCGCACAATATCCAGGTAGGGCAATCCCGGCTTCACCATGACCATGTCGGCTCCTTCCCGGACATCCCGGTCCTAAGGGATGAGGTAGGGTGTGGGCAGTGCCTGGGAGGCGGGGGGAGAGGGGAACAGGCTGGCTGGGGCTCAAGCTCTGGTCACTCACCACTGCTCGGAGCGCCAGGCCTCGTGCTCCCGGTGGCAGCTGGTAGCAGCGGCGGTCTCCAAAAGCTGGGCTTGACTGAGCTGCGTCCCTGGGAAGCAGCAACATCAGGGAGGGCTTCAGCTTTGGGCTAACGGGTCAGGGCTCTAACAGCAGACCCTAGCCCATCCCCACTCACCGGAAAGGCCCATAGAAACAGGAAGCAAATTTGGCGCTATAGCTCATCACCGATACCTGTGGAGAGAACGTGGGGATTGCGCTCAGTCAGCCCTTTCCAGTTGTTCGAGGGTCACGTACAGGAAAGGGACCTAGGCTGGGAAGCAGAGTGCCTGCGTTCTAGTCCCATTGGAGCTCTGGGCCTTGATTTCCCTATCTCAGGAGCAGAGGGTGAGACAATCCCAAAGACCTTGTACTGTCCATCTTCAGTTCTGTGATTCTTGGCAGATGTGGGGGCAGGCCTCTCTCCTCTCCTCACATCCCCCCTTCTCCCCTCACCCCCTGCTCCTACCCTGTTGCCAAATCCATGTGCCATCAGAGCCTCCTTGATGGCTTCCACGCGTCCATCCATCATGTCCGACGGGGCTACCACCTGACATCCTGAGGGAGGGAGGATGGCCTTCAGGACTCTGGGACCCTCCTGTCTACTCCACCACCTCCCTGACCCAGAGGTTCTCATCCCTGCTGGTGGCTTACTCACCTGCCTTGGCATAGGCCAGAGCCACCTCTGCTAGCCGCTGGCGGCTCTCCTTGGCCTGGAAAGCCCCATTCTCGCTCAGAAGCCCTGCATGTCAGACAGCTGGATTTTAGGGAGCCCCTGGCCTGTCCCATTGTGGGGAGAACTGGGCAGTGGGAGTGCAGGTGGCAGCAGGGCTGGTGGAGGGAGGGAACTCACCACAGTGACCATGGGAGGTGTAGGGGCACAGGCAGACGTCGCAGGCCACCAGCAGGCTGGGGAAGGTCTTGCGCAACAGACGAACTGCTTCGACAGTCGGGGAGTCCTCAGCGTCTGCTGCAGAGCCCCGCTCATCCTAGTGACAGGGAAAGGACAAAGGAGGCACAGTGAGGACTCTCCCCATTTTGCACAGGGGACTAGACTTGCCCAGTCAGGGTGTCATAGTGCTACTTAGCTTCTTGGCCTTACATGGGTGCTGTCTTAATAACAGGGGCCATGTCCATTTGCCTGTGGCCCCAGGGCCAGCACAAGGCCGAAATGAGGGTGTGGTCAGCGTGGATCCTCAGCTCACCTTCACCCAACCTCCCCTTCACCTCCCCTCTAACACCTCCCCCGATTCCTCACCTTGGGAACTCTGCTGGGGACACCAAAGACCAGGACACAGCGCAGGCCCTCTTCCACCAGGGGCCTCAGCATCTCTTCTAGCCGGTTCACACCATACCTGCAAGGAGGGGCTGCAGTGAGGCAGGCCCCGGGCAAGGGTCCTCCCCACCCTGCCACACTGTGCCTCTACTAAGAGCCAAGTGGCACTTGGTACTAGGAGGGCTCAAGCCCCATAGTACAGGGGGTGGGGGCAGAAACGTACCCAACAAATAGATGGGTAAACTGAGGCACCAAGTGGCAGACTATGGGATTAAGCTGCAAAAGGCCCCTCCAAGGTTCTTTTATTGAACTCCCATTTGAAGTTAAGCTCTCCTCTCCAAGACTCTGCTAGGATGCCTCTGGTGATGGGTAGCCCATTACTTTACAAGGCTGCCTCTCCTGTTGTAGAACGACTTTGGCCCTGACAAAACCCTTCTCTCTACTGAGCTGAAGTCAGACTCTCCGGATCTTCTACCTCCTGGCTCTGCTTCTGCTTCCTGGCATCTCCACCTGTAAAATCTCTCCCTCCATCCTCCCCCTCCCTCCCCACCATGTCTCCTACCTGGCCACTCCTGGAAGGCTGGCAACAGGCTGTACATCATCAGGAACATCCCTGCAAGAGTGGGGGTGGGCTATGGATTGGTAGCTGTGGAAAGGGCCAGTGGTGAGGGGGGTGACGAGGGGGGATGGTTGGGGAGCTGGGAAGGAATATGGAAGTGGAGATGTTGGGAGGAGGATAGGGTCCAGTGTCTGGTCGCCCTGCCTGGCCAAGCCCAGGGCCTGAAATAATAATAGGAACAACAAGGATAACAGTGACAGCAAGAGCAACCTTACTAAAAGACAAGCAATCAAAGGAAACACTCAAGTGGTTAAGAACTTGGACTCTGAAGTCAGAAGGTCCTCACTTACTATCACAGTCACTTACTAGTACTGACTGGGTGACCTTCTTAGCTTCTTGACCTTACATGGGTGCCATGTCCCTTCGCCTGTGGCCCCAGGGCCAGCACAAGGCCTAAATGAGGGTGTACCATCTCTTTGAGCCTCAGGCCCTTTTTTTATATCCTGGGTGGATTCATTCATTCATTCATTCATTCATTCATTCATTCATGCAACAAATATTTATTGAGTACTTATTATGTGCCAGGTGCTGTTCTAGGCTCTGACAGTATAACAGCAAACAAAGCAGACAAAAATCCCTGCCCTCAAGGAGATAACATTCTAGGGTGGGAGTGGGAACCTTTTTTCTGCCAAGGGCCATTTGGATATTTATAAGATCATTTGCAGGCCATAAACAATTATCAACTTAAAAATTAGCCTGCTATATTTGGTCAAACATTTAATTAAATGTTAACCTAATGTTAATTAGGGGTGTTAATTAACTCACCCCTAATGCCTTAGCAGGGCCAGATCAAATGATTTTGCAGGTCTCGTAGGCCTGCAGGCTGGATGTTCCCCACCCTTGATCTAGGGGATAATATTCATACTTTCCTCATATGGATGCTGTCAGGACCGAAAGATAACAGATGTAGATGCTTAGCATAGTACCTGGTACACAGTGAGTTCTCAATAAATGTCAGCTGTTGCTATGCTATATAATAAAAGGGTAATATGCAAATCGACTGAAGGGCAGGTCCCTATGATGCGCACTGACCACCAGGGGGCAGAAGCTCAACGCAGGAGCTGCCCCCTGGTGGTCAGTGCGCTCAGCCAGAAGGCAGGACTAAGACTGACGGCTTAAGTCTGCTTCCCACGTGAGCCAGGACATCCCCCGAGGGCTTCTGGACTGTGAAAGGGTGCAGGCCAGGCTGAGGGACCCCCCTCCTCCCCAGTGCACAAATGTCATGCACCAGGCCTCTAGTTATTTATAATCATGACTACCACCTCTTACATGTACATAGCACTTTGCAATCTACAGAATACCTTCCCAGCTTCTGTCATACTGCAAAAGCTCAGGATGGCAGGTAAGACTTATTCTTATTTTCCAAATGGGAAGATTGAATTCTTCTCAAGGTTTGTTTCATTCTTAAGACAGCTGTCCTTAACCCATACCTTGAGCTCCAAACTGACATCTCACTTTATCACCCGCAAACAGATGCCTGCTCTGGTCCCACCCACACCCTGTGGATCCGAGACCCGGCTCATTCTGGGGACTCACGTGACAAAGATGGGGTAGATGAGGTTGGAGGCACTGAATGTAGTGGCGGCTGCCTGCCAGGTCCGAAGCAGTGGGTGGAAGTAGCCGCTGTGGAGAACAGACTGAGGCTGCATGGTGAGCAGTCAGGGTACAGGGTAGCCAGCTGGTTGGAACTGAGGGCTCCTGGGGTATCTGCTGGGTGTTCAGCTATGTGGGGACAACAGGAGGAAGGTGAGACATGGTCCCCGTCCCCAGGAGGTGGTCATATACCTCCCAAGCTCTTCTGGATTCCTGCATGCATCTGCTCTCTACCTCAATGTTCCTCTGAGTGTGGTTCACCAGTCCTTGCTGGTCTATAAGATAAGTAGAGAAATGAAAGTAGGCCTTAAGAAACTTTCATAGCAATTTGAACCCAGTAATACAAAATTTGGGCTCATACTTATATGGTCTCTCTTTTTCTTTTTCTTTTCTTTTCTTTTTTTTTTTTTTTAAATATATTTTATTGATTTTTTACAGAGAGGAAGGGAGAGGGAGAGAGAATTAGAAACATTGATGAGAGAGAAACATTGATGAGCTGCCTCCTGCACACTCCCCACTGGGGATGTGCCCGCAACCAAGGTACATGCCCTTGACCGGAATCGAACCTGGGACCCTTGAGTCCGCAGGCTGATGCTCTAGCCACTGAGCCAAACCGGTTAGGGCCTCTCTTTTTCTTTTTAAATAATATTTTTCTAGTAATTCATTTTTACTTTATAAAAAAAATCAATCTGGGCTGGATGAAAATTAGTATGAGGAACACTGATCTAGCCAACATTTATACTTTGTTTATTCCATGAAAAATGTCCATGTACTTGGCAGAAAGTTTAGATAAACCGAAGTAAAAAATTCCCTGTAATTCTACCCTTCATACGTAGACTTGACAGGCAGGACACACACTAAGAGGATTAAATAGTGGTTCCCAACACACACACACACACCCTGTAGAGTGGCCATTGATGTCGTCTTTTCCAGCCCTCAAACTTCCTGCTACTCCCCAAGCACAAGCCACATGTGGCTAGCTTCTGGCTCTGCTCACCCCGTTCCCTTTATCTAGAAGGCTTGTGCTCTCTCCACTCCTCCAGCCCCAAATCCTTCCTGGCTGTCCACAAGGCACTCCTTCCTTCCCTCTCCTACTAAAGCCTCTCTTCTTGCCCAGGTCACACTTTCTCTCATATAACAGGTCTTTGTGACTATATCTTATCTTGTCCCAGTAGACAGAGCTTCTCAGGTTTATAGTGAGTTCATTTTTTTGTCTTCCCCACACATTCTGCCATAGAGTAAATATTACATGAAATACCAGACAATATGTCCTAAATGCTAAAGAAATGTAAGCTAGAAGGAAGCTGGGGCAGTAGCATTTGTTTCTTGAGCACCTACTGTGTGCCAGGCCACACTGGGCACTTGCACACATGGTTTCTCATTGAGTTGGCACTACAGTCCTGGGAGGTAGGGCTGATTGAGTGCATCTTGGAGAGGTGGAACCTACCCTAAAAGAACTATGAGTTCCAATGTGAGTTTGGAGGTCAGAAAAAGCTTGTTGAAAGAAGATGAAGACTTGAACTCGTTTTGCAGAATGAGTGGGTTCAGCTAGTTAGAAGGAAAGGGGAGAATATTCCCTCAGGAAGAGAAGAAAGGAGTAAAGGTAGGGAAGGAGGGATGGCTATGGACTGTTCTTAGGACCTAAGGAGGCAATCAATGGAACCAGGTGTGTATGCAGGGGAGAGGGGCGGATTGGGGACAGGAAGGTTTCTAATGGGGGTGGGTGGGGTGGCCTGGTCAGAGCCTGGCTTTAGGAAGAAAATCCTGACAGCCTGAGCACAGCAGGTGGGAAGCAGAGGTGCACAGAGGATGTGGAGCCAGAGGGGTGGAGAAGGAAGGGCCATCATAAGGCGGCCAAGAGGCAGTCTCGTGGGGGGGACGCTTTCCTGACCTGGAGGGCAATGGAGACAGGGACCAGGCAGGAAGAGGGTAGTGGGGAGCAGACCTTGGAGAGAAGGTGGAGAGCTCCGTTTTAGAGCCGTCCTTTTGGAGGCGTGTACAGATGTCGATGTGAACAAAAGTGACTTCATCTTTGCATCCCTGCTTTTGTTTTTCCATGCTGAGAACTCTGATCAGCCAGCACCAAAGCCTCACAGTTAATGATTAGCTGTGTCCTATAAATTCACATAGTGTAACCATAGATTCCTGTCAGTAAGTGACCAAAATGGCACAGCAAACAAGATAAATATCAAACTATGCGTTGGCAATCATAAGACCTGTCTCATTGCATCCTTTGTCCTTTAGTCTTGTCAATCATTAGTAGTTCAGCTATACTACAAAAGGTTTATTAGTCTAGCTAATAATCTGCAGGGTCGGATGGGTTGTCTCTTCTGCTCTGACCCAAACTTCAGTAAGTAAATGACCCTATAATAAATTCTGTTATAGTCAATGAACTTGCCTGCTTCTACAGATTGGTGGTTAATGTACTTGCACTCCACCTTCAGGCAAGGTGCCTGAGGGGACACTCAGTAGCCAAGTAGGGAAGAAAAAAATATCAAGAGCCATTCCTCTCTCCTTGTGTGAATGGGATCTCAAGGCTCAGAGAAAGGCAGGGACTTATCGGAAGTTACACATTCCCTTGGCCTGGGGAGTCCTTTAGTACACAGATGATGCCTTTCTCCCCAGTCTCCCAGGCCTCTTTTTATCTGACCCGCCTTCCTGTCAGGATTGGGGTTATCAGGAGCCACACGGGGACCCATCCTACCACCCCACCCTTGAACCACCATATCTCATCTGACACAGGAGCAAGCCAGGCCTCCCCGAAATGTCCCAACTCCCAAATGAGCAATCATTCAGCAGTTACAAAGTCCCGAGTGACCATTTTGTGCAAGATTTTGCTCTCAGCCTGGCCAGTGTGGCTCAGTTGGTTGAGTGTTGTTCTGTGTACCAAGAAGTCCAAAGTTTGATTCCCAGTCAGGTTACATGTCCAGGTTGTGGGCTTGATCCCCAGTGGGGGGCGTGCAGGAGGCAGCCTATCAATGATTCTCTCTCATTGCTGTTTCTACCTCCCGCTCCCACTCTCTATAAAATCAATAAAAAATATTTTAAAGCCGAGGCCGGTTTGGCTCAGTGGATGGAGCGTCGGCCTGCGGACTGGGGGGTCCCCGGTTCGATTCCGGTCAAGGGCATGTACCTGGGTTGCGGGCATATCCCCAGTAGGAGATGTGCGGGAGGCAGCTGATCGATGTTTCTCTCTCATCGATGTTTCTGGCTCTCTATCTCTTTCCCTTCCTCTCTGTAAAAAATCAATAAAATATATTTTAAAAAAAATATTTAAAAAAAAAGATTTTGCTCCCAGGTCTGCCAGGGATTAGCCTAGCTCAGAAAGGTTGTCACTTGCCCAAGACTACACAGCTAGTTAGTAACAGCCAGAATTTGAATTTGTTCTAGACGAGTGCTCGGTTTTATCTACTAGTCCTGGTAAACACTTGATTCAGCAGGCACCTCTCCGCCTCGACTATCTTTGCTTTGCTTTGCTTTGGTGGCTGGAGAGCTGAGAAAACAAGGAAACAAGAATTGAGATAAGGAAATGTAGGCTCAGAGAGGTTAAGTAACTTTAACTTGCTCAATGTCATTCTGGAGTCAAATCAGATTCTGAAGCTGGGTCTACACACGTCTCAGATAGCAGCAACCTCTGTGGCAGCTCCCAGCTTCTGGAATCCAGAGCTGCATTCCACTGGCTTCATTCTCACTTCTACTTTAGAAGGCTGAGGGAGCAAATAAATGCCTTCTGTTTATCAGCAGCAACAGGGCAGGGCTGCCTAGGAGCTTTGCAGGAGGTGGGGGACAAGGGAGGGTGAGAGTGTCGAAGGAGAGGCCTCACTAGGGCAGTTCCGCTTTAATATCTGTGTGTTGTTGTATTTTAATTTTAGGGTTGAGGGAGATTTGATTTGAGAAATGGGTATCAGTAATAAAAAAATTAAGTTGAAAATCACCAATCCTGTTTATCGCTTTCATTCTGATGTGGAAATTGGATGCAGAGGCAACAGGGCCTGTCTGATATCACACAGTGAGTCAGGTACAGAGCTGGGCTTGAGCACGGGATCTCCTGGCTTCTAGTCCAGTGCCATACCCTGCACCACACATGGTCATTCTGTCACAACAGGTGCTGAATCAATATGTGTGGGGTAGAAAAACATCCCTGAGCAACAGAGTTGCATCTCTGTTTGCAGAGCAAAAGCCAGGTGGAGGTTTGGGAGATTTTCATACACTTGGGAGGGCACTTCTCTCAAATCAAGGGAGCTTGCAAGTCACTGCTTAAATCCTGTCACACCTCACTGAAGTCAAGAGCAAGTCACCATGGGACCCAGCACCTACGCTCAGCCATATTAGAACAGGTTAGCTTTAACTAGAAGACAGTATAGGGTGGTCCAAAAAAACTACATTTCAGGGTCAAAGAGCCCCAGGTCTGGTCTGTGCTCAATGTGTGACTCTGAAAGGTTGCTAGCCTTTCAGATTCTATAAAATGGGAGTTAATCAAACTGGCAAAGCTGCAGAGATTAGAGATAGTGAACAGGTATGTGCCTAGTCTCACAGTAAACACGTAGCTACTTTTATATTAGGAACAGGTCTGATCTGGAACTAGATTTCCAGGCTTGCCATCACATCGATGCCTCTGCACACACCCAGAAGGGAGAACTTTCATTCAAACCTGTGTGGGCTCCAAGGTCTTCCAAGGCATCCCAGGTGGGGGTGGGGGTGGGATCGCTGCTTTCCAGCAGTGTAGGGGAGGGGGGGAGGGAGGAGAAATAATCACCACACAGATGTTACAACCGAGGGGTGGACCAGGTGCTGTGGGAGGGATCTGTGTTCTCTGGGAGTCAAGGATGGCTTCAGGGAAGAGGGGACATTGAGGAATAAGTAGCTTTTCAAACTGGTTGTAAAGGTATCTCCTTTCTTAGAAGGCAGCTTCCCCAACCTGGGAGTAAGTTAAGGTGGGCCCTAAGAGCTGCTACCAGGAGGGACTGAGAAAGAGCTGCAGGGTCTGAGCCCCCCGTGTTGTGCTCAGGGGAGGATTCCAGAGGTTATGGTCTTGGCACAGAGGGCTGGGAGCTACTGCCAGCTCCGGCAGCCTCTGCCACCAGCTGGGGAGGAGGCAGTCAGGGGCCAGCTAGGTAGAAGGTGGCCAGGACTGAAAAATCCAAAGCCCCTGAGGGGCCCAGGACAGCAGCTGTTAGGCAGTTATGACAAGGGACCGACTTGTTTATTCAACTCACATTTCCTGAATGTCTACTCTAGGCCTGTCCCAGTGCTACACACAGGAATTAAAGAGAAGAATGAGACCTGGGCCATGACCTAGAGCTTTGAAGAGAATTAGCCAGGTCCACAGGCTCCTAAGACATCTTGGCTAAGAGGGTCCTTAAAGCTTGTTGATTACATCATCGAAATGATGGCGAAACTGGGTTCAAGGAAGGACAGGCACAGGCCCAAGATCATGCAGGGGGTAGTGGCAAATTTAGGGCTAGAATTCAGATCTCCAGCAGCCCAGTTTTCAATGCCCGCTATTACCCCTTGATACTTTAAGTTCAGATTTCAAAGCCCACAGCAGACTTGGGCTGTGGAGAACTCTGGGTGGCGAAGGGAAGCCGACCCGTGACTCTGGACCTGGATGCAGCTGGCAGCACGATAATAAAGTGTGTGGATTTTGGAGTCTGTTCTAGCTGTCACTCCCAGCTGTGTGACTTCAGTTGCCTCATCTGGTAAATGCGGACTTGAATCGCCCTCAATGGACTGTTGTAAAGACTCAATGGGCCAATGCACGTACGTACAAGCCTAACACAAGACGGCTGATACAGTTCCACCATCCTCCCACATCGGCGAAGTACCTCGCGCTCTCTGCACTGAGAGTCTGCTCCAGGGGTGTCCAAGGGAGTAAACCCTAAGGGCTGGACACGTGCCCTCCAGGACTATGGCCCCGCGGAGACGCTACCCCGGCTGCAGCCGGGCAATCCACCTCTAAGAGCCCAAACACCGGCCCCAAAGGACGGATCCCCGGCTGCGCTGCCAGCGCTCCAGGCGCACAGCACACTGTGGGTCTAGGGACGCGGTGCCACAGCCTCCGCCTCCACCTCCGCCTCCGCCATCTCCCCGCGTCCGGCCCCCGCTTACCTTACCTCCTCGGAGCTGCGAGCCTACGCTCCCGCCACCGCTCCGTCGCTCTCAATCTAGTCTCCCCGGTGCACGAGGGGCGGGCTGCTTCCCGGAAGCGGCGGCCAACTCACACCCCGCCCCGCCAGCGTGCAGGCCACACCCCCGGGGGCTCTTGGCTGGAGGGCTGACCAGCTGCAGCCCCGCGAGGGCGGGCGGGCTCGCCAACCCTCCGGCACATCCGATTGGCTAGGCGTCGGGGCTCACGTGCGTGTGGGGCGGGACCAGCGCGTGGGCGGGGATCGCCGCGGGGGAGGCTGCTGGGCAGCGCGGGGGAGGCTCAGGGGTGTCGGCGAGTGAACCTTTCTTTCTCCGGAGCGGTGACAGCCCCGAGGGGCTCTTTGCAGTCCTCGTCTTCGCAATGCACAGCATACTTGGCGCTGGTTAATTATTTGTTGACATAGTGCGACGTCAAGGACAACACCGTGATGCCCAACGCAATTGCTAAGTTCGTTTTTGCGGACTGAGCATTTGAAAGTTTTTTATTTCAGCACCAGCCGCCTTGCAAGTTTTAAGAGAAAATGTAATCCATCGTAGTTGCCGAGGATCTACTCTGTGCCGTGGCTTGGGAGATGGGATTTGAATGACATGGGCACTTAAGGCATTAGGAGGAGTACAATGGGAGATCTGACCAAAGGTGTGTGTGTGGGCACGGGTTGGGGGGGAGTTGGTACAGAGTACGTGCAGGGCGGGAGGAATCTAGTGAGGCTTTGTGGGCTGGGGTGAAGCGGTGGTCGGGACCAATACCCTAGCAAAGGAATGCTTTTTTTTTTTTTAATAAAAAATACGTTTTATTGATTTTTTTACAGAGAGGAAGGGAGAGGGATAGAGAGTTAGGAACATCGATCAGCAGCCTCCTGCACACTCCCCACTGGGGATGTGCCCACAACCAAGGTACATGCCCTTGACCGGAATCGCACCCGGGACCCTTGAGTCCGCTGCTGGAGGATGCTCTATCCACTGAGCCAAACCGGTTAGGGCAAAGGAATGCTTTTATAAAGGTGAATCAGGGATCATGGAAAAGCTAACTTTGAATCGTGAAGATGCCAGTCGATTGTACTACACTTACACTCAAATTTTGCTTCTCATAATCTGTAACCCAAACCTGTTTTATACTTCAAGCTAAAGAGGTAGAGAGGCTTAATGCTAAGGAAATAGGACATCGTTTAGTTCCTAGCTACTAGAGTTCTGATTTGTGTTCAAATAAGGAAGGTGGTAGAAAGGAATGAGGAAGAGTGAAGAAATAAAATGGAATCAGTGTGGTCAAGCTGCTAAATTATTAAAATCAAGTAGGCTGAGGCATAGGGAAACGGTTCTATTCTTGCTAACTAGCCTGGGAACTTAAAACTTTTTAGTTGTGCATCCATGCCTGGATATACATGACCTCCATAGATAACCATCTGAGCAACTCAGTTAATAAACCAGACCTGGAAGATTACCATCTTGGATCAACCCAGAGGCTAAGAATGCAGAACTGACTCTTGTAAAAAAAAAATAAAAATGTGCTTTTTACTCAAAAACTCAAGCTTTTAAAAAAAAAATTGATGGGGGGGGGAGGGGAGAAGATAGATAGATAGATAGATAGATAGATAGATAGATAGATAGAAATCCTTTGCGGACCCAGACTTAACTGGAAACCTAGGTATGTGCCCCAGGGCAAAACTCGTTATTGTGTTAGTTGTGTTTCAGGTTCGCAAACCTAGACACTTGAATAAAAATTTATTTTAGCAAAGCCTCCTGATTCATTTGCGTCCAGTTGACAGGAAGTAATGTGTTTTTGTGTGTGTGTGTGTGTGTGTGTGTGTGTGCATTAGAGTCAGAAACAGTACCATACATTTTATATTCACTTATCTGATTTTGACAACAGTTACTATCCTCATTTTACAAACTGGGAAAACAATTTCCAGGGAGATTAAAAAATTCGCCCCACCACACACAGCTTACTTTGCAATGTTTGCTAAACATACTCCTCAACTCATAGGGATAATTACTGCTCCCTCCTCCCCCTTAATTTGACCCCCTGCCCAACATTTCTTTCATGACACCTGTTTCAACTCTGAGTTTGATAACTAAAAATAATTAGGACCATCTACCTTACCTCTAGGAGCCCAAACAGGGTGACAATTTTAAAATGTTGCTGTTTGGTGTTATCTATTTTTCCCATGTGTCTCTCTTTTTTTTTTTTTTGCCTGGAAGACCTATTCCCACCCTCACCCTCTGCAAATTTTACCTTAATCTTTCACTCTGATCTATAAAAAAGTATTGTGAATGCAACAATATGAATAAATATTAAACATAATATTGAACAGAAGTAGTCAAACAGGAGTACATATTATGATTTCGTTTATATGAAATACAAACCCAGGCAAAATTAATCTGTGCTGTTTTAAGTCAGTATAGCTATTACTACTGGGGAGATAGTGACTGGGAGACCAAAGGGGCTTTTTTTTAGGGTGCTGGTCATGTTGTTTATTGATCTAAGTATGTTACATGGATGTGTTCAGTTTGTGAAAATTCATCAACCTCTAAATTTATCTGCATCTTTTAGTATGTATAATTTTTTTAAAAAATAAAAATACCCCACAACCCGCGCCCCCCCCCCCCCACCCCCTACACTATTGTACTTCCTAGGAAGGTACGTGGCATTGTGCTAAATGCTGTGAAGACCATTAAAGAAATAGAGATTAGTGGTTGCCAAGGGCTGGGAGAGGGAAACATGGGGAGTAACTGCTTGATTGGTAAGGGTTTTTATTTTGGATTGATGAAAATGTTTTGGAACTAGATAAAAGTGGTTGCACAACATTTTAAATCTGCTAAATGCCACTGAATTGCTCATTTTAAAATGGTTAATTTTGCCCTGACCGGTTTGGCTCAGTGGATAGAGCATCAGCCTGAGGACTGAAGGGTCCTGGGTTTGATTCTGGTCAAGGGCATGTACCTTGGTTGTGGGCACATCCCCAGTAGGGGGGGTGCAGGAGGCAGCTGATCGATGTTTCTCTCTCATCGATGTTTCTAACTCTCTATCCCTCTCCCTTCCTCTCTGTAAAAAAAATCAATAAAATATATATTTAACATGGTTAATTGTATGTTCTGTGAATTTCAATGTAAAAAAAATTGGTGCCTTGGCCAGTGTGGCTCAGTTGGTCAGAGTGTCATCCTGTGCATGGAAGGGTTGAGGGTTCAATTCCCAGTCAGGGCACATACCCAGGTTGCAGGTTCAATCCCTGGTTGGGGTGAGTATGGGAGGCAACTGATTGATGTGTCTCTCTCACATTAATGGTTTTCTCTCTCTTCCTTCCTCTCTCTAAAATCAATTAAAAACAAAACAAAGCCCATATTCCCAGGTAAGGATTAAAAAAATAAATTGGTTCACCAAATGCAATGTGGTATTTTGGTTTGGATCCTGGAACAGACAAAGAATGTTAGTGGAAAAACAGATGAAATACAAACTAGTTTGGCCAATTTAATGGGACCTCTCTGTACTCTGCAATTTTTCTGTAAATAAAAAAATAGGCCAAACCAATTTGGCTCAGTGGATAGAGCGTTGGCCTGCGGACTGAAAGGTCCCGGGTTTGATTCCAGTCAAGGGCATGTACCTTGGTTGTGGGCACATCCCCAGTGGGAGATGTGCAGGAGGCAGCTGGTCGATGTTTCTCTCTCATCGATGTTTCTAACTCTCTATCCCTCTCTCTTCCTCTCTGTAAAAAATCAATAAAATATATATTTTTTTAAAAAATAGACTAGGCTGCAAAAGTAATTTTGCATGGATAAGGATGGTAACCCTCTCACCCTCCAAATCCAGGTTAGAATCTTTAGGCATGAAGGGCTGTGGTTAAAAAAAAAGAAGAAAGAAGAGAGCCCGGTTTGTCATGGCTCAGTGGTTGAGGGTAGACCTATGAACCAGGAAGTTGATTTTCAATTCCCAGTTGGGGTACATGTCTGGGGATTGTGGGCTTGATCCCCAGTGTGGGGCAGGTGGTAGCCAATCAATGGTTCTCTCATCACTGATGTTTCTATCATTCTCCCTTTCACTTCCTCTCTGAAATCAATATATATATATATATATATATATATATATATATATATATGAAGAAAAGAGAGAGCAACATTACCTTAGCCTAGTAAGGAATCTTCAAAATCCAGATACCACTACAGGAATGATAAGAGATGAGAAAAACTGATGGATTACCTCAAGTATTCTTCCCACTTCTTAAATTCTAGTTTTAAGTCATAGTCCTTACTCTCAGGAAACATGACTTTTCTTAGGTAAAGTTTGGTAAGAACTAAAGCCATGTGGAAGTGGGGTTCTTTTGGGGATTCATTTTTGACTGCGGCCTTCTGTTGGAGTAGAAGATTAGAATAGATGGTAAGGTGAGCCTTCTTTAAGCAGGCTATGAAATAACATTTCAGTATGGATTTAATAGGAAACATCAAGTGACTGTAATAGCAATGTTCTAGGAAGATCCACTTGGCAAGCAGTATACAGGGGAAGCTGAGACGAGGCAGGAAACTGAACTCAAAGGAAGTCACAGGAGTCCAGATGGGACTTGAGGTCTTAGCCAAGTGGTGCTCATGGGAATTAATAAGTGATATTTCTGCTGTGGAGAAGGGAAAAAAAAACACACTGGATCTAATGACTTTTGGGGTTGTATCTTTGTGAAATGTTATTTATAAATTCATGATTTGAGAAAACTATGTAGATTAGGTAATACAACACCAGACACACAGCACTCAATAAACATTTTGGAGTTGTTAAGCATCTATTATGTAAAGCAGTGGTTCCCAATCTTTTTTTGGCCATGCCCCACCTAAGCATCTCTAAATCCTATGCCCCCCCACCCCCGCCATGACATATAATTCTTATTATTCAAAAAGTGAATTCCTCTTCACGTGGAGAAAGCCTAAAAGACCATTCACTTGGTCTAAACAAGCTTCCGAAGAACATGGCATCCATGAAAGAGAAAAGTAAAGAACAGCTGAAGTACTATTGTTAAAAATAGTAACATGAAGTGATATAAAAAATAGCAAATAAAGTTTCAAAACAAGAGAGAACTGAAATGCACAAATGTCACAATATATATTTATATACTGTATATGAGGCCCCTAGAACCATAAGAAATGCAAAAAAGTCACTGTTCATAACTCATTCTCAAACTGCCCCCCTTAAAAATCAAATTGCCCCCCTGTGGGGCGTGTGCCCCACGTCGGGAACCCCTGATGTAAAGGGGTCAGCAGAGCCATGAAAGCTCCTGCGGTGGCTGAAGAGCAGCTCCCTGGCCTGCGAACGAGCAGCATCTGCTGGTCGTCCAAGGCAATGAACGATCCCGTATTTGCAAAGGTCAGGCTCAGTCCACAGCCCCAAAACTGTGTAAGGCGTGACCGGGAGGTATTCCGCAAAAGCACGCTACAAGAAAGGAGGATGAAACAGGAGTCATCACATTTAACAAGAGTGCTCTTTTATTTGTACAAAGCCTTATAATTTTCTCAACATTCTTCTCTCATTTATCAACAAATTTTTCACTGTATTCATTTAACAAATTAACAGTGTCAAACTACACTTCACTACCTGTCAGCTGCCTTAGAGACAAGCAAAAAAGTGCTTGGAGCACTAAATGGAAAGAGAGAAAAAACTCCCCAAACTGAAGAAAGGTCAACAGAGGTACTTCAGAAGCAGTTAAAAGCGGGGTGGGAGGAGGGCGAGACAGGGGAGGGAGAGGATTAGATTCCTGAGCACCATCAGATTTCCTTTACGTTTCACAGAGGTTTACAAAACCATTTTTAAAAGACATGAGATTAAAAAAAAAGAATAGAAAACACACACACCAAAGATTCGAGATTAGGCTATCCAAGTTTCTGGACTGGCAGAGGGAGAAAAGGAGGGAGAATGGGGATGGGGAGCAGAGGCGAGACAGGAAGTGAGACGCACAGAAGGAGAAAGCTGTGCCTAGAAATAAAGTTTGGAACTTGTCATGAATTGGAAGAACGAAAAGCCGCAGTCACAGGTCTGGGACACGGACCACAAGAAGAGAAAGCCTGGGATTTTATACCTTCCAGGAGGTGACAACAGATCCTAAAGCTGTGCAGTGGCAGACAGGGAGGTGCACCGAAGGCTAAACCACCTGTTGTGTGAGATGAGGCACTGGCATACTTGCTTGACTCCGTCCACGCTGTCCTGAGGACTTCACCAGCCTATGTGTGGAGGGCAGCCCCTAACAGGTCAAATGCCTACAGGCAACCATACAGAAGGGCCCCAAGCCAAGCGGGCTGGTAGAAGCCAGAATTAACGTTACTGTCACGTGGAGAGACCACAGACTTCATTGTTCTTCCACAGCCTTTCGGCCGTTTCCTAAAACGAAGCCGCTTTGATCACTGGAATGAGCCAGTATTGCCAAATACTGTACAAACAGGCGGCCCGCGATCTAAGCCCCCGTTTTTCCTGAGCCTCCACGGCCTCCCGTGACCTGGAACACAGCAGGGGGCATGGAAGTGACTATTTTTGGTGGGGGTGGGAGGGACCCGGGAGTCAAAAACGGCCTAATCGTACACACAAGCAAATGAGATACACTGGCTGATTGAATGATCAGTTCAGAGCCCCTCTTGTCCAAAAAAAGCCATACATAACCTTCAGACCGGCTAAGCGACACAGGGCTCTGCTCCTCAGATGCTCTGAGCCTGGCAGGCGCCGGCTTTGCTAACTTCTAGCCAGAAGTCATGTTCGATCTCCTCGGCTCTTCGGCCTAAGACTGCTCTGCCCGGGAGGGGGGGAAGGCGCCCACGGCCCCAGACTGCAGCTCAGAGTGGTCCCTTCCGCGGCGTCCGTCTCCTCCCGGCTCCTTCAGTTGTCCACCTCCTCCTCCTCATTCGGTTCTTCTTCCTCCAGCCTTTCCTCCTCTTCGTCATTGTCCTCCTCTCGGCTCTTGTCTTGCTCTTCCGAATCCGTTTTTCTGTCCTTGTCCTTCTTCTTCTGCTCCGAGGCCTCCTTCTTGCCTCTCTGCTCCCTCCTGTAAGCTGCGGGGGGAGGAGGCGGGGTTAGGAGGCAGCTCATTCCACCCGCAGCTCATTCCACCGGGAAGGTGTATCGGGGAAAACCGGGGCGCAGGGGAAACACCCCCCGCGGGGAAGCACAGAACAGACCTCGGGCGGCGCCCACGGACCCGTGTCTGCATCACACCCCACGCCTGCCTGCTGGACTTGAAGGGACCCCCGCGGAGAGAGACACAGGACCGGGGGTGGGTGGGGGGGGGGGTGTAGACAGGTCATGCAGGACAAGCATCTACTTGGCTGAGAAAAGAGAAAAAGGTCACCACCTTCCAGAGCTTCCTTTAACGGCGCCACGAACCGCTGAAACTCCATCTCCTCCATGGCCGAGAGCACATCACTGGCATTCAGGGTCTTGCGTTTCCCTTTCATCGCGAAGTTGTTGGCACTGACACGTGGCGAGAAGAAAGAGGAGGGGCCGTCAGACCCTCTATCGCCGACGGTGGGTGCGGAAGAAGGGGGCACCCGGGGGTGGGATGGATGGGAACGCCCACATCTGAGACGCACGGGTGTCTGTGATAAGGTAACTCTCACCCCCCCGCCTCGCCCCCCGTTCCACTTCCCTGTAACACAGGGTTAAAGCCAAGTGATTCTGCTGTCTCATCATTTGCAAACATGGGGTGAGGGATGTGAACCTTCCTCCCCGAGGAAGTTACTGGGGTGTGTGGGTTCCGAGCCACGACCTCCGAGGGGTCCTCCCGGCGCCTCCCTCAGGCCACAGTCCCAGCTCAGTTCCGGCGAGCCCGCCCGCCCGCCTCACCAGGATGTGGCGTACAGCACGAAGACGCTGGCGGCGCGGGAGATGGCGCTCCGGGCCTCCTTGGAGATGTTGACGCCGTCCGGGAGCTGTGAGAAGGGCGGGGGTGAGCCCAGCCGCCGGCCCAGGTCCGGCTTCCCCCGCGGCCCGCTCGCCCGCCCCGGGCCCGTCCGCCAGTCTAGCTGCTCACCGCCTCCTTGATGATCCTGGTGATCACGGCATTGGGCAGGTTCAGGTCCTCGGGCCGCTCCGCCATGGCCGCCGCCGGGGCCCGACCTGCGCCTCACTCAGGCCTCCTCTTCAGGCAGCTTCAGCGTCCGGACTTCCCGCGTCGCCACCGTCTGACCCAAGGAGGCTTCCGTCCCGCCCCACGTTGCCGGTGGTGTCCCATACTGCCCCGCGCGCTAGGGCCTCCTCCTCCGCCACCAGCCCCGCCTCCGCCTCTAGTGGCCGGAGCGCCCGACGTTCCACGCCGCGATGGTTTCGGCCCTCCTGGGCTCCCGTTCTGCCCCACCGACACCCGGTGCCCTTTCCCGAGCTCGTCTGTCTGCTTTACGTCTCCACCACGTCTGGAGCTTTCGCACCACATTAAGTTGGGCTCGCTGGGGCTTCCGTTTCTTCCCCATAGTGCTGTGCGCTGCTGCCCGGCGAGGCGTGGCGCGGCGCGTTGCCTGGGGAACGAAGAAGGCGACGGAGGCGGCGAGGCGGGGCCTGGTGTGCGGGGTCTGCAGACCGCCTCCCGGCCCAGCTCAGACCGACCTCTGCCCCGAGGGCTTCGGCCTCGAGGCCGGGGCGTCTGCTTGGACCTCTCGCAACCGCGGCCCCCGAGGCCGGATTCTCCCACTTCCCCTTTTCAGAACGAAGCGGGGAATGCTTTTTCAGCTCTCACCGGAGCTGATGTCTGTCCTTAATAATTACACCCCCTTCCTCCCAGCTTGGTAATAGTATTCAGGAAAGCTGTTCCCTAGAATTTTCGAACGCACATTACTTTGCCCGCCTAAGCGCCAGTGCCATAGAGATGGGCATGACCAGAGGTCGGGACTCCATTCGGGATGGTCAGGTAATGAAAGGGCGGCGAGCCGATTGTCAGAATAAGGCAACGTCACTTTGTCATTCAAAAACAAACCCTCTTAAAATTGTATACGTATTTTTTAGTTCATAAAATGGTCCGTCGAGCATCTTTCCCAGGCAAAAACATCACCACAGCTTTACGGGGGGCTTTTTAAGGGGTATCACATTACGTACCTAGAAATTATCCTCCCTGCCACTCAGTACTAATGCTGCTTCTTGAAACGTTTCACGCCACCCTTTGGTTTTCCCGCTTTTGATAACGAGTTCAGAGAAATATTTCTGTATTATGAGAAAAGCTACAGCAATTTGAGGATAAAAAAAAAAAGCAAATGAAACGGCTTCAATGGTAAACTGTAGGGTCTGGTGGGAAAACTCCACGTGGATGGAACAGACTTGGTTTCAAGATGTCAGGAGATGCTCAGCTTCAGTCAATGGCTGTCCTGTTAGAATTGGGCCCGCGTTGTCAGATATTTTGATCTCTAAAATGACCCAGAAATCTGGACATTACGGACTATTTCCATTTAAAATAATGGCTCAAAGGACAGGCTAAACAAAGCAAGTTACAGGCCTGGTGCAATCTTCGGCCAATATTTTGCTATCTTTGGTCTAAAAAGTCTTTTAGAATAGGGCCTTATTTTGTTACTACTGTTCTCCATGCTTATAGCAGGTTCCCTCACATATTTGGTCGTCAATAAATGTGTTGAGTAAAAGAAAGTGTCTCCTTACAAAATTATGGATCAAGTGGTGGTGATTGCATAAGACATTTCTAGAGAGAGATGATAATATTCATTGAGCACCTGTTATATTACCACACGTAAAAGTACATTTTCTCATTTAATGCTTCTACAGTCCTACTTAGGGATTCCCCCTCCTCTACGTTATATGAAGGAACAGGCTAAAACAGATTAAATCCCTTGCCCAAGACCTTACAGACAGTAAATGAAAAGCCAATGGCCTCTGATGCAAGTTTAAGTTTACTGATTTGCTTTTTGAGCAAACCCATTAATTTTCAGTGCATAGTTTAGCTGCCTGTCTGAGAATTGGAGTATATTGAAAAATGAAGCTTGTCTTTTAAAGTTTTGAGCCACCTAAAGCACTTCTGTGTCTGTATTTGTAATTTGATAAGGCTTTTTGGAGACGGTGATATGTTTTCCCTAGTGATTAATAAAGGGGAAAAGGGAAGGATGCTGATGTTTATTCTGAACTCTCTGCCAGACCTTTTAAAATCCATTAACTAATTTTTGTAATGACCCTGTGAAATAGGCTTGTCCTCATTTTGCAGATGAGGAAATGAAGCTCGGATTAATCCATCTTTTAATAGTGAAATTAGGAGACCTGAAGTTAGCCTGCTCCCAAACTCCTGCTACTTGACTTCACACTATATATTTTCATACTTATTTGTTACCCAAGTTTTACTCTATGACCACCATTTACCTATAAGAGTTCAGTAGACACATTTGATGCTTTGAGTCCAAATTAAGATCTGGCTCGTATATAATACTCACTAATTATGTGGTTGTTTCTCCAGAGGGCAAGAAAGCTGCAAGATTGACTTTTATCCTAAACCATTTATAACTATGGACTTGCCGGATGAGAGCCAGTGGGATGAAACGACTTGCAACTTGGCTGCTTGTCAGCACCCGCAATGCTGGGCTACTATCCGCCGCATTGAGAGGGGCCACCCTCGAATCCTGGGCTCATCCTACAAAACTTCTCTGGACGTTAACGGTGAATTAGCCAGCCCGTCTCCTCCCTCACAAGATCTTTGAACTGTTTCTGTTTGGCTCCCTTCTAATATGTCACATGTTTTCATCGTGTTTGCTTTCTCAGACAAACTCCCCGTGCTCACCATTGTAAACCTCTCAGATTCCTGCTTCCAGGCCAGGAGGCGTCCTCATGGTCATTTACCAGGACTTACCTTCACTAAGCCTCACCCTTTATTGTCTCAGCGTTCAAAGTTTGACTCCAAATTTCAAGGCAGGTAAATTATCATGGAATACACCTTTAAGAGCTTGCTATCTCAAAATTCTGGGTTGACTTCCTTTTCCCGTGTAGAAGATTTGGAGAAAGCTGGGTTCAAAATAAAAACTCCAATTCAGATAAAGAAGTGGTAAATAGGCAGTGGGAAACGAAAACAAAGCATATATATATATATATAATTTCAAAGAGGAAGGGAGAGGGAGGGAGAGATAGAAACATCAATGATGAGAGAGAATCATTGACTGGCTGCCTCCTGCACGCCCCACACTGAGAATCTAGCCTACAACCTGGGCATGTGCCCTGACCGGGAATTGAACCTTGATTGGTTCATAAGTCGACACTTAACCACTGAGCAACGCCAGCTAGGAAAAAACAAAGCATGCTTATTTGTGGTCTAAGAATTTGTTAAAATGGGCAGTTTGCTAAGGTGCCATACATACAGAGTACCACAGACTGAGTGGCTTCCACAACAGAAATTTATCTTCTCAACATTCTAGACTAGAGGCTAGGAGTTCAAGATTAAGGTGTTGGCAGAGCTGCTTTCTCCTAAGCCCTTTCTCCTTGGCTGTTGATGGCCATCTTCACCCTATGTTTTAACATGGTCTTCCCTCGGCATGTGTCTGTGTCCTAATATCCTCTTCCTAGAAGCACACCAGTCATACTGGATGCTGGCCCACCTATATCACCTCATTTTACCTTAATTATCTTTTTAAAGACCCTGTCTCCAAATACGGTCAAAATCTGAGGTACAAATTAATTTTGGGAGACACAATTCAGCCCATATCAGGGAATATCTCACTAACTTCTGTGGGTCATCAGAAGACTGTTCACACATACTTTTCTTTCTTATCTTTTATGTTTAGGTATGACATTATAAGCTCCTGAAGGAAGAAGCAACGGCTTTTCCTTATGAATATCTTACAAAGTTTAGGTACTTAAATAGCGCTCGCTGATATATGAAGCTAAAGGGAAAGGTATCTGGAAAACTTAGATTTTTAAAATGTGAAGACCCTGTTGCCTGGAATCAAAGCACTGGTGCCCTTGCAGTGATTTCCTGTCTCCTGTTTGATTTAAGCAGCTGTTGATTTCTCTTAGGCTGAAGATAGTATAGAAAAAGATAGGACTACTTTCAGGTTCTCTAGGACTCAAACCCTGGGGAAACAGCAGCTTCTCCCAGTCAAGGCAAAGCCTGTGGCATCATTTGCTTAGTCACTCATTAAAGTTCACAGATATATCACAGTGGGGTCCACTTTCCTGGGCACCGGGGATACAATGTTAGAATAGAGAAGGGCCTTCAGCCTAGTTGAGGAGGCAAAGAACCATTGATGGTGATGCATGTGGTAAGAAGAGTGCCCCCTAGGTGAGTCGCAGCACACATGAAAGACTCCTAACCCAGGGCACTGCCCTCTGAAATTAGAGCAGTTGAGTGAAGTGGGGGGGCTTTAGTTGGAAGGAGGACAGGAAGAGAGTTCTAGACTACAGAAATAGCACATGCAAAATCCAGAAGGCAAGAGGAAATCTAGGTATCAGGAAAAAAATTCAGTGTGTTTGGAACATAGAGCAGAAATGGGAGATGGCCAATGGGGGAGTGGGAGTAAAAGGCAGGGGCCTGCATTATGTAGGACTTTATAGGTCAGGTGAAGGACTTGGGTCTTTATCTTATATTTTATATTTACTCATTTATACATTTAATATGTTAAAAAGTAAAGTAGCAAGTGATATGAAAATGTAAGAGGATAGTATTTTTTTTGTTGTATAAAATATAGATGACATAAAATTTACCACTTTAACTATTTTTTTATATATATTTTATTGATTTTTTTATAGAGAAGAAGGAAGAGGAATAGAGAGTTAGAAACATCGATGAGAGAGAAACATCGATCAGCTGCCTCCTGCACACCTCCTACTGGGGATGTGTCCGCAACCAAGGTACATGCCCTTGGCCGGAATCGAACCTGGGACCTTTCAGTCTGCAGGCTGACGCTCTATCCACTGAGCCAAACCGGTTAGGGCCACTTTAAGTATTTTTAAATCTACAATTCAGTAGTATTAAGTACATTCACTGTACTGTACAACCATCACCACTATCCATTTCTAGAACTTTTTCATCATCTCAGACAGGAAATCTGTACTTATTTCCTCCTCCCTCCAGCTCCTGATAATCTGTATTACATTTTCTGTCTATGAATTTACCTATTCTAGGTACCTCATATAAGCGGAATCATACAATATTTGTCCTTTTGTGTCTGACTTATTCATCTAGCATAATGTTTTCAAGGTTCATCTGTGTTATAGCATATGTCAAAATTTCATTCCTTTAAAAAATATTCTTTTGTGTATATGTACCACATTTTATTTATTTGTCATGTTTTTGGACATATATGCCATAGGTACTTAATAAACTTTATTAACGGTGATGTATAGCTGGAGAGAGAGGAGGATAGGCTAAGCATTCAGTTTGATCCAACAAATAGTTGTAAAGTGTTTGCAATGTTCAATGTCTGTCTGGGAGTGGTTCTCAGGAAAAACAAACAAAACTTAAGGAGATGGCGAGATCCTACGTTTATTCAGTAAGTATTCAGCCCAAGGCTTTCTATACCTAAGAAGAAGGCTTTTCCTCATAGCATTCATTTTATCAGCCCAAGAAGTCTTTTGTGTCTCTGTCTCATGTTCATAAACTCTCATTTTCAGGCCTTGCAAGGATTTACCTGACAAAGATTTGATCAACTATACTAATGGATCTCCTAAAGGAAGTCACATATTGAAAAAGGTACTTCCTCTGCATCTTTCTTCACTAATGAGAATACAATATTTGCCTTTATTTTGCATTGTTCCTTGGCATGACTGCAATAATGATGATAACTATCGTTGGGCCCTTACTATATACTAGGCTCTGTGCTAATGGCTTTACATGCTATACTGTTTTCAGAAATCCCAGATACAAGTGGGTTTGATTTGTGGCAGTTGGGCATAGGTGAGAATTTTGTCTTTATCCTACATAGAACGTGTTTAGCTACTAAGTAAACACTGTCATCTCATAATACAAGGATATTAGGGTGCTGGAATGGCAAACCTAAATTGGGCCTTAAGATCACCTACTCTGATGCCTTTCAAACATTTTTAGCTATCACCTATAGAAAGAAATACATTTTACAACAAAAACATCATGGAACAATCCTTACCCTCGAGAAGGGTGATGCACTCTGATATCCTCTGTCCTATTCTATTTCATCTTTAAACAGTGTAGGCTGCAATTCACTCAAGTTTGATTAGATTACCTATGAATTAGTTGCAATTACAGTTTGGAGAATATTACTATGGTCTATCTTATACATTTTACAGTTGAGGAAACTGAGAGCCAGATAGGAAGTGATTTGCTAAAGCACACTAGTTAGGGGCAGAACTAAATTAGAGTTTAGGAAGAGAATCCCTTTTACTTATCTACAATAAGAGAGATTTGCTATTCTTTTTTAAAAAATATATTTTATTGATTTTTCACAGAGAGGAAAGGAGAGGGATAGAGAGTTAGAAACATTGATGAGAGAGAAACATCAATCAGCTGCCTCCTGCACACCTCCTATTAGAGATGTGCCCGCAACCAAGGTACATGCCCTTGTCCGGAATCGAGCCTGGGACCTTTCAGTCCGCAGGCCGATGCTCTATCCACTGAGCCAAACCGGCTAGGGCAGAAATTTGCTATTCTTTGCAGTCCTATTGATGCCCACCCCCTTTCTTATGAGATACTTCACTTTTCAGTGTCATGTGGTGGAGAATGTAAGGAACTAAGAGAGGGGGGATAGGTTTGAATGGATGAATGAACAAAGCGTTTACCTCTTTGACCACTTCAGAACAATAGGGTTAGATTAAATTAGTTTTAAATTAACTGTTTGAATAGATAATACACATGTATGGTTCCAAATACAAAGGGCAGAAAAGGGTTTACAGTACAAAGACGTGTCCCCTGTTCCCCTGAGTCAATCAGTTCATTTTCATGGGGACAACCTTACTTTGAACCACCCCCTTTTTCCTACTAGGGATATGGACTAGATGACTTACGAGGTTTCCTTGAGCATCATCAGTGTTCTAGTATCTTAAGTAGCTAAATGTGAAAAGAGTTAGGACTTTCACTGTTGTGTAGATGCCTATATTAGTAGACAGGCTGTAGAAGTAGAACACTTGCTCTGTCTCTGTCAGTTCCCTCCCTGCTCCCACATTATATTGTAATATCCCCAGAGGACCTAAGTCTTTGGAGCGGAATGGCCAGAATGAGTAGTATTCCTTTAGGTAAGCCCCTAGGTACCCTCCTATGGGATGGGGTTGGGAGTTGCTAAATGCCACCCTCATGTCCCAGGGAAGCAGGGGACACTATTCACTTATAAATGTGCACTCTTCCAGTACCTGTACTGATACCTGGTTTCTTGGAATATTATAAAGATGTTTTGGGGGTTGGAGCACTGTATTTATTATCTTGTGAGCCACTGTACCCTTTTGGTTAATAAGATGATTTAGTCCTTGGTCTTATACTGAGTACCATCAGGAGCCGGTATCTTCAAACCATACATAGGCTTTATATTTTTCTCTTAGCTTGCAGTGCTAAATTTGAATGAGACACACATTCCTCGCCCTCAAGGTGTTAGCAATATGGTTGTAGTCTGGATCCCAAAAGAACCAGGGGCGTCTGTGAGGTGAGTGTCATGTCTAGAACTTGGGGGTCTTCAGCTCTTACATTCTACAAAGCCCTACTGTTCTCTGCAGGCCTCCTTCCTGTGATCTTCTTTTTAGCAGCCTCCATGCAAGTAGCAGGAGGCCAAGCAGAGAAGGGCATAGTCTCTTACCTCTGCCTCTTGCTACACTGAAATTCTGTTTTAGTGCAATTTGAGATTCGTGTCCTGGGATTTCTCTACATCAAATTCTAGGTGGCAGTAAATAGCATACAAGATAGGGCCCATTGTATTTGTGAGGTTTGATTAAGAAACAAACGCTTGCCCTGGTCAGTGGGATTCAGTTGGTTGGAACATTGTCCCATGCATGAAAAGATGGTGGTTTCAGTTCCCAGTCAGGGTCCATACCCAGGTTTGCAGGTTTGATCCCAGGTTGCGGCACATTTGGACGGCAACCAATCGATGTTTCTCTCTCACATCAAAGTTTTTCTCTCCTCTCTTCTCCTTCCATCCCCTCTCCTCCACTCCCATCTCCTCCTCTCCTCTCCAGAATCAATGAAAAGCATATCCTCAGGTGCGGATTAAAAAAGAAAAAAGAAAAGAAACAAATTCTTCTGAGTTTAGTTATACTTATAGCCATCAGCAACGAGTGAAAAAGTTTACAGTGAAGCACATGAATCTTTGGTCTCAGCTTCAAGGCCTAGCATATAGAACTTGTGTACAAAACAGAGCATGACAAAGATCACTTGGCAAAGGCCTGAAGCCTGGCTAATATTTAAACTTTGGAAGAAAGTGCTTTTTCTTTCATGACTGTTGAGGCTTTCAGATTCTTGTTAAGCGATTGTTTAGAGATGATAAAACTTAAGAATTTATTTTAATTTCATTTTCTTTTTAAAAAATTGATCCTGTAAATGCTTCTTTACATATGCATTGTGTGTGTGTGTGTGTGTGTGTGTGTGTGTGTGTATGTGTGTGTTGTGTGTATGGTGTAAACAAGCAAAAATACATAGGAGCTCATTTCCTTTAATATAAAAGAAGCTCAGATGTAGGTGAGCCAGGGCTAGTTTGTCAGGTCCATGAGGTAATCAGAAACCAGAGTTCCTTCTAGCTTTCTGGGTCATCATCCTCATCCATGGCTTCCATCTTCTAAGATGCTGCATGGGGGATTTTAAGGTCTACGTGACTGCTAGGGATCCAGTCATCATCTCCATGTTTCAGGTAAAAAGGAGGAGGAAGACAAGAGAGCAAAAATACTTGAGCACCTCCTCATGCTAAGCAGTGAGAATTTAGTGGAGAACCAGATAGATTTAGTCCCTGCTCTTCTGCAGTCTTATGGGGTAGGCATTCAGACATTATCAGCACCACCAACTCTGGGCATATAATTGCTAATTGGATTAATGCAGTAAAAGTAAATAACTGGATTGTGTGAGAGAATGAATGGTGGGGAACCTAATTTAGATGTGAGGATGGAGGTATTTTTTTTAGCAGTTTCTGGGCTCCTAATGACCATCTTTGAATACTGAATAGACTAGAAATCTTTATCGACATCCTTCATAAATATCCTTGGTCCTCTTGTTTAAGATGTCTACAAATAAGTTTTGGTTATTCTTATTTCAAGTCCAGCGGAGCAGTATGTTGCTCCCAGCCAGGATGGGAAGAAGAAAAGAAAGACATCTACAGTGGTAAGTGTGAAGTTTTGGCTAAAGCTTTATGATATTACTCTGAAGAGTTCATTTCCTTTCAGATATCTTCCCCCTTCCCCTGTTCTCTCTTTAAATGAATAAAAATTTGTAAAAGAAACCCTTAAGAAATAACTACCAAATCATTTTGTATTCAGAGACTCATTTCCCAAACCTCCTCCCTTGAAGAGATGTTAGGAGGAACTGCTGGGTATTCAGGGGCCTAGAGTTACAATGGGTCTGGGCTTGCACTTCTAATTCTACCATTTATTAGGTAAAGGTAGCTTTGAAGAGCCAGAGCTAGAAGGTTGCTATGTCCATGAGAATAAAGCCTTGGTCCATTTTGTCCAATGCTGAACCCTGGTCCTAGCCCTGTGCCTGCGCATAGTTTGCCAATAAATATTTGTTCGGTTTGTTCAGTGAATAAGTGAATAACCATGTTGGGGAAAAACCAAACAAAACAACTAATTCCCAAATGATCTGAATTTGGTAACAGGGTTGGGAGCCAGAGGGAAGCATGTGGTGGCCCTCATAGTGCGGACTGGGAAGGGGGCTGCTGCTGGACGAGGCCTGCTAACAAGGTGTTCCATGTGCCGGTTGTGTTGGGAGGCTGGGAGGTGGGTGGGAAGAGCGGCCCTGAGTGCTTCAGGGAGCTCTTTCCATTGTCTCTTCTCCAGTCGTCTGTGGTTCTCTCGGGAAAGCAGGACAGAGAAACAAAGCTGAGCACTCCAGGGATAACTGTGCCTCCCCCGTCCCCAGTACGCTTTTTTGAGCAACTAAGTCCAGAAATCCTACCTTTCTTGAACCAGTTTGACGCATTACCTCAGGATCTCCTGAACGAGTAAGTATGATGTGAGCACCTGCCTGCTGTTTGAGGCTGTGAAGGGTCGAAGCCGTGTGCTCCTTCTGAGTAGGGAGGGGGGAAACCGTCAGCCTACTTGTTCACTGCGTCCTTAGACTTCCCGGGACGCAGTGGTGACAGCACTCGCCACCATTAATCAAGTGCTTACCGTCTGCCAGGCCCTGTGCTAAGCAAGCACATCACATATAGTCTCTCATTTAACCCCCCACTGGAGGTAGACCAGTTACTCTTCTCTTTTTGTAGATGAGTTATGGATAAATGGGAGGCAGGATGGAAAACTTACCGGCTCTGTGAATTTTTTTGTACTTTATTTAGCCTCTTTAAGCTTCGTTTTCCTCATTTGCAAAATGGGGACAATAACACTTGTCCTGAGGGTGTCGTGAAGATGCACTGGTATAAGGCACACGAGCCTGACCAACTGCAAACACTTCATCCATGTAGCTGTAATGATCATAGCCGCATCGGAAAGCTGTTAGTGAATGAGTACCTGTTGGTACAGACCATTCAGACCCAAAGCGGACATTTCTTCAAATTTGGAGCCCTTTTCATGTTTCACCTCAGCCACACTCTCCAGAAAAGCTGTTGCTGATTGCCCGGCTGTCTCTGTGCCCTTCAGTCTTTTGTTAGATGAAGGGGAAAGGTCGCCTTGTCTGGAGACGAAGACACGATTGGCCACGAGGAAAAAGAACCCCCTGAAAAAGAGCCGACCCGAGAGCTCCATTTCTGCCCAGATGTTTCTATCTGTGCACCGCCTCACCCTGCAAGTAAGAGTTGGGGAGCCTCAGAGCACGATGTCTACGTGCAAACCCAAGTGCATCCATCTGCAAGGCGGGAACAGTTGGCTTTTGTTTTCTGCTTTCCCTCCTATCCTTCCACTCTGGACCCAAGCCCCACAGAAGGGCTGGGCTCTCTATAGGTGGAAGCAAGTGTATGGGGAGGGGTCTGAGAAGAGCAATGGTCTCTATTTCTTCTGCACTTCCTTTCCTGTACCTTTCTTCTCTCCAGAGCCCCTGGCACAATGCCGCACACACCAGGTTCTCAAACACTGCATGATGATTAGACAGATAAATGAATTTGGGGGATCCATTTGGGGAAAGACCTGTGTTTTCCTTTTTCTCTCCAGAGACCATCATTGAAATATCCTGCACATTTGAAGAAATTATATTATAACCTGAACATAGAAGATAGGCTTTCTAGTGCTGCCAGATCTCCAGGTACCATTCCTCCTCAGCCCACAATTCTCATACTTGTTCTTGGGCCAAATTCAGTTATGTTTGTGGCCAGTCATACAGGGTCACATGTAGAACTCAGGAAACGGCAATTTCAAGAAGCAGCCACTACCACCACCACCACCACTACCCCGGCCTTGGCTTGGTCCTGACCAGGGAGAGAGAGTCGCCATTGTAAAGCAGGGCACAGCCAGCAGCCCAGCGGGAGGTGGGAGCTCTCAGGGAGAAGAGCATTGAGCGGGCTCTCTGACCTCCAGGTCTTCGGAAGCAGCAGCAGAGGCAGCCGCAGAGGAAGTTGAAGACACCTACGAAGAAACCGAAGAAACCGGTAGAGTGGCAGTGGGGGGACACCTAGGGCTTGCTGGGACTGCGATACGTGGGTGCAGCCTGGAACGGGCAGGGATGTATGAGAGGCGGGATTCTCCCTGTTCTCTGTCTGGTGGTAGAACTTTGTAGATACAAAGTTCCTATTTGGTTGTGGATATTAACTTCCTTCTTTTAGACTTTTTTTTGAAACGCTTTCTTCACTTCTAAAAGTTCTAATTCAGTCCTCATGTGGATTTCAGGAGGCTAAAAAGAAATCCAAGAAAGATCCAAGGAGCCAGAGCACTTCGCATAAATCTTTAGGTACTGTGGGTTGTGACCCATGCTATGGTAAGGAGAATATGGGTTGAGAGTGACAGATCCGAGGATAAAGGCAAGGGCAGGAAAAGCTGACTGTGTTTGTCATTTGGGAACCTGCCTTTGGCTTGGCTATCACCCTTCCATCAAATATTTACTAAGCAAGCAAGCTGGGCCAGGTGTCTGCTTCCCATGGGATTTGAGAGAGGGCCGTGAGCATGAGTCAGAGCCATCTCTCAGGTCCTGCTTTAGAAAAGGCAGAGTGGTGTGAGGAGGATGAGCAAGCCCACGTTACTGGAGAGAAGACCTCTGTGGGTCAACTGGTCGATGAAGCAGAGATCCGGGGCCCCTCGCTGAAGCCCCAAGAGAGTTCTAAGGAAGCGGAGTCCAGGGCCCTCTGCTCCCTCTGCCACAAGTTAGTCTCTGCAGCCTCAGGTTGAGATCAACATATTATCTAACCCCCCCCCCCCACACACACACACACTCCCCAGGAGGCAGTTAGCAGATTCTTGACAGGCGGTCTTTCTCCTCTAGTGTTCATGCTGGTGATAGAATGTGTATCTCATCTTTTTTGGATTTCTTACATCTGAGCTGAAAGATATACTTACCCCTGTCCCTCTGGCATTTCTCAGCTTGAGTGCAGAATGGGAGGGAAGGAGGGAGGAAGAATCCCCCTAAACCTGGACACTACCAACTGTAATGCGAAAATAATTGTTTAACCATTAGAATTCACTCTCCAACCTGAGGCACTGGGAGGGCTCAGGTGAGGTGTTCACTGGAAAGAAGACATTTCAGGACTAGCTGGGGATAAAGCTGATGCAAAAGACTTGTGGAACTTGAGCTTTTTGGGGGGTGGGGTTTCATTTTCAAAAGCCAATATGGGTACATTAGGTATGGTGCAAGAAGGTCAGAGGAGTATTCATAAACGGAAAGGTAGAGCTAGGGACTCTTGCTGCTGTGCTGTGCAGATAGCTGCCCCTTAGGTTTCTTGGAGGAATCCTGGGTCTTTCACTTTACCTTAATCTCTACTTCTGTAATAGCTATGGGCAGTCACAGGTGAGCAGAATCACAGCTAGAACTCAGGAAGCCTAACTCCCTGTTAGCTGCCTCTGAGGTCCTGTCTTGTCCTGGATAGGGAGTCACTTGTAGACTAGGGGTCCAACTAGAGGCCCAATAATAGGATATGCAATACAAATAAGAAGAGAAATGAGCTGTCTTTGTGGTCACTAGGTCACAGAACTCTACCGGGCGGGGAAAGTGACAACAATCAGCAGCTGCAGATGGAGAAGAATGGGCCCATCTTGAAACAGGTGAGTGTCTGAGCGCTCTTCTGCTAGGACCCGGGTTTAAGTTATCTGCTGTTTAACAAACCACCCCAAAGCTGAAACCTTAGTCGTTTGTTATTTCTCATGATTCTGTGGGTTGACTGGATAGTTTGTGTAGTCTTGCTTGATGTCACTCATGGAGCCACATTCAGCCGGAGGCTGGGCTGGGACTGTTGGCCAAATGGCCTTGGTTCTCGTAATGAGTTCTCTACATGTAGCTAGTTTGGGCTTCTTGACAGCATCATAATCTCATGTGAGCACTTGCTTAAGGGATGGACCTGGAACTGGATCGGTGTCATAGTGCCACATTTTACTGGTCAAAAAATCACAAGTCTAGCCCAGATTCAAGAGGAGAGGAAATAGACTTCCTCTCTTGATGGAAGGAACAGTATGTGCCTACAGGAATGGGAGGAATTGTGGCAGCCACCTTTGGAGGCAATCTCCTCTTAACTGACAACTGGGAATGGGTAAAAGTAGGTTCTGGCTTCATCTGGTTAGTCTGGAGGGCAAAGAACATGCGATGCAAGCTTCTCTAGTCTCAGGAGGTGGGATTTTGTCCTGTATTAGATGTTAATTTTTCTAAGGAAAGCCTCACTTAGAAAAAAATCATTTGTTTCCTAAAGTTTCAAGTTTCCTTATATTTACTCCAATGAATTTCAGGATTCCACAGAGAGACCACAGGTGGGCAATGCTGAGAACGACCTGGATTCCTTCTCCAGTAAGCAGAGTGAGTTACTAGCGTGGAGGAACTTTAGGAAGTGTCTGAGGACAGGGAGAGCTGAACCTGTGTTGACCAGGATGGTTCACATTCCTGGATGACACAGTTCTCATCCTTCAGAAGGGTCCCGAAGACATCCAAGTCCTTCCTTTTCTGTCCTCCATTTGTCACAGCTAATTGGGAGAAGGCTACAGATACAATTAATGGCTGGTCTTCTTTTAGATCCTGAGTTATCCAAGACAGAATCCAGTAACAAGGACTTCGGTCCTCAGATGGAGGAAGTGCCAGTAGCCCAAGAGGAGCCCTCCAAGGACCTTTCATCCAGTATATCTAGAGCAAGTTGGAATCCTGAGCTCCATATAATGAGGATTTTTCAGACTGCTGATAATGAGGCTGAGGAGAACCAACTCTCTGGGTTGCAGAATAAAGTGACTCCGGAGACATAGGTGGGCAGCCTTATTCCACAGCAGGATGCTTAGAGATCTTAGGGCTGTGACCTTGGACACAGGGCTGAAAGGAGTGGGGACTTCTCCCTGGGGCCTTTACCAGGGCCTGGGCTTAGGGATTCTGTATTCTTCATTTACCTTTACTTGCCTCTAAGATAAGTGAGGAAGAAAGAGCGTCACTCCTTTTAAACTTGGATTGTTTCTCTTCCGTTAGGACCGGAATAATTTCATAATTAAACATAGTTGCTGCTTAATCAAAAGAACAACTCTCTGTTTCTGGGACGGGGAGAAATATTTCTTGGTACTTTTTCTGGGTCACTTTATCTCCCCTCGGAAGCTCTGAAAGATTTCCAGTTGTAGGAAGCGGTTGACCTGAGGGAACCCCTGCTGTGCCCCTAGTTTTCCCTGTCAGTCTCTGGAAATGGTTGCTTTTGAGGATGGCACCCACGAAATCATCCAGTAATCTTTGTTGTGTTATGTGTAATATTCCTGTGTACTAGTATGTGGACAGGACTCCAATTAACCAGAAAGAGTCTGAAAGCTCCAGTTTCTAAGTTACTGAACCTGCAGGAACGTTTCCCTGATACTCACAAAAACTCAGAATTTCAGAGTCTCAGAATTGCTTGAACTTGATTTTTGCAAAGAGGTTTTTCATATTTTTGTCCTTAAACTTTTTAATATGGAAACATTTCTGGGAGTCTGAAAAGAAAGCCAATTGACACTCGCCTTTGAAGGCAAGCGTTGCAATAGCGCACTGTTGTGGACATTCTGAGAATAGCACCCTAGTAAGGGAGGAGTTGCAATAGTGTTAACTCCTAAGGAGTTAACAAGGCACCTTGTTTCAATGCCTCCATTTTTTTCTGTCTGGGTCTCATTGCAGAAATCTTGGACAATTCTCCAACAGGGGTTCTTAAAAGGAGAGGGGTTTTAAGACACCGATTTGCTGAAGGCTATGCTGAGGCCATCCCTACAGGGGAATAATTTCCTAATTTCTTTCCATGTCCTTCTCTATTAAAAATATAAATGCCCTTCCTACTCTAGTATCTTCCTTTTCTGCCTCCATTGGGTAAGAAGAATCCTCTGACTTTGGCTCCCAGTAGAACAGTGGTTCTCAACCTTCTGGCCCTTTAAATACAGTTCCTCATGTTGTGACCCAACCATAAAATTATTTTCGTTTCTACTTCATAACTGTAATGTTGCTACTGTTATGAATCATAATGTAAATATCTGATATGCAGGATGGTCTTAGGCGACCCCTGTGAAAGGGTCGTTTGACCGCCAAAGGGGTCACGACCCACAGGTTGAGAACCGCTGCAGTAGAACATCTTTTTTGAAATTCCCAACTGTGCTCCACCTTCCAGGAGGGAAAGAGGATCAAGGTGAGTGGGTAGGATGCGTGGGGGAAGCCTGCTTGTAAAATGGCTTTTGGAAACTGTACCTGCTCTGACCCGTGTCTAAATTGGTTCCAATAATCATTCAAATTCCCTGAGCTGTTTGCAGGACATTCCTATGTAATCACAAACACATCCACGTGGGCATGCAAACCTGTGCAGCTTCAAGATGGTCTCTGCAAATACATGGGCACGAGCAATCAAATACGGAAGTGTGGACCCAGTACAAGCATTCACCCCTAAGTAGGCAGACAGCATAACCATAGACCCACAGACCCAGCTCATCACACACATAATCAGATGGTCAACTGCAAACAAAATATCCCTGAGGTCAGAGGGTGACGATCATTCACATACCCCTGTTTAAGGAAGCTCACAGCACCATGACAGCTACTGCGACCTGTCATGCACATTCATGCTTTCAGTGACCATGTAGGCTGTTAAACACTCTCTCCATGCTAATTCATGCAAACTAGTCATGCCCAATCCTCTCTCTGGTCACAACATCACATCTTCGTGCAAAGCCTTGGGGGCCCACAGCCTTGCACCTTTATGCACATGGCTACCCTCACATAGGCTCATGATGGATCAAACAGAGAAGTGCCACCCTAGAGGGAGGCACATCCGTTTCACATGGTCCTACCCCCTCAAAGGCATCATTGTACACACAATCGCAGCCTCACACAAGCAGCACATACTCTCACACTCACACATATGACTCCTGCTCTCAGTCAGACACAGGAAGACAGATCTGCAGACTCTCAAGCCTGGCTCTTGGCTCCAAGTGTACTTGGTGGCCTTTCCACATCACAGGAGGTGACAGCAGGAGGGGGCAGGTGTAGCCTGTCACTGGAGGGTCCAAGGAGGGAGTTATTGGCCACACTTAGGGGTTTGAGGACCTGGGGAGCACCTTCTGTGCAGAGGCAACATCCCCCTTCCCCTGGCCCTCACCCCTGGGGCAGGAGACAGCTGGGCTGTTATCTTCCTCTCTAGGGCCCAATTTGATGGGGGAGAGGGTGGTTGGTGCTGCTTACAACTCAGGGGACATGTAAGAGACCAATGCATGGTGAGGCAGTTGCTCCTCAAGTCTTGTGAAGTCGAGAGAGAGTGTCAGACTGACTCCTTGTGAAGTGTAGAGTGAGTGTCAGGCTTAACCCTAGTCAGTGGTTCCCGACCTTTTTTTGGCCATGCCCCACCTAAGCATCTCTAAAATCCTAATGCTGCCCCCACCCCCCTGACATATAATTCTTATTATTCAGAAAGTGAACTATTCACATAGAGGAAGCCTAAAAGGCCATTCACGTGGTCTAAAACAAGCTTCCAAAGAACATGGCATCCATGAAAGAGAAAAAGAAAAGAACGAAAGGACAGTTGAAGTACTGAGGAAGAAATCACCAAGAAATTGTTAAAAAATAATAATATGAAGTGATATGAAAAATTAGCAAATAAAGTTTCAAAACATATAATAGAGAACTGAAATGCATAAATATGTCACAATATATATTTGTATACTGTATATGAGGCCCCTAGAACCATAAGAAATGCAAAAAATTCACTGTTAATAACTCATTCTCTAATTGCCCCTCTTAAAAATCAAATTGCTCCCCCTGTGGGGCGTGTGCCCCATGTTGGGAACCACTGCCCTAAGTAGAGGGACTGGAGCCCAGGGTCTATAGCAGTAGCTTCTGGGGCCAGCCCTCCTGTCCCTCAGCTTTTGCTGACTTATTGGAAGTGTAGGAATGTGGGAGGGATTGTGCCTCTGGTGACGGTGGCAATATGTATGACTGTGTGTGTGTGTGTGTGTGTGACTGACTGTGTGTGTGACTGTGTGTGTGACTGTGACTGTGTGTCTGAGACTGTCACTGTGTCTGTGACTGTGACTGTGTGTGTGACTGTGCGTGACTGTGACTGTGTGAGTGACTGTGTGTGACTGTGCGTGACTGTCACTGTGTCTGTGACTGTGTGTGTGTGTGTGTGTGACTGTGCGTGACTGTGACTGTGTCTGTGATTGACTATGTGTGTGTGACTGTGCGTGACTGTGACTGTGTCTGTGACTGTGTGTGTGTGTGTGACTGTGCGTGACTGTCACTGTGTCTGTGACTGTGTGTGTGTGTGACTGTGCGTGACTGTGACTGTGTCAGTGACTATGTGTGTGCGTGACTGTGACTGTGTCTGTGACTGACTATGTGTGTGACTGTGCCTGTTTGTAAAATTGTATTCTTGGTGTAGAGAGAGTGATCATGTCACTACAACCTAATATATCCACGAGCTTGAGCAAGTGTCCACGTGTGCAGCTGTGTCTGTGTGGGTGGCTGTCCCTATGATAGTATTTCTCTGTGCATGAGTGTTTCTGACAGGGGACTGGATCTGTGTTGGAGGGGGTGTTTCTGTGTGTGCACTGTGGCGTAAGGGAATGTGCCTGTGTGTAGCATTGTGAGTGGGCACGGCTTTGCCTGACACAGTGTCAGAACAAGCATGAAGGCTGATTTTGAACATGTGAGCTTCCGTTTTTTCTTTATTGATTAAGGTATTACATATGTGTCCTTATCCCCCCACTGGCCCCACACACACGCTCCCCACACTCATGCTCTCACCCCCTGGTGTCTGTGTCCATTGGTTAGGCCTATATGTATGCATACAAGTCCTTTGGTTGCTCTCCCCGACTTACCCCCATCCTTCCCTACCTTCCCTCTGAGGTTTGACGGTCTGATAGATGCTTCTCTGTCTCTGGATCTGTTTTTGTTCATCAGTTTATGTTCATTATAGTCCACAAATGAGTGAGATCATGTGATATTTATCATTCTCTGACTGGCTTATTTCGCTTAACATAATGCTCTCCAGTTCCATCCATGCTGTTGCAAATGGTAAGAAAAATGGAACTCCCAGTAATCCCACTTCTAGGAATATATCCCAAGAAACTAGAAACACCAATCAGAAAGGATATATGCACCCCTATGTTCATAGCAGCACAGTTTACCATAGCTAAGATTTGGAAACAGCCTAAGTGCCCATCAGATGAGTAGATTAAAAAACTGTGGTACATCTACACAATGGAATACTACATTGCAGTAAAAAAGAAGGAATTCTTACCATATGAACTTTCCATGGTTCCCTATTGCCTCCTGAATAGAGTCCAAAATCCACTACTTGATATCCAACCCATGTGCTGTCCTCCTGTTCCCAGATCCTCCATCCTCAAACTTCCTTCCACTTCTTTCCGTCTCAAGCCAGTTAAGTGGGTTTCCCTTGTCTGCTGCACAAGCCGAGCTCATCTGCCCTCCATGCCCTTGTGTGTGTGGTCCTTCATCCATGGAATGCCTCTTCCCTAAAGTCCACCCACACTACAGGGGCAAGTACCCCAAATCAGACTCCCATCTTCCCCACCCAAACTGCTTTTGTCTTTATTGCCTGTCTTCGTAAGTGGTATTCAAGGAGGTTTAAATGGGAAATCCATATCAGAATTAGCCTCATCTCAGTTACCATCTGGAGAACCGAACAGGGGACCAGGCAGGAGCTGACCTCTGGCTCTGGCCATGCTCCACATCCCCTTGGAAAAGCCTGCCGTTAACTCCCAGGGTCCATCCTGTCCCACATGGAAGGGCTTCTCAGGCAGAATGCAGGGCCTTGGGCCCATTTGTATGTAACTGACTCAGAAACACAATCTGTCAAAATTGTGAACTTGGGGATGAAAGGTGCAAGAGCAGTGGGTCTGAAAGGTCCAGTGTGGCCTCAGGCTTGGGCACTTTGCCCAAGAGGCCGGTGTTGTGGCATTCCCTCTCCCAACCCCACCTCTGCCTCAGGGTGTTGTCATCCTCACACGTGCAGTTTACCCTACCTGAGCACACGCGCATGTAAGCATGCTCATAATGCCGAAACTGAAACCCACAGGGAACCAACTCCACCCTAAGCATGAGGAAACATGAACCATTATCCATAATTTTACATAATTGTTGAGTTAAGGCTCCAAACATGTCAATTTGACACTTAAAATGCTCTTTGTATGCCCAACTCTCATCTAGTTCTGAACTAGGGTGACCATCACAATAACTAGACTCTGATTTAAACTTATCACAAACATTATCCACATGCCAACTTAACTTAAGCCTAATGGAACTAACACGAACTAAACTCTAGCTGAAATTTAATCTAGCAATAAAACTAAAACCTGAACTCCAACCTTAATTAGTCCTGCACTCTAACACTAACCCTAAAATATTTCTAATAGGAGCTCAAGTTTATCCAAACGGTGACTCCTAAATGTACCTCAAACCTAGTATGAATGAAAATCAACCCAAATCCCAACATGTTCACAATGTCAGCCCAATCCTAAATTTTCCCAATTGCTTTTAAATTCTAAACCTAACCCTGGCTCCACTCTAACCCTAACCCTAGTCATAGCCATCACCTCAACCCTAAATCCTAACCCTATTCTCACTACACCCATGATTCTGATGCTGTCCTGACCTCTGCATTAGGCCTGAGCTTATCTAACCTGGGCCAAATCCTAAACCAACTGTTGGGATTTTAGGAAGGAGCTTGTGTGTGTTTGGGTGCTGTTCAGCCATTTCCCCGAGAGA